TCGAAATGTTCAAATTAATCATTTTAAAGTCTCAACTCTCAAGCATTAGTAGGAATTAATCAGGCATCAAAATATACTTTTAGGTAAATTCTTAAATCATCATATTCAGTATAAAAAAACTCTGGTTGAATGTTAATGTAAAATTTAACCGTGGAGCAAATGGTAGTAGTCAATAGACACCTGTGGAGCCACCACATTCTTCAAATACCGAGCCATTTCACCATTAGGAATTGAAGGGACCTTTTGGCCAGGTACATCTACTAAACAGCGGATTTCATTGCCACTGATAGGATAAAACAAGATAGGTGAAGGATCAGCCAATATAACATGCCCATGATTGGGATATGGAAGGTCGCAATTCTCCAGGACCAGGCCAACAAAGCAAGAGGGAATATCAACCTGAAAGGTTTATAGATAGAATGATTAATCCACCTACTACACTAATATTTATATGAAGAAATAAAATCTTGACAGATTGATTTCACATTTACCTTTGGGTTGCAGAGGGAGCGTCGCAAATTTGAAAAACATCCGTCGCATACAATCGTGAGGGGAGCATTTGCTGCCAGCTCTTGGCCTTCATTGGTTTTATAATGCACTCCCTTGATAGTTCCTTTTTCTTCAATTAAAGATGTTACAGTACCTTGTTCCAAACTTACACTGCACACAAAATTAAGAATTATATGATCCAAATAAGGAAATCTCCATATGAATTTTGACAGGAAAGATGGGTATACATGATTGCACGGAGAAGGAATAGTACTTGGGGAGGGAACCAGCTTTCTCTCGCATCCTTTGTATGAATCGTCCACAATGGAAGCCTCTACCAGACACATCGGATCCAAAGCCTTCCAATGGATAGGACAGTTTAGTTTTTTTTTCCATCCTTGTAAACAGCATATCCAAACACTTTCTGAGAATCAATCTCTTTCACACAATCTACAAGTACACGATTAACCATAATTATAAAACAAAAAATAAAATAAAATAAAATTTTTAGTTATTCACCAACAGAAACTATTGGTATTTCACAAGAATAGAACTCTTTTAAGTTCATGTTGGTCACCGAAGTTTTGTTGCTTACCATCATGACCCAACTCAATCAACTTTAGGTAGCCTCCTGGCTGTAGCAGTTCGCCAACGATTCTATCAGGCTCAGATAAATCTCTTTCAATAACACGCACACGACGTCCTTCCTGTAATAATTGGAGAGTGAAGAAGAATATAAGATGTCTTATTAACAACTTTTAATTGATCCAATTAACAGACGACACTATTTCCAAAAATATTGCTAATGAGATTTTGGATGCATTATCTTAACATTGAAAGCATTGTCAATGAGGCACAAGCATTTATTTTCTGGTAATTAATTAATAAATTAACAGCAGTAGAAGATAGATTCTAGTATCATTACCTTGCCAAGAGTGTATGTGAGGGCTGAACCTGCAACGCCAGCTCCAACAAGGACTATATCTGTTGTACTTGTGGTTTCATCTGGCCCCCGTAACATTTCATTCTGAGAACTCTTCAAACACTCATTCCCTTGAATCCCCATTGAAGAAGCTCTACTCATCTTTTTTCTTCGTATTAGGTAAAACATAACAAACCACAGAAGAGAGGCTATAACTGCTCCCAGCATAAACTGATCAACCATCTTCAAATCAGTGCAATAAAAATTGTTATGAAGAAAAGTGTCTAATGTGGCCTTTCTTTTCTTGCTGGGATTCTCTCTATGGTTGTTTGTGCTGTGATTTACTTTGTTAGTTATGTTGCCTTTTATAGGCTTGTAATCGAGCTCAGAAAAAGCTTGGCGTTGGGATTTTTTGAACTTCTTTCGACCCTTTGTCGACCAGCGTTTGTGCTAGTGTTCAATGTTGAAAAAGTAAAAACCAGAGGTATGGTTTAACTCAAAACAATTCTTAAAAGTGCCTAAAACAAAGAATCCGTATTTGTCTCAAATGGAAGACATGATAGCTGGCATAATTTAAACTTGTTGGTCAAAGGAATAGCAATAGAATAGCTATCCAAATTATCGATCCTGATTCCTTAAGAGTTTAGTGACATGCGGGAATGGTGTGATTGGCATAATAAAATGTTTAGCAACAATGATTTTCAGGGTTTTTTCCAAAACCATGGGAGCAAAGAGGGGGTGACAGATTACAGATGGTCATATTAAAAGAAAACTCATATGCTAATAGTGAATTAAATAAGGATTTAAACGTGAAGTATAGTCAATAATTTATCAAGTTTTCAAAACAATGAGTGCCAAACAGGGGGTGAAAATAGACAAAAAAAAAAAAAAAATTCCTCCACTGCATGAAGTAGCAAACAAATCATAGCATAACTAGTACTGACATGAAGTTGGGGAAATTTGGGCAGAATGAAGGTTGTGTTAAGTCAGCCTCCACCAAAGAAAGGCAGTGCTAATGGTCAATCTTTTCATTTTTACAGTTGCTTTATTTGACTTATTAATCTTTATTTCTAATATTTTCATTGAACTTGCTCGGATTTAAGACCTTATAAACGAAATTAAGAATCCAACATTTTATCTCCTCATCGCATAGGCTTCATTTTTAATTTTTTTGTTTACGTAACTATGAAGGATAATAAGTAATGTCCACTCTTCTGCTTAGTGTTTTGAACTTAGTCAACAATGTTTTTTCACGTAAGGTTGAAATTTATATATTATGTTATAATCATCTCATGAAGAGGTTCACCTGACAGTCATGAACACTTTTTTATATTAATTTAATTATTTTTTTAGTTATATGAATCTAATTATTTTTAAATTTATGATATTTATGAACTTAATTATTTATAGATAAATATAACTAATATTTAGTGCCATTTAAATTAATATTTTGAGTTTGTTTAAACTTTTTAGACATAAATAACAATTATTTTTATGCATTCTATATATTTAAAAGTTCTATTTTAGTTCGATCTTTTTTTTTTTTTTATATTTCAATACTTAAAAAAAATTAGTTTTCAATAATTAAAAATTAGTTTTTATTTTTAATTTATAAATAAATTAAGAGTTCGAATTGAATGAATTTCTTACAAGTTTTTCAATAAAAGTTATTAGTTACTCTTTGAAAAAAATATATATTATTTATTGATACCAATTACAAAATTTTTATATATTTTTATTTAGTATTAACTCCAAAATAACTTTTATATACTTACTCTTTCTCAAGATCTTGAAAACACATATATAGGAACAAACATGATCTTGGAAATTTTAGATAATAGAAAATGGAAGAGGGACAGGAAAACTCCTTGTTGAATCTCACTATTCTTGAATATAATTTACTAATTGTCTCATGATAATCCAAATACAAGAACTACCCACTCCAAATTTGGACAAAGATGAGGTTGACTTTGACTAATTTGAACTCATTTTAATTTTTTTTTTTTTACTATTTCTCACTACTTTGACCCCAAAAAATTAAAGTAACTGAAGGTAATTTTCAATTTTGATTAATTATATCTAACGAAGTGTTGATTCAGTGACAAATGATCTAATTTCAAGTAAATTTTACTTGTTAAAGATAAAAATTCAAAATTTAAAAAAAAAAAACTTTTGTTGAGAGAAAAAATAACTTAAGTGATCATTATTTTTAAATTACTAATACTCTATTTTTTGCAATGGTGACTAGGGTTAATAATCTAATCCGTCTTCGATGAATTTCGATCGGATTCGATCTGATCATATGAGGTTGAGTTCTTTTTTTTAGAAATTCGAGTTTTGAGTTGGGTTGGATAATGTTAGGAAATAATTAAGGTCGAGTCGGGTTCGGATTTTAGGTAAATCCGACCCGACTCGATATTATATAAAAAATTATTTTTTATTTATATATATATTTATATAATGATATTTTTAAATATTTATATTTAAAAAATAATATTTTATTAATTTTAAGTCGAATCGAAATCGAGTACAATTTATATAGTATAAATTTCGGTATAAAAAAATAAAAAAAATTTAAATAAGATCGAATTCAAATTTAATAATACATAAAATTATATCAAATTCAAGACGAATAAAATCCATCTCACCCCGATGCAAACCCTAACGGTGACACCATTTTCTTAAAAAAAAAATGTTTTTGATTAATTATATTACTCATGAAAGAAGAAATCTCTTGAATTGGTGGGTAATCATGACAAAAACAACACGGGTTTTCAGAAAGAAAAAAAATTGCTTTGGGAAGTTCATGTAAATTGACTTAACAAAAGGCTAGCTTTACTTTACAATTTACAATTGAAATGAATATTGGTAATTGGAAAATTGGTAAGTGTCACATCAGCAAATCTAATGGTTTGTTGTGAAGGAAATTCATTGCAATTAAGGGAAGTTGATGAAGATAAAAGCTCAATAGATTTGAATATGACGCACAATAGCCCGTCAATTATCTAATCATTACAATCAAAAGTAATGGTAGATTTGATTTTTTTTACTTGAAATTACGAGAATTATCGAAATTAATAACTCAATTTATTATTAATAAATTACGTAATTATTGATATAAATTTATTATATTTGGCTCTTAATCATTTAATTTTTTATTATTTACTTTTAATAAATAACAACAATCTTTTTTTAAAGAATATAGATAAAACAATTAAAATTGCAACAATAATTAAAAAAAAAAACTATTAAGTATTCAATTGAATTTAAGGCATCAGGACAATTCAGTTGGTATCTAATCTTGTCTGATAAAAAAAGAACTCATTTATTAGATCAGTTGGACTGATTTTCAGCAGTTAACATCATCGTATTAAAATCTTATTCCAATGAAGCAGTTGCAACCATGCACATTCAATGCATGTTTAATGCAAAACCAGATTTAGGCTTTGTTGATGGAAAAAATTAATTTTAGTGAGATTAAAAATAATAATTATTATTATTATAATTGTGATTAAAAAAATTTAATAAATAAATTATATTAAATAAATTTTATTAAAATTAACATTTGAATTTAATTAAAAATACTGTCTAAATTTTACTACATTAAGAATGTACTAAGTTAAAAAAAAAAAAAAGAGTAAAATGATATGTCAAAACAAGTAACATGATTCCTATTGTACACTTGATTTGTTTCCTAACTCGAAAGTAATAAAAAAATATATATGGCAACTTGTTATATTGTGAATTTTCATTGTATCCCTCAATCCCAATCAGCTGGAGGAGCTCTGTAATATGCTGGCACAGTTACAGGGAAGAACATTTGCCTAATTCCTTCAGCCTTGATAATGGGGAAGATGATGCTTGATGCACCCTGAAAATACAAAGAAATTATGAAGGTCAGACAAAAATGGCAAAAGAAACAAGGTATAGATGACAATGTTTAATAGAGATACAAACCGTAATCAACCGAGCCCCAATCCAGATGCGTTTGGGTGAAGGAAATGGTAGTAACAGGCGGCCAACACCATATATTGCCACGGCAAAGAAATGTAGTATTAGGCTGATGGGGCGGGGGTTTAGACCGGAGAGTAGAGATATTGGTCCATTTGAGAATATGCCTCCAAGGCTCAAATAGTCAAAACATGCTTGGCGCATTTCCTTCCTTGCTGGATCAGGGGAGGCACTAAATACTTTGTATAGGGCACCAGCCAATGTGTTAATTGTAGATGCCACTGGCTGCAAATCATAACACCAAAACCATCTAGTAAGCGGGAAATTGTATAATTTTTGAAGCAATAAAGAGATAATTTGCCCTCATTCTTTAGTTTTTGGAGCATCAAGATTCAACAATGCATTTGAAGCTTACCTTCCTCAAGGTATAAAAGGATTCAAGATATTTGCAAAGAGCAGATGCATCATATAGATCGTGCAGGGGTCTTAGAAGATCCCTTAGCACAACAATATCAGATAGTGCAACAGTCATTCCCCCTCCAGTTAAAGGATGTCTCATATTGAATGCATCACCCATTAAAAGTGCACCAGGAGTTGGGTGCGCAGCTGCAGGCATGCTTCTATTTGGCATGGTTCGTATATTCCCCTCATCGATTGCGGAGATAAAGCCAGTGTACAGTTCAGGAGGAATCTGATATATGCAAGATCAGTTGGTTAGTATTTGGAATCATTTCAAGCAACATCTTGTTCAATTCACAAAGTATCTCAAAACCCCCATAGTTTTCCATCCCTTTAACATCAAAATAGATGTAAAGAAATATAAATGATAAACGAGAGACATAAGTACCTGGGGAGCCACCATAGTTTTTAAGTAATGGGCCATTTCACCATTGGAAACAGAAGGTACGTTTTGGCCAGGTACATCAACCAAGCAACGAACCTCAGTGCTACTAATAGGATAAAACAAGATAGGTGAAGGGTCTGCCAATATGACATGTCCATGATTTGCATGTGGAAGCTCACAGTTCTCTAGAACCAAACCAACAAAACAAGAGGGGATATCAACCTGCATAAAGAATGAACATCTTTATGTTGTCTCCAAGTGTAAAAATAAGATTAAGAGAAACTGAAACCAAATTGCATAAGAATTTCATTAATTTCCACTTTGTTCTAACTAATTCATGCAAATTATAAAAGTTTTCATCTCTAGTAAGTGTTTGATATTTGACAATATTTGAATAAGAATCTTCACCTTAGGCTCACAAAGAGAGCGTCTCAAATTTGAGAAACAACCATCGCATACAATAGTAAGGGGAGCATAGGCTATCAACTCTTGACCACCCTTAGTTTTGTACTGAACTCCTTTGATAGTCCCATTTTCTTCAAGAAGAGATGTTACTGTTCCTTGTTCTAGATTTACACTGCATATTGAAAATAAAGAGCATATGAATTAAAACTGAGTCAAAACAAAACCTAGCATGAAAAAGTAAAAAAAAAAAAAAAAAGAAAGAAAACTACTGTTTGATTGTTAAGTAATGCTAATAGTAATATATCAAATTTCATGTTTGTCAACCAATTATTACAACAATGCAAGGAAATGTTCAATTCTTCATTGATTAAAATATATGTAACAACAGGAGGAAAAGGTCAAAACAGCAAAGTAAAAGTAATCTGGACAAAAGTGGAACCAAGGCATGAGAAGATACAGAGCAAGGGAAACAGTAAAAATGGTTGTTATTATGGGAAAGAAAAATACTTGGGAAGAGAAGCAGCTTTCTGGCGCATCCGTTGAATGAAACGTCCATTATGAAAGCTTCTTCCAGCTACATCAGAGTGAAAATTTTCCAGGGGATAAGACAACCTGGTATTTTTTCCATCCTTGTACAGAGCATAACCAAAAACTCGTTGAGCATCAATCTCATCTACACAATCTGCAGGGGCAAAAACCAACGTGAAAATCCTGCAAAATCAATATAGATCAGAGCAAGAAGTGTCACCAAAGTCTCTTGCACAGATACCTTCAAGACCCAATTCAATTAACTTAAGATATCCCCCTGGTTGTAAAAGTTCACCAACAATCCTGTCTGGCTCATTTAAATCTCTCTCAATCACATGCACTCGCCGTCCGTCCTGAAACAGGTAAACAAAAAAATTTTCAATTGGAGTGTATAGGAGTAGTGTACTTATAGAGGCAACCCTTTATAAAAATGTTTAAATCAGAGTAAATTTTCAAGACAAATTAAAAGGATTTTAAACAGGGAGAAAGGAGAGAGATATATGAACCTTTCCAAGTGTATAAGCAAGAGCAGAACCAGCAACTCCAGCGCCAACTATGATAATGTCTGTAGTACTTCTATCAACTTCCCCATTTCCTGTTCTCTTTAAACAATTTCCCCCTGGAAACACTTCAGAAGAAGAACAAGAAGAATAGGCAGATTTTGTCTTGTTGGATCCTCTTACTAAAATATCGTACAAGAAAACAAGCCCCACTAGAAAAGCTACCACTACTTCAACTATGTACTCGTAGGCCATAATAGGAAGAAGAAAAATGGGAAAACAATGAATATGATCAAGAATCAAGAGGGAATAGAGGAAAGAGGTCGGTCGGAGGTGAGGCTACTTGAATGACTTCGTCTACTTTTATACTCCCCCCCAGCCTTTTAAAGTAGTGTAAATTCCAGGAAGTTCTGTTTTCTGTTTTACGTGTGATTTGAGTATGCCTTGCTGCCGCCTCTTAATAAACCATGTGGGCTATCTATTACCAATTCTAGTACAGATTATGATTCTGGTAACAGTTTTGTCTTTACCAATTCTACTACAGTTGAGTTGATCAAACTTTTGGGTCAAATTTCTGTGCTGAAAAAATATGGGGTCAAATTGTTTTGTTTTCCAACATTTTCTTACTTGTTATTGAAGAAAGATTCAAATCTTAATTGAAGTGGGAAAAAGAATTACTCAAACCCTTAATAAAATACAAAATTATAATCATCTATTACATATACGTGTGATGTCTGTCAGAGCAAGAAACTTGAAATATAAAAAATTTATATTGTTTAAACCGGCTAGTCAAATGATCCAATTGGAGTGGCCCTCCGAGTAAGACTGGATTAATTGGTCAAGGAGAGTTTTGATGAGATTTGGGAACATGATATATAGTGAACTATTAAAAAAGACGTCGAAATGTCATGTCATCTGTTTCTTGATTCAGTGGCTAAAGAGGTTTCATGAGAAGATAAAGCTCTTGGTTTTGAATTAAATTTTTTTTTTCTTGTAAGGGTTATGCTCTCTCTATGAAAAAAAAAATCTGAATAACCAATAAAAGCAGAATTTATTGTTAGAATATTGAAATCTTAATTTTAAGATTGCACTCTTTTGTGAAAGTGAAGCATGGGGTAGTAGTAGTAGGTAAAAGATAAAACCTACAAGATTCATTTTAATACTCGTTTTGGCTGACTTTAATCTTGAATAATTCTTACAAAATGTGAAACATGTCTTATTCCCAGTCTAATTATATACCTAACGTTCAAGAAAGCACTGCATCCACTCATATAAAACCTGCCATTTTTATACATTTCTTTCGGTGAACTCTCGATTTTGTCAATCAATGATATCTTATTTATCTTGGTTTATAAGCTTCCGGCATACCAAGATCACAAGTACTACTATTTACTACTACTTTATGCATTTATCATGGCAATGGAAAAACAAAAGTCAAACTAGGCCATTACGATTTTCATTGAAATCAAAATAAAATACCTTATTTTTAGCTTGAATCTAAAATATAATTCAATTCTTAATAAATTTAGAGTTTAAATTTTAATATTTAGATATATATTTTTTATTTTTAATTTACAAAAAAATTTGGCCTTTGATTTGATATCTTTTAATTGTATGTTTTCCGTTGGTGAGGAAAGTGCCATGCCATAAGAGTGAGTGAGAGTAATTTCTCTATTTAATGAAGAAATAAACGGAGGGAGGAATCGGTTAACACAGCGGTGGGCGGGCGGTTGTGGGTACAACTTGAACCATTTAATTTCAAGTAGGCTGTTCTCCATTAGGCATTTAAAAATACATTGTTTGATTATGATTTATGAACCCCACTTTAATTCATTGAAAATTATTCTATATATGAATCATGAAATTTTTTAGATTTCATAAATAAATTAAAAAATTAATGAGTATTTATCACGCTCACTCTCTCGAATTCTTAATTTGTGCTTTTTTACAAGCACTTTTTAATTTACTTATAAATCGGAAGCTAAAAATTTTATTTAGTGGAGATTTAATTTAAATATATTAAGTTATAGAAAACAATAATAATAAAAATAGTGATAATAATAATAATTTTAATTTTAAAAATTTATATCAAATCATAATTATTAAAAAAATTTTAATTATTTTGACGTAATTTTATATTTAAAAACGTTACACAATAATTTAATTATTAATATTTTGAACGTATCTTTTTTAATGTATATATAACTAAACTATCATTCAACCATTGATCTTTCAATAAATTACACAACAAGTCTTTGAAATGTTCATTATTGAAAGTGCTCTTTCAATTGTGACAATGATATCTAATAAAATCAATACTAATCTCAATAATAAATAAATTAAATTAATAAAAACTTTTTAAACTTTATTTAAAACAAATAACTTTTCTTTTTTATTTTTTGAGATTAATGAGGCTCAAGCCCCCGCTAGCCCCTTGGTATCAAATATTCCACAACAAATTGTTAGGACTAACAAATAATTTTGATAATGAGAGATAGAGTTGATGCCAATTATCATTGATAATTAGGACTAACAGATCATATGTCACAACATATGTTGCTAATTCATCCATAAAGTTTCTTCTCAGCTTTTCTTTGTGAACCTCCCCTAAGGGGAGGAGTCCTGTAGTATGCTGGAACAGTTAAGAGGGAAAAACATTTGTCTGATTCCTTCAGACTTTAGAATGGGGAAAAGGATGCCTGATGCAACCTGAAACGACAAATATAGGAAAGGTAACACATCAGAATTAAGATCTCTATATTATGATCCTTGGGTTGTGAAATATTCTCAAGTTGCAGTGAACACAATTGGTGAATTAAGGAAAATGACTATAAATGAGAAATGTTTAATACAGATAATGACCCAAATAAATTTAGCTCCAGTCCACATGCGTTTGGGACAAGGAAATGGAAGTAACAATCGGCCAACACCATATATTGCCATGGCAATGAAATGAAATGCCAAGCTTAATGGACAAGGATTCAGACCTGAGATGAGAGCTAATAGTCCACTAGAAAAGACGCCCCCTAGACTCAGGTAGTTGAAACATACCCGTTGCATGTCCTTCATCGCCGGATCAGAGGAGGCACTACTGAATACCTTGTGTAAGGCGTTAGCCGATGTATTTATTGTAGATGCCATTGGCTGTAGTGGCAAAATTCAGTGTTATATTTCCAAAATTACAAAATGTATAGAGAAAATGAATTGCAAATTTATTAGCTTACCTTCCTCAGGGTATGAAAAGATTCAAGATATTTGCAAACGGCTGATGCATCATATAGATTGTGCAAGGGTCTAAGAAGATCCCTTAGTACAACAACATCAGATAGAGCAACAGTCATTCCCCCTCCAGTGAGAGGATGTCGCATATTGAATGCATCACCTATCAAAAGTGCACCAGGAGTAGGGTGTGGAGCTGCAGGCATGGTTCTAGTCTGCATGATTCTTATGTTTTTCCTCGTCTCTATTGCAGACATAAAGGCAGTGTACAATTCAGGAGGAAGCTGAAATGCATGTGTTTGATCGGAGTAAATAAGTGGCAGTGTTAAAATTTTCAGGAGAGGCAGAATTGAAGAGAAAAAAGCTAGCTAGTAATGTTTGATTTCAGAAAAGCATGCATGCATGCGTTATTATAGACATGGACTAACCAAATTTGAATATGTCAGAAAAGTTTCATGAAACATCTTTTTTCTATTACGGATAGTATCTGAAATAATCCCCCAAATTGTTAAAACCATAATTACTAAAATGATGTTAAGGCAAAGACAGGAGTACCTTGGGAGCCACCAGAGTTTTCAAGTAGTGGGTCATTTTACCATCGGAAACAGAAGGTACATTTTGGCTAGGTACATCAACTATGCAACGAAGTTCAGTGCTGCTAATGGGAAAAAACAAGATAGGTGAAGGATCTGCCAATATAATAGCTCCAAAATTTTCATGCGGAAGTTTGCAGTTCTTCAGAATCAAACCAACAAAACAAGAGGGAACATCAACCTGCATTCAGAAATAATCAAGATCTTTAGCATCATAATTAAAAAGATTAAGCAAGATCCAAATGGACCCTTAACTCCATTTAGGAGAGAGATCAGTCAATGGGTTTGATGTCGTTTTTGGGGAACCTTTTTCGGATTCACGTACTATCTATGATAGTTGTATGTCCATTTTTTGTGCCCCTCATGGACTCAAATAAGCTTCTCTTTTTCTTTTCCCAAAAAAACTTCCATTGCCACTTTCTAATAAGCAATTCATGAAAATTAAAATCTCTTTTAACCTAATTTATTTTGTAGAAGCTTGATTGATTTTAATAAAACTTTGACATTAACAAGATTTTCACCTTAGGGTAGCAGAGAGTGCGTCTCAAATTTGAGAAACCACCATCACATACAATGGTGAGGGGAGCATGTGCTGTCAGCTCTTGACCATTCTTATTTTTGTAGTGCACTCCTTTGACAGTTCCATTTTCTTTAAGCAGAGATGTAACCGTCCCTTGTTCTAGACTTACACTGCATAATCAAAGGGTAAGAACATGAACTTGTGGATTGTATTTGTTCCAAAAGATCGAATTTCGTTCCTTCTAAAAGAATCGAAAAAATTATGTTTTGATTTTTTTTTTCCATTTTGCGAACCAAATCGATCTGCTGTCTTGCATTGGCTTTGCATGTTTTTTCCAAAGTTGATTATTGGTATGAGGCAAAATTTTGATAAAAGAAGAAAATATATGATTTTTTTTTCAAAATCAAGACCTAAAAGGTGGAGGTGATTAATGGCAGGGGCCAGTAAAGCAATGGAAACAGACACAAGTTATTTAATCCATTAGAACAAATGTTCTCACATCCTATACGTTGAAATTATATTTGAAGAATGATGAAGATTAAGGAGATATGTACTTGTGAAGAGATGCAGCTTTCTCCCGTAACCTTCGTACAAAACTACCATTATGAAAGTTTCTTCCAGCCACATGGGGCTGAAACTTTTCTAGAGGAAAATATATCTTGGCATTCTTTCCATCTTTGTACAGGACAGATCCCACAATTCGCTGAGCATCAATCTCATTTACACAGTCTGCTGTGCCAAAAATCAAATGTAAGCAACTTGGCAGGGAAAAAAGAGAAGAACAAGAAGACGAATCCCACTGTAAACATTGTTCATTTTCTTGCTTACCTTCAAGGCCAAACTCAATTAACTTGAGGTAGCCTCCTGGTAGTAAAACTTCACCAGTAATTCTGTCAGGCTCATTTAAGTCCCTCTCAATCACACGCACTCGACGTCCGTCCTGCAAAATGTAAGTAGAGATCGAAGACTGTACGTTTGTGGTACATTAAATTGTACATACTTATTATAGATTCATTGCCATACCCCAAATTTAAAGGATTTTTATGGAAACTCGAGACAAAAGGTGATAAAACTGTGCTGGGAAAAGAGAGAAATGTTCAGACCTTTCCAAGAGAATAGGCAAGAGCAGCACCGGCAACTCCGGCGCCGACTATGATATTGTCTGTAGTCTCAGCAACCTGATCACCATTTCCAGTTTTTTTACCAAAGTTTTCTGTCGGAAACTCCATAGAAGCTGTTCGTGTCTTCTTGAGTCCTCTTGCTAAAGAATTGCAGTACAAGAAACCAAACCCCAGAAGAGACGCTATCACTCCCCCAACTATACACTGGCAAGCAATTAATTTAAGAACAATGTAGAACAAACTGTAAATATTGGAATGAGTAATCAAAAAGAACAGGAGAAAGGAGGTGAGAGGCAACGAGAGCATTTCTTGTCTTTTATATATACTCATTGGGACTTGGTGTCACCAATATCAATTTAATTCGAATCATTTAAAATTAAAATTAACAATTAAATATATTAAAATTAATTATACATAAATTACATAATATATATAATGAATATATTTATATACGCAATTGATACATTTTTTATCTTTTCAAAATATTTATGTTTTATTAGTATCTAATATTCGTATATTAATGTGTATGTTTCCATTATAAAAAAAAATTCATGTTATCCCAAAATATATTAATGTTTATTTTATTAAATTATTTATTCCTAAATTTTTATTCAATTATTAATAAAAAAATCATAATTTATATCATGTTCAGAATATTTATAGAATAATAGTTGATAAGAAAATTAAGAAAAAAAAATAATTTATCCTACATTGAAAAGGCCGCAACGGACAATTTTAAATTTTATTGAATATAAAAATAAAAACAGATAATATAATACTTGCTTTATATTTATACTCATACTTTATATATATATATATATATATTTTACATATTTAGTAAATAAGTTTTTATTAAATAATATAAGTTATTATTTTATATTAATTAGAGTTAATATATTTTTATTTAAAATATATATTAATATATTTATAAAAAATTAATATGTAAGATAAAAATTTTAAAAATACTAAAAAAAATTATATTTTGATTTTTATGTTTTTTAAAAAGTTATGAACACCGAAAATTATTCATATTTATTAAATAAATATAAAAATAAATTTCCCCCTTCCATGTCGTATGCGTTATTCCCCCATGCCGATTGCAGAGATAAATCCAGCTTACGGTTTATGCAATTTACCAAAACAACCTTGTGATGCAAACCGTATTACGATCATGTCGGTAACGGCTACTTACAGAACCTCCAACAAATTTAAAACAACAGGTTCGGTGTATGGATCTGGCTTCCAAGAACCGAACAGAAAAAAGAAAAAACACAACTGCCACACCCTTTGACTCTCTAACGGCTAGTTTCCTTTACCACGCTCTTCTCCTTCATTTCTCATATCTAACGACGACGACAAAATGGACGAATCTCTGATCAACGGCGGCCCCGGCGAAGAAGTAATCGGCGACGACTTCTACGAAAATATTGAGGCTCCTAAGTTCGTGGACTTCACCGCACCCAATCGCTGCCGAACCGAAAATGATGACCGTTACTGGTTCTGTCTCCGTGTCGGTGAGTTTCTTTTTCTTCTTTTGACTTTTCTACTTCAGTTTTATGTTCTTGTGTAACTGAAACTGTAATTAATTTGCAGATAAGATAAGCTTAAATTTTGTACTTGGGTTTCCTTAGTTTTAGTTAAGTCAAACAAATGTTCGTTGACTTATGTCCCAATGTTTTGGTTGTTCTTGTTTCTTAGGATGTGATCAAAAGCATGAAGAAGAAATGGATTCTGAAGCCATTTATAAAAATTTTGTTCTTCGGGTTAGTTACAAAATTTTCCCTGTCCTTCCCTCCCATTTTCTCATATTTTGTAAGTGATTGATCAACTTAAACAACTGAATCTTTCAGGTTATGGCCGCTAGGAGTCCGAGTGTTCGGCTTCGAAAAGCTCTTTACAGAAAGGATTCAAGGTATATATATGAAAATGTTCTTGTTTTGGAATGCTGAAGTGTTAGTTGTAGCAACCATGGTTGAATCTTTGACAACCTTAAGTATTACAAAAAAAATGTTCTTGATTTACAGGACAGCTTGCTTTGACATTTACAATTTTGTTTTTAATTGTTATGTTAGTTCAAATTTGGAATGCCCCCGTACGGTTCCTGCTAAATCTTCAAAGTCTAGAGTGTCAAGATTGGCTATGATTTCATCCATTCCTCAAAAGATGGGTGAAGCCAAAGTGAAAGTTAGACCTGTTCCTAAGCAGAGTGCAACTACCCCAAATGTGAAGGCAGCAAAGCAATCATCTACTAAGGCCTTGACTACACCAAGGAATAGAAAGGGCCTCTCAAATCCAGGTACTTTTCAAAGTGTTAGGAACCCGAAACCGACTACAATTGAGGTACCAAAAAATAGAGTGGTGGCAAAGGCTCTTGTATTCCACTCTCCAAAGAGGGCAGTGAAGTTGAAGAAGTCTGTAGAATTGAGTAGTTCGTTAAGAAAGATATGTAGAGGGATGGAGAAGGTTGAGATCACTGAGAAGAATACATTGGGGTGTAAGAAACCTTTAGATGCTTCAAGGAAACAGTTAAGAGGGAGAGAGGTTAAAAGCCGGGTCTATGATTCTTTGCATTTTCAGAATCAGAAGAAGCAGGAAGCCAAATCTGTAAGGTGTTCGAAGAAAAAGAACAAGGGAAAAGACTTGCAGCTGCCGACAAAGGGACCTATGTGTCATAAACTGAATGAAAAGTACTCAACCGAGATGGAGATTGAGGCAAAATCAAAGGATTGTTCTTTGGAAGTTTGCTCTACATCAAGTATTTCTAAGAATCCTTCAGAGGGCTTGATGCAAGTAATAGCCGAGAAAGTCAAATTTTCATCTGATACCTCAAGGAATAACATGAACTCCCTTTCAAACTCTGAAGGAATGAATTCTGGAGATGATGATGATGTTCCCAAATCCCAAAATGAAGGGCATGGTGAAATTAATGCAAGGAGTAGCCAGGAAGAGAAAATTGAACCATGTTTTAAGGACAAGGAAATCCCTGAAGCCACGGAGAGTGATGACAAAGAAAATGCTTTGGCATCTTACATTGAAGTAAGTGAAAGCAAAATTGACGATAAGGAAAATGCATCAGCTTCTGATGAAAACAGGTATGGAATGCATGACATTTTTTTATGCTTTTGTTTATAATCACTTAAATTATTTGCATTCGCCATTGAATTCGCATGACAATTAATTGCAGAAAATTGAACTTTACCACCGGCAAGTTGATGAAAAATGATGTTCTTGGAAAACATGAAACTTCTAAAAGCATTCAAAAGGTAGCTTTTTTATAAGAAAGTCATAGTCTTTGTTTAATATCTGTTTCTTGATCGTTTGCCACCTTGTCATTCTCCTTTTCTGATATCTGTTCATGATGATGCAGGTTACTAAAGTAATGAGCAAGACTTTGAAAGAAAACTCCACATCTGTAGTCAAAGGTGCTCAAGGGATGAAGTACAGAAAACCCAAGCTTACAAATCCCAAGCCTTTTCGGTTTAGAACTGATGTATGCAAATTGTTTGAGTAGATAATATTAAAAAAAAAAAGGCAGAAAATTTTTCCATGTTATCTGATTATTTACTGGCTGTTTAGGAAAGAGGAATTTTAAAGGAAACAAACTTGGAGAAGAAGCATCTTCAAGCACCATTGAAAGAAACAACCACCTTTCCAGGATCCCAAGGTGGAAAGTCATGGAGAAAACATCAGAATGTACAAGTAAGTGCTTTGAGTTTAAACCTCTTATTATATAAAATAAAGCCCTAAACTAATGGTTTTTCCCCTGATTACAGATAAATGAAAACTGCCCTGGACAAATTGAAAATGTTAATTGTGCACATGAAAGCAGTGACAATAAATCAGATACAAGAACACTAAAGGAACCACCAGTAAGTTAATTTTCTAATAACTGGAGAAAAAAAAAAAGAAAAAAGAGAGTAAAGTCCCGTCTATTGCTTTCCATGGCTGTTTATAGACCATATAGGAATTTTGCTGAAATTATTCTATGATACTATGCTTTGCAGCAAACTATCAAAACCTCTAGTTCAGGGATTTCAGAAGGAACTATAGAAAGAAAGCTTTCTACCACTCCAAAGAAACGTACTGTTCCTATGCATCAGAAAACCAAATTTCCATCATTGCTGGAAAAAGGCCAAGACAAGGTAGCTCAAAAATCCGAGGGCAGATTTGAGAAGAATAAATTACCATCCATCAAACAACTAGTTAGACCACGAGGGTGAGTAGCAATCAGAAACTACCCTTTGCTTAAATTTAAAATTTTTATTGTTCTCTAAAGGATTAAATTGTTTTCCCAATTCTTGCAGTGTAGCATCAAGTAGGAAGAAATTGGTTTCTCCCATGAAGCCTGGTCAACTTGGTGTAATAAAGGAAATGTCACCTACAGTGTCCATACGCAAAGGAAAACATCAGATCCTAACGAGAGTGGAACTTCCTTAGCGACTAAAGCTTCTGTTTCTAATGCTTCGAGGCCATCACCTCAGGGAAGAAGGCATACAACAATTCCAAAAGAGCCAAACTTTCATAGCATTCATGTGCCAAAAAGCTGCACAAGGAGAGTATTATAGCTCAAGTGTATCATAATCGCCTTGGTCATAAGCCAACCCCTGTTTTTGTTGAATTAGATTTGCCTGCTTGAATTCATTTTTAGCACCTTGTTTTCGTTTATTAATTATCTTGAAGGAATGGTACGTTCCTCTAAGCAATTGTTTGTAAGCTATAACATTTGTGATACAGGAATGATTTGTATTAATTCATTTACAAGATATAAATATTTTTTATATAACCCTTCATTGTTCCATCAATAAGCGTTCTCCATCTCAAGTTCAAGACTGAGAAGAATCAGCAAGACACTTTCAAAGGTTACATGTGTCGTGATCGTTTGTGCCCGAGCTAATACTTGAAGGAAACATATGGGAGATCTGAACGAGCTTCATGGCTACACCTTTTGAAGTCAGATAGTCCAATATCTTACCATACATCCCTAGTTCATGATTACCGTCCAAGTTCAACATGACAGCTGTAGTTGCTTCCTTTTAGTTCAATTCGTTTTATAGAATTAATGTCTCAAAATTCCTACTCAGTCTAGACACAGAAAACACCAGGTCCGAGTGTATTATGGAATGACGTATAGAAGCATATCCTGACACTATCAGCATTAAAATTGAAAATTCACTTCATCAAATTTCTGTCTACCAATTTCCATCTTCAAGAGTGTATCACTTTTCTAATCTGATAGACAGGTCATATTGTTTTTATTTCAAGGTTGTTTGATTTATTTCTCTCCCGCGTCCTACATTTCTTGTTCAAAAGAAAAAATAGTAAAAAAAACAGGGTTCAAAGAAACAAAACCAACACAAATGAAAGGCCTACACAGATGAAGAACGTCTATTCAACATTGACATGCAATCCTCTGCAATTTAGGAAGATAGTCTGGCACAGCAACTCCATGCTGACTCTAGTTTTCAAGGTCCATTCTTCTTGGCAAGGTTTTTCAGCTTCTCATTTGCAGCCACAAGTTCAGCTGCTATTCCTGGTTCGTTGGCTGAATGCCCAGCATCTGAAACAACCTGACCAGAAAAATAGTCATTTTTCCATTAGGTAAAGGGGTATAAAATTCCTATGAACAGTCTCCAAAGTTGGGTGATTGCATGCAAATGCAGAGTGAACAAGAAACACCAAAAACATTAAATCTCAATGAGATTGTAGCCTGCCGCAAGCAAGAATTCATTGCAAGCTTTGATTCCTTCTGGCAAGTGGCAACCCCAACATGTAAAATCACATCTTCAAGAGACAAATAGCTTATAGTAGTTCTTACCTTAAAATCTGCCTCTGGAAATGCTTTGTGGAGATCCCGAGCTGACATCATGGGGCAGCAAATATCATATCTTCCCTGTTCAAGTTGTTCAAGGGTATCAGACTTGGATAGCAGACCTTTCAAAACGATTCTTCAAGCTACACATTCAAAAACTTTTAGAATACAATCTAAAATTTGTTGGTCTTACTGACGTCAAATATGTCATACAGATGAAAATTTTAAGGATAAAATAGCTTGAGACCTCCTTTAATATTATCAGGAAGCAGTTAGGGTCCTTAATTTTCTGCCACTATGTAACTACTGAAAGAATGTTAACTGCTTACCCATACCATATGAAAAACATGAAAAGCAAATGAAACGTTCAAGTAAACTATTTTAGCACACAGAAACTTGAAATTCATCTGTTCATAACACTGCTGAGTTAAAGTGTCTTAAAAACAAGCAGATAGGTTGGCTGCAATGTTTACGTGGTAAAGGATATAAATACCTGTACAATTGTAGTGTTAATATGCCTTATTTTGTCAATATTGTCCAACAAGAACGAATCTGAAGGAAAGAATCCTTTATTCACAAAGTAATGGTTCTCAATCCTGGCAAAAGCCTAAACAGAACAATGAAGAGACAAATGCGTCAAATTTTCAACAAGACCTTGCCATCTTGCTTAGAATGCTCTATAATTTCCAGCTCTAGGTCAAACTTAAGGTCTTCTTAGGCATTCAACTTACCAGTGAAAAATGATCATCATCCCCTCTCTTGATGTTTTCTTCATTTGGTAGAAGATGGGCAGTCATCATTTCCCATTTGGTCCATGCCCTAGCAGCGGCATACTAAGAAGTTAACCAGAGAGTTAACAGAGAGCATTAACCATTGGTGGCATAACAAGCAATGCAAGCTCACAAGTCACAAGCATTCAATGATCTCTACCAAGAACCCAACCTTGCTTAGGGTATTCTACAAGTTCCAATATTAAGTCGCAAATTTCTTTTTATATGAATTCTTTAAAATAATGCTTTCCAGAATTTATGTCCTGAAAATAATGTCAAAAGTAAAATCACAGAGACTTGAACTATAGGAAAGTGTAAAATAAAAAAGGGCAAAGATCCTTATATCTTGAGTTATCTAACTTGTTTTTGTGATCATTGATGACAAAGATCCTTGCATATACCGTGGGAGTTAAGGCTCAAATATATATATAAAGATCAAAATCAGTGCAAGTTTAATATATAAATATCCAATTGGTTCTAAACAGAAGAACATAATGGGGCCTAAAAGTCTAAATGTTCATATATTTTCTCTGTTTATTGAGAACTCTGTTCTACAGAAACTCTCATTTTCCCTTTTTTTATTTGGACAAGTATTCTAAATCTAACCTAATAAGACGAGACCTCTAGCCATTAGCAATTGCTGTAAGGATAAGTTCGAGCTGTAGAAAGATTAGACCTCTTGCCACAATAGTAATTTATGGATCTGTAAGCGGTAGGTATGATTACAAATATAGAATAGACTGAGAGACAAATTTGAGTAAGAAGTAAGACCAAATATCAAGACTGTCATACAGTGCTTGATTGAACAGATCTAAAATTCTTGTAATATATTTGACTACGAGAAAACAAGTTAAAATGCTCCAATAGCCTAAACATTTCAAGAAGGACCATCATCACGCTGCCTATAAAATTACAAGCAAAAACTAAGTAAAGAATCTCAACGGAAAAAGGACTACAGAAAATAAGACATACATTTCACACAAGACACAACCACCAATTACATACGGATTCCACTTGACCAACCAAGTGCAATTGATGCCTTAGTCTATTGGCAGGGCCTGTAGACTCTTTTATAATTTTAGGCATAATTTCTGATATTCACTCTCAACATTAAAAAACAAGCAACAGAAGAAAACAAATTATAACCAGTTCAATAATTAACAACGGTACAGGAAGGAAATCAATTGATCTAAAACCAGATGACATCTCTTACTTGTGTTTCCAAATCATCAGAATTCAGTCTCTTGTGGTAGGCACTAACAAAACTCTCCCTCTCATTTTCTGGAATAAGATCCCTAAACGGCTCCCAAGCTGTGTATTTAGAAGACATGCATAACCAGTTAGTGATTACCTTCGAATATTTTAATCAGCACTCAGCAGGAAGAAAAATATAAAACAAAATAGTCTCAGCACAACACCAATAAGAGATGGGTTTAAATCATACAGTAGTTCCTACGCACAGTTTGAAATTCATTAAAATGTTTCAAATCAAACCTCTTTCCACGTATTTTGAAATTAAATTATCATGGAAAACTAGCAACTTGTCTTGCAACATTAAAACAAATGTCCTTTGCAATTAGACCAGCAAAGAATGCACATGGAACATACCATCAGGGTAAATAGCAGCAGCACCACTTTCGTAAAACCAATCAATCTCTTTCTTCCGCAAAAGGAATATCCCTCTTAGGACCAAGCCAGTGACCTTACAATAAACGAGAGAGATACTATCAATTCAAATTAAAGGGGAGGAATTATTGGAATTGCTGGAAACTTGATTGCATGTATCAGAATTCCAACCAACAAAATAACAGCCAATCAAGCACCTTGTCAGGATGTGATTGACTGTAAGCAAGAGCAAGTGTACTTCCCCACGAGCCACCAAAGACCTGGATAATCAGAAAACAGATAAAACAAAATAGCTAACTCACCAAGAATTGCTAACCGAACATGACATTGATCGAGCAATCAAAAACCACATATCAATACCTGCCATTCCGGAATTTCCAAGTGTTCTCTTAACTTTTCAATGTCATCAATTAGATCCCACGTAGTGTTCTCTTCCAAGCAAGCATGGGGAGTACTCTTTCCTGCACCACGCTGCAACAGGACATATAACTTATTAGAGGTTGAAAATAGAAAGAAACATTGTTATGAGTTTTAACATAAAGGCACAAAGAGTCACCTGATCAAATAAAATGATCCTATAAAATTCAGGATCAAAGAATCTTCGATTACTTGGCGATGTTCCTCCTCCAGGTCCCCCATGAAGAAAAACAACTGGCTGCAAAATAGGAACAGAATTGATAACAAAACCAAGGCAAAAATATCCCACTACATTCCTAATTGATAGCTACAGCCAATGGATACTCACATGGCCATTTGGGTTTCCTGATTGCTCCCAGTAGATTGTGTGAACATCAGAAACCTTGAGAAAACCTGTGCTATATGGCTCTATAGAGGGATAAAGATTCCTGTTAAGTTCTTGAATTTCCTTCCCTGACTCCATTATATCACTCAACTGAGTCTCAGCCTTATAACCAACCCTTTGCACGCACAAAGCTAACTTCTTTTTCCCTGCAAAGAGTCAAAGCAAACAAATTTCAACAAACCCATACCCACAAATGAATAAAAAAGAGATCTTTGTATATTTTCATTAAAGATGAAAAAATAAAGGGGGCAAGAGCGGCAGACCTGAGAAAGTGAAATTTTTGGAAACTGAAGGAAGGGATCGAGGGAAGTCGGAAAGGGAAGAAGGAATTGTTGGAAGTGATGAGTGAGTGAAGAGAGTATTTGATTTTGAGACAAATTTAAACCCTAACCTCATTCTTACTGTATGGGTAGTTGTCACATAGGCTGACTGATAAGTATTGCATTGGGGCATCGAATTAGATTCCTTGGCAAATAAAATTAACCAATTGGGAATATTGGGTTACTGTCTTTTTCTGATTTTTTTTAAAGAAGGCTGTAGAGACCGGTTGGACCAGACCTCAATATATTTCTCTGTGCCCTTTCTTGCGGCCAAATTTGCTGGCCTTTCAAAGCAAACATGCAATGTTCAAACTTTAAGTCACAAGAAAATATTACCACCAATATTCTTGCATTGAATTAAAGTTGAAAGAATATCAACTAATATGGTAAAAGGCTTACTTTTCTCATCTGATATCCCTTTGAAATAATCAACCAGGTTTTATTTTTATACCAGCTGTTGCAGTAGTTTTAGAAATAGAATATTGGGAGATTCTTCTTAGACCGGCATGGAATCCAGAGTGACATAATCACTGATTTATGCAGTAGTTTTAGCTTTGTATTTATACTACTAGCATTTAGTCCCTGAAGATAGGATTTGTTTTTCACATCTGCAGGTGAACAGAGAGTACAGCCTTGATTACATTATTTGCTTTGAGAGAAAACTGGTGCAAATATAATAAAAAGGAAGAAAACACACCGACATAACTGCATTTATCATCTGCTATTGCTAGCTAGAGATCTACTGCAGCTACAGCCTACAGTTGAAAGTAACTATGCTGTCTTTTATGAGCTATATATACAAAAAACAATCTTTCTGGTGCTTGGTGCTTACTCAGGGTTTCAAAATTGCTCTCCTTTGCTTTAAACTCGCTGGAAGATCAATCTTCATTCATTACTCGATGATGAATTCAAAGGTTCAGATTAACTTGCCATTATTCTTCCATTCCCCAGTGGGGCTACTTTCACCGTTTTTATAAACAGTAATATGACTAAGTTTACAAGGCTCAGCCTCCTCCAGCATCTGAACTACCGTTCTCATGCTAGGTCTAATTACCGGAATCTTTGCCGTGCAGTAAGCTGCAATCCGTAACACCTTGATGGCATCTTCCTTTAATACCTCTGAGATGTTTGAGTCCATCACCGCAACCAAATTTTCTTTGTTCTTCAGTTTACTATGTATCCAGCACACTATGTCCTTGTTCTCTCCAAATTCTGGCTCTACTGGCCTTTTTCCTGTCACCAACTCCATCAAGACAACTCCGAAACTGTAAACGTCACTCTTCTCATTTATATGGCATGTGTATGCATACTCTGCCACAAAAACAAAAAATAAAAACAATCAAATTTATGCAGCAATTCAACTAAATCATAAAATTTTTCACTGCAATTTATTCATACTACAATGATGGGTAGTAGATACTTGAATCAATTAACATAAACATAAAACACTGAAGAAAAAAAAACATGAAAAGAAACAAAAGAGTAAGAAACTTACCAGGAGCCATGTAGCCATGTGTTCCAGCTATAACATGAGTACAATCTCCTCCACCACCATTCTGCACAATCTTTGCAAGTCCAAAATCAGCAATCCTTGGCTTCCACTCTTCATCTAACAAAATATTGCTTGACTTCACGTCACGGTGTATAACAGGTCTGTCACATCCATGATGCAAATACTCTAACCCTCTTGCAGCCCCTACTGCAATGGCATGTCTCAGCTCCCAACTCATCTCCATCTTTTGACATGAGTGCAGCCTATCCCACAAGCTCCCATTAGGTAGGTACTCATAAACTAGCAGATTGCTATCCTCACTTGTGATGCTACAGTACAGCTTCACCACATTCACATGCCTAATAGCACTCAATGCAGCCACCTCAGCGTCATATTCTAGTGACCGGAAGTTCCTTTTTGTTAGCATAGCCGCACTGCTCTGGCAGCTTTTACGGTTGCCAGAATCTGAGGTCCAAATATGCTTCACAGCCAGTTCTTTGCCATCTTCCAATTCAACTTTATACACATTTCCAGACCCCCCTTTACCTATCAAATTATCTGATTTGATGGCATCAATGACATCCTTTTCAGTGAAACTTAGCACGTGATATGATTTCATGTCCCATGAACCATGCTTCAATGGATGATTAAGATTACTCTGCCTTACCCTCACAAACAGATAACATCCCAGTGATAAAAGCACGACTAATATTCCAGCTATCAAACAGGATAAAAATTTTAGAAGATGAATTGATGTACGGGGATTTGATGAACATGGCTGAAAGCCCTCGAGGTTTGAGCTGCATAAGCCCGGATTCGCCTTAAAGCTATCTTTGAAAACCGGAATAGATAAAGATTTGGGAATGGGACCAACCAACCGGTTGTTGGACAAGTCTAGAAGGCTTAATCTTGAAGATGACAAAGTAGTTGGAATTTCACCGGAGAGTTTGTTGTCAGACAAATTCAAGGAGTTCAGATTACGCAAATATCCAATACCATCAGGAATTTCCCCAGAAAGTGAGTTACCAGCAAGGTTTACATCATTCAGAGAAACACATGAGCCTAATGTTTCAGGTATTGTACCAGAAAACATGTTACCATTTAAATAAAGGCTGCCAAGGCGTTTTAAGTCTCCAATGGTCGCCGGAATTGGGCCAGAAAATTTATTTGAAGTAAGCTGAATTGAGACTAATGATGAAGCTTGAGAGATTGAAGTGGGCAATTCACCTGAAAATTTATTATTGGCCAAGAATAGTTGTGCAAGAGACTTAGCATTAGCAATATTAGCTGTCACTGGACCTTCAAATTGATTCATGGTAAGATCAATTAGGGAGAGGTTTGACAAGTTCCATATACCAGCAGGGACAGTACCTGAGAGCGAATTGTTATTTACTCGTAAACGAACCAAGGATTTGCAGTTTGCGTAGCTTTCTGGGAGAGTGCCAGTGAAGTTGTTCTGTAGCAGAAGAAGTTCAACCATTTTGCCATTCTTGCACATGTCTGGTGGAATAGGACCTGTCAAGAAATTCTCCGCAACATCTATGAATTTCAGATCTGACAATGAGCCAATTTTTTGAGGAAGCTGACCGGTAAGCTTGTTCCGGTAAAGTGCTAATCCTTTGAGGTTCTTGAATTCACCAAACTCCTTAGGAACCTCTCCTGAAAATAGGTTTTCAAGTAGCTGCAAAGAAGCAAGGTTCTTCAAGGATCGCAACTCTGATAGGTCGCCTCCAAGCAAATTCATTGACGCATCAAAGTTCACAAGACTAGTGAGATTTCCAAATCCAACTGGAAATTTTCCCGACAACGAGTTGTTGTAAAGCTCAAGTTGCCAAAGTTTGTTGAGTTTGACAATTCCTGCAGGAATTGGACCTGACAATCTATTCTCAGAGAGTTCAAGATTTTGTAGCTGAGTGAGGTTCTGAATTCCTTCAGGAATCTGTCCTGTGATGCTGCAATTTGTAAGATAAAGCCAATACAATTTCTCAAGCTTCAGGACCTCCAGAGGAAATGGACTTGAAGCAAAGGGATTGTCACCAAGGCTTAAGAAAGTCAATTCTGTGAGATTTTCCAGTGATTTCCATGGGAAAAGCCCGGAAAATCCACTATTGTTCAAATTCAAGAACTTCAATCCATTTAAAAAAGACAAGTCAGGCACTTCTCCAGAAAAAGAATTCTGGGCCAAATCCAGGTACTGCAGGCGTGCACATTTCTTCAGGTCCTCGGTAATATTGCCATGCAAAGAATTGTTTCCAAGGTCAATCTTCTCCAATGATTGTAGCTCGCAGATGGAACTAAAAGGAAGATAACCAACCAAACGTTGCTGGGGAAGATTGATTTCAGTGACGAATCCATTCGAATTGCAAACAACTCCGCTGAAGTTACATGGAGAATTTCCCTGTGTCCATGAACTGAAAACATTAGTATTTGACCTTTCTAGAGCAGACTTGAAGTTTAGCAATATCTGCAGCTCATCAGACTCTGCACAAGAAATCATGATGAATAAAAGAAAAAATAGAAACACTGGAGGAGGCCATTGCCAGGAAATTTGCCGGACCGACATGGCCGCCAGTGAAGGCTAATTGAGCCTGCAGGAGGAGTTTTTGAGTAAGAGAAATGAGGAAATGCAATAGACTATGGCATATAACACGAGGGCGGCTTTAATGTTTGAAAATATGAGCTCAGTTCACGCGTAGAGATACACTAGGTGATTAGAATAAAGGATACGGTACGTAAGCTGAAGGAAAAGAGAAACAGAAAAATAAGTAGAAAATTAGTTAGGTACATGTAAAAACTTTATACCCACTGCCAGGTTCTTTTCTTTTCCCTCCTTTTTCTTCAACAAATTTGGGCTAACATCTAAGAGCACGATGAAGATTTTCACCAGGTTTGGTGGGAAAAACTGGGTTTAATCTCAGGAAGTAAAAATAATAATCATCATATTAAATTCTTGGTCAACATTTCACACTTGCTCACTGGAATATTTTAAGAGGCCTACAGGGCCATGCTCCACTGTCTTGCGTTTACTTGGCTGTCCCATTTCCATCTACAAACTTGATTTTATTTATCTCTATCTTTGCTTTGTTTCAGGGTTTCATCGAAAGAGTAATGTCAAATGGGGAAACGAGGATAATTAAGTACTCATCTGACAAAAAGATGGTCGGCAAATGTGAACCCTGATCTGATTGCTTCAGTATTCCAAACCATTTCTTGTAATTTCATCGATCCAACACATTAAAATTAACTTGACCAAACTTTTTGAATACTACAATAATAGGCATATCACAGTAACACTCAGCATCTCAGGCATCTCATTGAAAACATATTTTTCTTTATCAAGTATTGATTGTCTTCTGTTCCAAATTTGACATACTTTCTTGTCTCATTGTGATTTTTTTCCCTTTTTTCTCTATCATTTTCAGTCAAAAAGATTAAAAAAAAGGTAAATACGTTTGCTATATTCTGAGAATCTAAAAAAAGTCTCGGAATCTCAGCTTAAAGTCACGTTAACGTAACGTCATGTAAGGAAATAGGAAACGTAGAGAGTGGAAAACCAACGGGCGCCGAGTTTGACTGACGTCTCTATGGCTGCCATGTGGAAAAATTTGTCAGTGACAAAACGAAGAAATTTCCTTTGATTAAAAACTTTTCGAAGAGTCAGATCCTTTGGGGTCCAGACATTAGAATTGTCACCGACTAGAAAAGTGACAAAAAGTTCCCAAAGATTGAAAAAATATAATCTGACCCCCTTGGAAGTGTGTGTGGAAGCAACGTGTTGCTTACTGTTTCTGTCAATGTTTTTTAGTGCATTGCTGACTCATAGTTGTGATTTTTTCTTTCTATGGATGATTAAATCAATTGTCCCACCTAACAATTCCAACCCAGCAAGGAAAAGATTGAAATCCATGCCACACCACTGTGCTTTTTCATGAATATTTTACTTATACAGTATATCTTGAATCTGGAAATGCGTTTTTAGCCACACTTTTCAAAGTTTTGTAATAAAATAATACTAATATAGATGATTTTCTCCTTACATACCATTTTTCACCTATACAATAATAATTTTCCTTTAAATAAACCCACGAAATATGATGTTTTGTTTCTCAACAAGATGACAAATCTCGAATGAGAATCCCATTCAATGCCAGCCCTACATGAAAGGATAGCATGAAGTCTAGCTGCCAATATTCTCAAATGACTAGTTAGACTTTTTGCCTCTAGTCTGAGAAACAACTAAATATAATTTCTCAAAAATTAAATTAAATTATGTAATTTGTTAATTATTATTCTCATTTTTTAATTTAATAGTTATTTAATTTAATTTAGATTCAAAGTAGCCCAAGAAGCCCAACCAATTTGTGAGGCCTCATTTTGTGTACTTGACCCAACAATTTCAAACGGGCGAAGCCCTTTCTAAAGAACATCTGCGGGTCCAAAAGAACTACAAATCCAGGGTTAGAATAAGGTAACCTTGAAAACAAACAGACCCTAGGGTTTTTTTTTCGTGCCTTGTTTAAGGTTTCATTCAGACTAGACGCTGTTGGTTTCACTTCACTTGTTTCGCTGGAAGTTAAAGAGAAAAATGTTGGACATCAATTTGTTCAGAGAAGAAAAGGGTTACAACCCAGAGATCATTCGTGAATCCCTACGCCGTCGTTACGCCAACGTCGGAGATGTCGACGTCATCATCGACCTTGACAAAATCTATCGCCAATGTAATTACCCAATCCGTCCTTTCATTTTCACGTTTCGATTTGTTTTTCTTTTTATTTTTTTCTAATAACAAATTTCTCGTACAGTGTTATATGAACTTGAAAATCTGCGAAAAGAGTTCAACAAGATCAACAAGCAAGTTGCTCAACTTAAAATTGTGGGTTTTTTTTCCTTTTTTTTTTTGGTTTTGTTTTAAACTCGTGATGGGTTTTTTTTTTTTAACTGCATTTTTGTGTTGGAATTGATGTGGAAAAGGCTAAGCAAGATGCATCAGAGACGATTGCGAAAACAGAGGAGGTTAAACAGAGAATAGCTGAGAAAGACGTTGAGGTTAAGGATGCTTGGGCTGTTTTAAAGTCTAAATTGGAGAAAATTGGGAACCTTGTGCATGATTCGGTTCCTATCAGTGACGATGAGGTGAATAACGCAGTAAATTTTATTCATTTCGGTGGTTTTGAATGCTTTAATCAGAGTAATGACTTATCTTACAAAAAATAATGCAGGCAAATAATGCTGTAATTAGAACCTGGGGTGAGAAGCGGTTGGAGCCTAAGATAAAGAACCACGTTGAGCTTGTTGAGCTTCTTGGGATTGCAGATACAAAAAAGGGTAATACATTTTTCATGGTTAATATGCTTTGTGTATTTAAAGTGAATACATTGCTTATTGGTTTTTAAGATGTGAAAATTGTCTATTTAAGCTAATGTGGATCCATTTTTTGATAAATGGTAGAACTGTAGGCTGTATTTCATCCTGAATGGTTTTATGCATGAATTTAGCTAGCAAATTGGCTTGGTTTGTTTCTTTGTTGAATCATTTTAACTGAAATTCCTTCGTCTTGTACTATAGGTGCTGATGTTGCCGGAGGTAGAGGTTTCTATCTAAAAGGAGATGGTGTGCGTCTCAATCAAGCTTTGATCAATTTTGGGCTAGATTTTTTGGAGAAAAGGGGGTACACGGCATTGCAAACACCGTTCTTCATGAGAAAAGATGTTATGGCCAAGTGTGCTCAATTGGCACAATTTGATGAGGAACTTTACAAGGTAACATGTGGAAATTGTTTTGGAAATCTTTCTTCTTTCCATGTACTGGGATGGTCTTGATTTCTTTACAAGTTCAAAGTTTTAACTATTTTTGAGAATTGAGATGGTTTAATTCTTGATATTGACTTTACTTCCTATCAAGGAAGTATTCCCCTTACATATTAGGAAAAAGAAACAAAAGAAAATGGTTATTGTTCTTTATGGTTAGGAATGTGTCTTTCATTAGCCAGACATTATTTTACCAAGCATTTCATATTGTATAAAGAAAGCATGACTGGTTTCGTTGATGTTCAATAGGTGACTGGTGAAGGTGATGACAAATATCTTATTGCAACAGCTGAACAGCCACTCTGTGCTTACCACTTGGATGATTGGATCCAGCCCTCAGAGCTACCTATAAGGTTCTAATCATGAAAAAGAAGCAAGGTGCCTATTTCTAGTAAAGGATCTTTTTGTTGCTTTTTTTATGAAAATATTTTTTTGCCAGATATGCCGGATATTCATCTTGCTTCCGTAAAGAAGCTGGTTCACATGGTCGTGATACTCTTGGAATTTTCCGGGTTCATCAATTTGAGAAAGTGGAGCAGTTCTGCATTACCAGCCCAAATGGCAATGATTCCTGGGACATGCACGAGGAAATGATTAAAAACTCTGAGGATTTTTATCAGATGGTATAACTTTTATGAAATGACTGAACATGAATAGTTCCTGTTTTTTCAACTAATCTCATTTGTATCTATAATTAGAACTCTTTGAATGTTGGTTTATCTGTATCAATGAACCCAATCAGGCTAGCTTCATATTTGTTCCCATGCCACCTGGAAGGGGTTATCAGTGGACAATCTTTCTGGTTTTTATTGTGAAACAAACCCATGTTAAATTAAGAATGTGGGGTCTTTGCCCTTCAACTTAAAGTGGTGCTAGGTTGTCTTTTAATAAAAGTTCACCATGCACGTAAAATCTTCCTCACTCGATATGGTATAAGAAATAAAGTGCTATTTTTTTGTTAAAACTTACATTTTTCCTTTGAAGTTTTGAGGCTGAAGAACCTTTATATGGATTGTGTGAATCTTGTTTTGTAGCTAAAGCTTCCTTATCAAGTTGTGGTGATTGTTTCTGGTGCTCTTAATGATGCTGCTGCCAAGAAGTATGACTTGGAAGCATGGTTTCCAGCATCTCAGACTTACAGAGAGCTGGTTTCCTGCTCAAATTGTACAGATTATCAATCAAGGAGACTAGAAATTAGATATGGGCAGAAAAAGGTTGGTCCTGTTGGCTTGTCTTGTTATTTATGAGTAAAGTTTTAAGCCAGAATACCAACAGCAGAGTTAAAGTGTGTAGGAGATAAACATGATTCATAATTTTTTTTTCTTTTAATAAGAGTAGAAATCAGTTTAGCATTAATTTAAACTTTAAAGTACTTTTATACCTTATTATATATCAACTAAAGTCCTGAGTTTACTGGTTGAAACTTTGGTTCATGCTTTGTGATTGTTTTCTGTTGCAGAACAATGAGCAGGCAAAACAACATGTTCACCTGTTGAACTCTACCCTTACAGCAACAGAAAGGACCATGTGCTGTATCCTTGAGAATTACCAGAAGGAAGATGGTGTTGAAATACCTGAAGTTTTACAGCCATTCATGGGTGGGAAGACCTTCCTGCCTTTCAAGACGAAACCAGCTGCTGAAACTAAAGGGAAGAAATCCAAGTCCTAGTTATGTGGCTTACTCAACCACTGGTTACAATTAAAGGAACAAGTGCTCAGATTGGCTGAAAACTAAATTTTGTTACTCCAAAATTGTTGTCTACAACCTTCAACGGCAGAGTACACCTTTCAAATGTTTTGTAGTACTTTGCAGAAGAAAATTCCAGCCCTGATACTGTGATGTGCATGTTACATGATGTTTCAAGGTGTTGGAATTTTATAAATTTGGTTTAGTTACGATATCCCATTTTGATCAAGAATAGGGGGATGATATCTGAGGATTTGCATCAGCATTGTAGTTTACACTCCATTGAATGTTTTCCCTCTGATGTACAATAAGGTTGATTTTTCTTCTTTCTGGAATACTACGACTACGTTTTCTGAAGCTCTTGCATCTTCACATTATGCAATTGCTGATAGGCAACCGTGGACGTTTGCCCCTTATTCTGTGAATCAAGGTGTAGGTACCTTGTTTGTGTGTGTGTTTTGTTTTTATATATTTAAAGTTATAAAGATTTATATCTAGATCACATATTTTTATATTTGAAGTTATCAAGATTCAAACTTGATCACTGGAATTAAAAGTTTAGTATTTTATTAAAGGATCAATTGTTGGCGCTGGACATTCCATGACCAAAGAGGAAAAGAATTTTGTGATAACCTGTAGAAATTAAGAAAGAGGTCTTGGTTGAGAGCTAGAAAAATGTTATGGATGCTGATAAATATAGTTTCGGATAATTTTATGTGTTTAGACATCATTATTTTTTTCCTAATAATACCCATAGAATTTACCACTTGTATCACCGAAACAAGTAACAACTGCAAACATCATTAGTTTTTTATTAGAAAAACAGACATCTCAAGTTTTTTATCACCCTGGAAATAAACCCAAACCAAGTTTTTGAGAGCCACATTCCTTTGCGAGTAGAGATAGGATAAGGACTTGGACTAGTTTCCACACAAACTAAATTTCGAAGAAAATATGTGTATTTACGTCAACTTCACCTTTATCTCTTCTTTTGCTTTTCTGTTTAAATCCATTCATTTTGTGCACGTAGAACCATAATATTACACCCACCCTACACTTTAACCCTTACCATCTCTTGGAAGAGAAATCAAATGGAGTTTAGCTCAGAGGCTAACCAACGCATTGCCAGGATCTCAGCCCATCTCCAGCCTCCAAATCCCCAGGTTCTCTTCTATGTTATCTCCTTACAGCTACAGGTACAAGTTTCAATGAGTAACGTAGCTTTTCCTGTTGTTTGATGTATTTTGTGGATTGTAAATGACAGATGGGAGAAAGTTCTGTTTTGAGGCGAGCTGACTGCAGAGCAAAAGGAGGGGCACCGGGATTCAAAGTTGCTATCTTAGGTGCAGCTGGAGGAATTGGCCAGCCTCTTGCAATGTTAATGAAAATGAATCCACTTGTTTCGGTTCTTCATCTTTATGATGTTGTGAACTCCCCTGGTGTCACAGCTGATCTCAGTCACATGGACACTGGTGCAGTGGTAATATTTCTTCTCCCGTTGTTCTCTTCTAAAGACTTTAACAGCTATTCAACACAAATTTTCTAGGATATGATAGACTAGATGTTCTTTGAATGAAGAGTGCATTATCATGTTAATTCAGAAACATTTAGACATGTAAAAATTGATATTCATTACAGTGAAATGTTCCTTTTGGGTTCTAGGTACGTGGTTTCCTGGGGCAGCCGCAGCTTGAAAGTGCTCTAACAGGCATGGACCTTGTGATCATACCTGCTGGTGTTCCGAGGAAGCCTGGAATGACGAGGGATGATCTTTTCAACATTAATGCTGGAATTGTCAAGACACTTTGTGAAGGAGTTGCAAAGTGCTGCCCTAATGCAATTGTTAATCTGATCAGCAACCCAGTGAATTCTACAGTTCCAATTGCAACAGAGGTTTTTAAGAAGGCTGGTACTTATGATCCAAAGCGACTTCTGGGAGTTACAACTCTAGATGTTGTGAGAGCAAACACTTTTGTGGTATGTTGAACCATATAATGTAATGGTTATGAGATAATCAATGTTTTTATTCACCATTTCATTGCATCATTGCATTCCTAATTTTCTTACCAGGCCAAAACATGCCATATCATGTATTTAATTGCTCATGGAGCACTGCATTTCTAGTTTTCACTTCTTACATAAGCATCTTTTTTATGTTTTCGTATAGGCGGAAGTTCTGGGACTTGATCCAAGAGAAGTTAATGTCCCAGTTGTTGGAGGTCATTCAGGAGTGACAATTTTGCCTCTTTTGTCACAGGTTTTCAACAAAATCTATTAAATTCACTTGTTTTCAGTTCTGATAAACTGTTATCAGTTCAATTTACTTGATGTCAATCTTTGCAGGTTAAACCTCCCTGCAGCTTCACCCCTGAAGAAACTGAATACCTTACAAATCGCATTCAAAACGGTGGGACAGAAGTTGTTGAGGTATAATAATGTTTTTCCTTTTCTCACAGAGCATGCAGAATCAATAAATAAAGTTAGAACAAGAGGATTCCAAGTTCAAACCTCAGAGTTCAGGCAACCAGTATTAGATTCACATGGACCTATCTATTTTAAGTTGTCTCAGTTTCACAATCCAAATTGAAAAATTCAAAATTGAGTTGCATCTTTTCACTTATGCAGGCAAAAGCTGGGGCTGGATCTGCTACACTGTCAATGGTTGGCCATCTATCTTCACTCTAATTTGTACCAAAATTTTTATTGTAAATTTTAATGGATAAATACAAGCAACTTAAGGGAAGGCTTTACATGTATAGGCATATGCAGCTGTCAAGTTCGCAGATGCATGCCTCCGAGGCTTGAAAGGAGATGCAGGAATTGTGGAATGTGCCTTTGTAGCTTCCCAGGTACCCTCTTCAAACATTTATTTCACGCCAACATCTTCTTGGTTTAGCATTTTTCACATTTTCTTTTATAATCATCATACTCTTATCTCAATCACAGGTTACAGAACTCCCCTTCTTTGCAACCAAGGTACGACTTGGTCGTACTGGAGCTGAGGAAGTCTATCAACTGGGGCCTCTAAACGAGTACGAGAGGTATAGATACAAATATATTTTGTGTTAGAAATATAAACATGTTTACTATTTTAAGTACTGGTACCAGATTACTCAATTAATTCATGTTTAATTTTTAACAGGGTTGGTTTGGAGAAAGCAAAGAAAGAGTTAGCAGGAAGTATTCAAAAGGGTATTGCCTTTATCAAGAAATGAATTGGTGATGAGCGGATCTCTATTATATAAGCTGCTTAAATCTGTTACAGGGCTTTGTATATGTTTTGGTACTTTGAAGAATCTGCGAATATTTAACAAAACCACTGCTGCATCAATTGAGATCTGCATGATGATCTATTCATTTTCTGGTTAATGTAGTCAATCTCACGCTTTAACACCTATTACCACAGATTCTCCAAGAAACCATCCAAAACTGCGAACTAGTTGAGAATTATATACTCAGTGAATGGGTAGCGATAAAGCATCTTTAACTTTATTAGACTTACAGCTCTTCTAACACATCAGAATCACAAGAAAAATTAAGTATAATTGATTCATCTCATCTTTAAAGTTTCTTTAACAAGCCAAAATCTTAACCCTTTTCCCTCTTTAACAATTTACAAGGTGAAGGGATTGGAAGGGGGATGAACAACAGGAGTTGTTGACAAGGTAATGTTCCCTGTGAGCACACTTGGTACCACAGTATCCTCCACAACAACAGGGTTAACCTGCACCACTCTCTCTGGTATAACTTTCTCACCATCAACCTTAGCCAATACCTCAAAATGCATCCTCACTGTCTCAGGCTTTGTCCTCCATTCAGGAAAACCCTCCAAATCAAACCCATCTCCTTCTTTCAACTTCTTCTCAATCCCAAAACCAATCTTCACAAATGTCTGAGCAGACACATCAGCCTTCAATAACTTAAAGGAACCTTTCTTGTTTGCCTTTGGGCCCAGTACAGATGATAGCAGTGTCTCGAAACCAATCAAATTGGCATTGGAACCATTGATGGAAGCAAGAGGCCACATTGTAGCGAAGTGCTTTGGGGTTAGTACTGTAGCGGCTTCTTCTTCTAGATCAATAGTGGAAACAGCATCCATGGCCTTAGTTTTAGACATTGACGACAGTTCCACAAGGCCAGGAGCAAGTCGCTTAAGCTTCAACTTATTATTTGAAGATGAAGACGATGGGACAGCAAGGGAAGTTGGGCCAACAATGCGGAGGGAGAGGATTGGAGCATCTTGACTGCGAGAAGCATGACGAAGATGCTCAGCCAGGGCCATAAGGCCAGATGCAAATCCATTTTGTGTTCGGTTCAGAGGTAATGGAAGATCAATAGGATGTCGCAGGCTAACTGATCTCGCACCCTTGACAGTTACCACGGCACCATCAGCTAAAATTACCTTCTTCAAGACGCCAGCATCCACATCATGCTGCAGAATCAAACCAACATCAAAATCAATAAATAGACTTCAAAAAATTATATAAGCACAACCCAAGAAGGGGAAAATCTAAATTCTCGAGACAAGAAAAAACTCTACCTTTTTTTTTTTTTAACTATTTGACTGATTTTTCCTTCTTAAAAATCTTACTTTGCAAATTCCCTAAAACAAAATCCTAAACATATCCAATTCAATTAGGGTTCCTTCTTTTTTCAAATTTCCAACTTATTTATGAATATTGTGATTGCAAGTTACAAGATTCCCATTATCAAAACTTCAAAGAACAAACTTTTTGTTATAAAAAGTGGGGAAAAGATAAAACTCACGGGCAAGGAGATGCGCATATCATTGGCATCCTGAATCCAGAGTTCCATCGGCCCAGCCAGCTGAAACGGGGCTAAAACGGGTAACCCATTATCTGATATCCTCTTATGCTCCACCAACCCATTTTCAACTCCGGGTCTAGCTGGGTCTTCAACCCTAAAAATGGGCAAATCAACGTACTCCCATCGGTTCACATCCTCCAAAAGCTTAAAAGGAATCACCTTCTTATCGATTTCAACGTCGAATTCATATGCCACTGAATGGCCCACAAGGGCATCCCTCAGATCAAAACCTGAAATCTTAAAATCATCGGTTTGGAATCCAAATCCCTTCACAATTGCTTCTTTCAAATCCTACACCCAAATAATAAAAGCCCATCAAATTATATTTTTGAAAAACAAACAAAAAAATTCAATGAATTGCAAAATAGCAGAAGAACGCTTACAGAAAAGGCTTTAGGATAGGAAGCGGAAACCAAGGCGTCGGAAGACGATAGAATCGTAAATAAAACGAAAATCAATGACACGATATAAGATGAAGATTTGGCAACCATCGTCGTCGTCCGTCCACCGACACCAACTCCGCAGAGGAAGAGAGAGATTCGAATTTGGAGGAGAAATTTAAAAGATTTTGATTTGATTTTTTTTTTATTTTTATGGACGTAAGTCTTAAAAATTGGTTTTTTATGGGGTTTAAATATAGGAGGTTTCTAGATAATGAGAGGTGGAGGATCTAGGGAAGGTGACGTGGAGTTAATGACCAATCAGAAGAGAGGAAATGATGCGAAACACAAATGCGATTGGTCTGGCTCTGTTGGCATTATTCTAGCCGTGTGGGGCCCGTCTCCGTGTTAAGCGGGGTGATTGGAAAAGGTAAAGAAGCGAACGACGTCGTTCGCTGGCCATCTCCGTGTTAAACGGGGTGATTGGAATAGGTAAAGAATCGAAGGACGTCGTTCGCTTGAGTAGATAAAAAAATTGAAAAAGAAATATAATTTTTTGGCGTCGCCCGGACTCGAACCGGAGACCTTCAGTGTGTTAGACTGACGTGATAACCAACTACACCACGACACCATTAACGCTACTTTGGAGGATCCATCTCTCTTCATTTATGATACATGGATGCACTCCAAGCTATCCGGAGAATGATGGATATCAATTATTGCCCTTTAAGTCTGGTGACAGCTAACCCGATTAAACTCTTCCTCCCAATCTATTCAACTGGCAGAGCTGAAGCACATCCTGCCATATACATTCGGAAAACTTACACCCAAAGAAAAGTTATTTCTGAATTCCTGCATTCATTCATTTATCTTCATTCCCCATGATTGCAGTCAGTCCTTGGTAAGCAATCTGTTGAGGATAGGATAGCCTTCCAATTAGACACCATTGCATGGTTGGCACTATGAAATGGAAACCAAATCAATCTATCCCATCCAACCTTTAACTTCTTAGGTATCTAATACCTGACTTCTGTCCCACCCTGCTGTCCAATGAACTGAAGCAACTTCCTCCAGCCAGCTATTTCCTTGAGTAACTGAGGCCTGCCTAATGGTCCTGTCTTTAAGAATATCGGCCTGGATCCATGCGTTCCATAAGGAAATTTTGCTCGACAAAATTTTCGTAATAGGCCTTAGTGGATTCTTTTCTGTTGGGACCAGCCCAACCTATGCCTCGGCTCCGTTCAAGCATAACACTTTGTTCTTCAGTCTTCCCCAATGATAATAATGATTTGCATTTCTGGGAAATTAATAATAATTAATTAATATTGTAAATCTTCATTTTTTAAAATATGAGATATAAAACTTAATTTATTATTGTTATATAAATAAAAATTAAATATTATATGAATATAACTAATGATTTGTGTATTTTTACTCTCGTATGCTTTTCTTTTTTTACAAAAATATGGCAAATAAATTTAAAATATTGATAGATTATCTCAAAGAAAAGTTCCAATATTAAGATTAAAACTGTAGTATATAAAACACTTAAATCCAATTATTAAAATTTAATTTTTAAAAATTTAAAAGCAAAAATAAATAAATAAATAAATATTAATCATATTCATCCCTTTCGGATCACTGTTCCTGTCACGCAAATATCACGTTGGATTTAACATAAATTGAATGACATGAGAGGGTTGGGTGATGGCTTAAAACCAGAAGTTAAAACAGCAAATAGTAGACACGTGGATGCTTGTACTTTTCTGTATTCTAGCTTTGACAACTAGGTATTCAAATTCAATTTGGCAATTGCTTAAATAGTGAAATTTTTAATAATTATCAATGATTTGATGAAAAAAAATGTGAAACATATCTAACTTATGTATGTAAGATCACATCTCGTCGTTGTTGTAGATTTCTTTTTCTTGAATTATTTTAATTTTAAAATGTAATAAAATAAACTACAGTACAACAGCGAATCATAATTTTTTTTTAAAATTGATAATATAAAAATTATGTTCAAATAAATATTATAGTAAAAAAAAGTTTGATATATTTTTGATTTACGCTTTACCTTGTTCTTTGTTTCTTTATTGGAGAGTCTCCAGGGAATAGATTTGGATGTAACGTAACTTGTTGGTTGAATCAGATGAGCTATAATTAGCATAATTTTATTCATGTGTATTTCTATTATATAGTAAATATGTTAAATTATATTATGAGGTACTAAAATGGAAGCAAATTTCAATGAACAAACAGTGTTTGGATAGATCAAAGGAATCATTGATAGACAAGTATAATACTCAATTGACGGAGTCCAAGGGTTAAAAATGTCCAATTGTCCTGGCATCGTAGGTCGGTTCTAGCTACTATTCTCACATCGCAGCGAGTTCATTTGATTGGTACCAACTATATATTTTAATCATAAATTTCAACCCGTGCTCTCTTTTTTAATGGAAAAAGGTTTGAAAGAGGAGTTGCAAGAATGTCTTCTGGGTTTTGGCATCATGGTAACGTGGTTATTGGTTAATGCCTTCTTGACAGGATATAAATAATCATAATATTTGATGAATAATTTATGTATAAATTTAATTTTTATTTGTTAAAATTAATAAATATTTATGAATGATATTTCAGATTTAATAATTAAATAAATAAATCACGAATCATATATATTCCATTTGTTTGAATTTTAGTTATGAGTTCATTTTTTTATGATGGATGTTTTTCCTCTTGAATTTGTATGAGTTACTGTATGGGACTTGTATTCCCACTAGTACTCTTTGTTTTTTCTGCTTCAACAAAACAGATTGACTCATCAAAAATTTTTGTAATATATTACTGCTATCTCAAAATACTTATCATATATTAATTTTTAGGAAATTTAAAAAAAATTATTTTAATGTGTTTAATATTAAATTTTAAATTTTTTATAAAAATAAAATTTTATAATTTTTAATGTTAAAAAAGTAAAAAAAAAATCATAAAATATATTTTTAAAATATAAAAAAAATAAAAATTTAGATATTTAAAAAAAATAATTTTAAAATTTATCTTTAAAAAAATAGTCAGAGGAAGTAATTGGTATGTAACTTTTAAACGAAACGAGTTGAAGTTGTAGCATGTAGATGTCAGTTTCACTAACCTGATTAGGATTCTCAATTCCAAAAATAAAAAATAAAAAAAATAATTGGACGAAAGACAGTTTAATGGGGAGATAGGCAGATCTTTCGGACAATGGAGGATAAGATCAGGATCTTTTGTGGGGTCCGAGGTTGTACTGTATACTCCTGTTATTAAAAAAAATAACCAATTAAACATTACACCGGCGGCAATAATGGCAGCCACTGTTATAATATCTCTATTTATGGTCATGATTTATTTTTTTTATCAAAATTTAATATTTAATCTGTGATTGGCTGAATTTGTTTCAATATTTTTGTTAATCTTATGTCTTAAAATATTGCATATTTTTTTTTATAGGTTTAAAGTTATCCTAAACAATTGTCTGACAGGATCAAAGAAAAGGAAAGATTAATATGGTAAATGTAGAAATCCTACGTTAGCTGCAGTTTTCAACAGAAAACGAAAGTACAATGTCAATGAATCTGCAAATGAAAACATGCCAAACGCTACCTTTTAAAGCGTCTGGTTTTGTCCTTTGCTCAAGGCAACTTGACAAACATAAACAACTATGGAGTAGTACAACCACCACATCATGTACCACCTTTTTAGGGTTCTTCCAAGTCATGCCAAGCTTTTGTGAGCCTCGAATTGATTCGAATTGACGTCTTGCTTTTACAAATTTTGGTTTTCCTCAACCACAAACATTATCAAAATCCAGGAAAGAACAAGGCAAATGATTTAGATGAAACTGTAGTTCATTTTTGTTATTCAAAGTACTATTACAACACCAGATAGCTAGAAATTACAAGGAGAAAGAGGCTCAGGATTCAGGAGTCCTCTAAGTCACTGAAACAAAACAGAACACTGCTGCAACAAAGGCCAGTTTGTCCACACACCCAAAAAAAGAAACACATTTTTTTCCTTTTTAACCAATTTAGGTTAGAAAGGGATGCATCATATATACATGTTCGGTTGAATTTTCAACCTCCCGAAAAAAAAGCCCAAATGAGCTGAGATGAGATCAGTCTATAAAACAAGAAGGAATTAAACATGGTCAAACAGTAGGACCATGCAAAAGATTGACTGAAAAGAACCGTCTTGCAAAAATGAACCTCTGATCAGCTAAAAGTGGCTTGATGGTCTTGAGTGGTGGGATCATTAAAATGCCAATTGATTCGGAGTGTCTGAAATTATGCGTACAAGGGTATTATTACTTACTTTTAAAGCTTATAGTATATGATAGATTGATAGTTAAAAGGGTGATTTTTCAGATGAGCAATTTAAGAACTGCTCGTAGCTTCTTCACAAGATCCTTTACTGTCATGCAGAATTCCATATCCATCTGAGAAAAAAAAATGGAGATTATTGAAGAAAAGTAGATGAAATAATGACTTCTCATTATTTTGTTTCAAACAAACATTCACTTGTCATAGAAATTTTAAATACCTGAGCAACAATAGTTATGTCAAGAGCTGAACTCCCAAATGTCATGACATTGCTATTGATGATTGTAAGGTGACACTGCTCGATTTCAGACATGATTTTCTCTGAAAGTCCTTTTCTTTTCTCAGAATGAATTCTTACAAGAACACTTTTATCACAAAATCTTGCTTCAATTTCTGGTAGTGGCTCATCAAAGGGGTAACTGAAGTTTTCATCCGAGGAAAAGTCTTCATTGTCATCGAATAGTTGAGATTTCTTCACAAAAACTACTGATTCCATTGATTTCTTCCTAGTCTGCTCCTCAAGTGTCTTGACTTTCTCCTGCAGTTGTTTCAGATACTTGATAGCATCTCCAAGCACAGAAGCTTTGTCCATCTGCATCGCATTGCAATATAAATCAGAAATTGGATTGGCATTGATGTAACTAAAATTCAAATTAACGAGAAGAAAAAAAAAAGAACAATTGATAATTTACATGTATACCAGTAATTACCTTCTTTAAGCCAGGAACTATAGCAGACAAAGCTATGAACTTCTGGCTGAGCTTTTCTCGCCGTTTCCTTTCTGCCATGATATGATCTTGTGTCTGAGAAATTCTATTGCCTGTGCTAACCCTCTTAGCTCCATGGCAACCCTTAAGCACATAGTTTTGGCTTCCAATTAAGGGATTTTGAGAAAACAAGAAATCAGAAGGAAAGGACTCCATGCTCTTAGAACATGATGCCTCTTCTTTAGGCTTCCAAATGCCCACTGAATTCATGTGGTTGGAACTGGCAAAGGAAAGAGTATTTGGAGAAAAAGCAGCTTGAAGGTTTGATATATCATCTGCATCAGCTTTGCATGAATTCCATGCGACCGGATAGTAATTAGAGAAAGAGTGCTGCAAGTTCTCTCCAAACGCAGCCGCCAGAGGGAGGACGCTGAGTTCATCAAGAGAGTTCATATGCCAGTGCTGATTGAATAAGTTAGGATCCTCCTCTCCCTGTGGATTTGAGATTTAGTGACTATAAAAATAACATTCTTGAATACGACAAGTGTTGCAGTAATTCATGCACAATTAAGAAGATATGCCTATATATAGCAATGAATAATATGAACCAGAGAGTTGAAAAGAGTCTTACCAGTTCAGGTAACTCTCTAATTGATGAAATCTCCATTGAAGAATCCACTTTCTGATAGAAAGAGCCTGTTGAAGTACCCTGGCAGGAACAGTCACCCAAAAATATGAATGATTAAGCTTGTTCACTTATGTTGCTAATGAGTTAGCACACATATTTCGCAAGGCCTAGAAAACAAAACCCTTTCGAGGATTAAGAACTAATTGAATGAACAAAGTATGAAAGTAGGATTCCCCCATAGGGAATGAGAATATAGCTGTAACCTGAATTCTCACCTTTTAATGATAGCTAAAGCTTTTCTAATGTCAAAAAAACTCCTGTAAAGCAGGAATGCCCAATCAGCACCAACTTTCTTCCAACTACTTTAGAGCTCTTGCCTGTTATATAGTCCACCATTACCAGTCTCACAGGGTAGATGATGTGAAAAGACCATTGACATTTGACACACTCAATGAAAACCTATACTTCTGTAGATTAATGACAACTTAACAGCATATATTACATCTTAATGGTTGTTTTTGCTGACAAATAAGCCTCATAAACAATCCCTCTTTTTGTTGTTTTGCAGACTTTTTATTAGCATCTCCAACCAGTCATTGAAAATTGATTCCAACGTTACAAATAAAATTCCAGTGATCCCAAAATTAATTATGGTCCCAATCATTCAAGCCAACTCAATAAATTACTAATATTTTTACACGAATGAAAAACAAAGGAAACAATGATGATAAGCCAAAGCACATGAGCAATGGTCTTTCACATGAAATTCATGTGATTGAAGATATGGCTTATATTTGGCCCAACATTACATTTTTAGTTATAAGTTGATGACTGTTTTTCCTTCAGAACTTTCTGTTGACTTCTTTGTCATTTAAGCCAATGGGGTGATGATATCTGTCCAACATTACTGCACTAGATATGTACACTACACCAATAAAGGTATAGCCGGGCCAATGTGGCCCGTCGAATCGACCCATAAAGTTGTCGGCTAATGATCAAGATCAAGACGACGCCCCATGAAGCTTCAAAATTTTCAGCCATAAACTATGATTACATCATACATGTTTACAACATGATAACAGTAACAATGCTACCAGAAATAAGACTAAAAATGAGATCAGCAGCATGGAAGGAAAGATATAGAATTCCAAATGAAACCGAAAACTGTGTTTTTCTTTGAATAGTAAGGCGTTTTTGTTTGTCTAGGGCTAAACAAGCATCGATGGTTATCCTGCAACCAGCCTGTTAAATCAATGTCTCAAATCCCTAACGGGAGTCGGGAAACATATGTCAAAAATATTATTTTAAGGAAAAAATAGCTCGTAATTACGTTAACAGAACTTGCCCTTAATTTAGCATTGATTAAGCTTGAAGCTCAGTGTTAATCTTTCATGTCCCTATGGCACAGTCAGAAATAAGAATGTTTTATACTTGCCCAATTATTATTATTATCTTCATCATGGTTCAGCCCCATGTCTAATTTCTGTTTCCTTGTTGAATTTCTGGAATATGGATGCCCAATGATTTAAAGGAAACCAAAAAAAAAAAAAAAAAAGCAAGAATGAAGGAGGAACAAGAATTCAGCTTTAGCTCGTGAGTTAATGAACCTTCCTGGAAGATACCTTCCATGGCATTTTCATGTCTAGTTGTTGGCCAGTGCCTCCTGCCTAGTCTGCCCCATTATTAAGGACAAGAATGTCTATTGTTTTATCTTGTTGTGTTTTTCTTGAACAGAAGAAAATCCCATTTCTTATCGGCCAAAATTATGAAGAAAAGAAAGGAGAGGGACTCACTTTCTTTTTGATATTTGCTAAAAGCTTTTTTTCAATTCCCACTTTCCATTTCCAAGTTTCTATACTACAGAATCCATAAAAGAAAACAAGATTTTCTATCCTATAGGAAGCAGCTCTTCAGTGTTTCTGGAAGCATATTATTGCCTTTCACATCTATAGTAGTTTAGCTTATTATTATTATTATTATTAAAAAGTACATAAGAAGTCATTATATAAGAATAAAAAAATAAATTATAAATTATAAATATTAAATTTTAACATTTAATTTTATTAAATATTATTTTTAAAAATAATTGCATGTACTAAATCAATTAAAGTTTCGTTTAGATAAACATGAAAATTGATTACGATGAGATTAAAAATAATAATAAAATTTATTATAAATAAGATTGAAAAAAATTATTACAATTATAATTAAAAAATATTTTTTAAAAAAATTTATATTAACTTGATTTCATTGAAATTGATATTTGAATTCAAATAAAAATACGATAAACATATCAAAAATATCATGAGATACAAACTACTACTAAGACTCTTTCGTAATTTAACTTTAATTTGAAATCATATTTTTTTAATAGGTTTAAGATATATTATTATAAATTTACGACACAACTCTCATTTTAATGAATTTGGAGTTTTTTTATAAGAAAACTTGGGGTTGGAAATTTTTTGGCTAGTGGGTTGGGATGGTAGGGTTTGATTTTATTCAAAAAAAGTATAATAATTATTATAAATTTATAAAATTTATTTAAATTATAAATTTTACAAAAAAATTAAAAATACTATATAAATTTATGGTTACAAAATAAATTCTTTGTTTAAGTGGCCATAATCCAAACTTTGATAGTTTAAAAAAATAATTAATTGAGATAAATATGTATTTTTATTAAAACAAAATTTCAAATTATTTATATTCTTTTAAAATAAAAAATTTGTGCCTCCAAACATATTTGAGTAAAAAAAATAGTAAGGTATTGGTATAATTATTTGTTTTATTTTCTAATTAAATTTTTAAAAAATACACATTTACTATATGCTTAACAAAAATTATATAAATACTATTACAACAAAATTAATAATTAAATAAAAAATTTATCTGAATGATTGTATATCCCGTCGCATAGCACAGGTAATTTTTTAATTTGTAGTATTATATTTTTCATTTATTATATTTACAAAATTTTAAAGAAAATAAAAGGAAAATTATTTTTTAAAAAAATCAAGATCATTGTCGGCCACACGACACACCTTCAACACTCCCCAAAGTTCAAGGTTTTTTTAACTGTCGAACTCCTTCTACTCGTATGCTATAGTAGTTACGGTTACGATTTTCTCGGGAAAAGCTTTTCTAATCTTTCCCAATTCTCCTAAGAAAACAAAAGCCCAGGAACTCAATCGATGGCAGTTCCCAAACTAGAACTGAGACTCCTCGGAAACACGGGCCTTAAACTCAGTAGCGTGGGCTTCGGAGCTTCCCCTCTCGGCAGCGTCTTCGGTCCCGTATCCGAAAGCGACGCTGTCGCCTCCGTCCGCGAAGCCTTCCGCCTCGGCATCAACTTCTTCGACACCTCCCCGTAATGCCTACTTTCTTGAATTTAACAAATTGGGGTTTTTTTAAATTTCCTTTTTTTTTTTTTGGATAAATGATTAAATTTTTTCATCCAAAACGAAGTAGATAAAGTCTACTTCAAAGAATCAAATTTCTTTTTTTTTGTTTAATTTTTAATGAATTTTATTATTTTTTTGTTAATTTGAAGGTATTATGGAGGGACATTGTCAGAGAAGATGCTGGGTAAGGGACTTAAAGCTGTAGGGGTGCCTAGAAATGAATATATAGTTTCAACAAAATGTGGGAGATATCGTGAAGGTTTTGATTTCAGTGCTGAGAGAGTAACTAAAAGCATTGATGAGAGCTTGGAAAGATTGCAACTTGATTATGTTGATATATTTCAATGCCATGACATCGAATTCGGCTCTCTTGATCAGGTCCTTAATTAAGTAATTAAATGGTTTATTATCATTGTGATTTGATAATATCTGTATAAAAGCCTTATTATCTCAGAATACAGGACTACCAAATTTGGATATGCCAATTGTCATGTTTTTAGAACTTGGTATGTCAATAGACATGGATCCACACTTGTTGTTAATTCAACAGAGCTATTATTATTAAAATGTGGACCCATTTATTTATATGATTTGTTGGGTCTAGAGCTGATGATGTGTTAGGAAGGATTTTGTCTTGCAAATCTGATATGAAATGAAAGGTTGGTTAATTTGATTAGTTTGTTCATGGTAACAGATTGTGAATGAGACAATTCCAGCTCTTCAGAAACTGAAGGAAGCGGGGAAGATTCGTTTCATTGGTATCACGGGATTGCCTTTGGAAATTTTTACTTATGTGCTTGATAGGGTTCCACCAGGCACAGTTGATGTGATTTTGTCATATTGCCATTATAGCATTAATGATTCAACATTGGAGGATTTGATGCCTTACTTGAAGAACAAAGGTGTTGGTGTAATAAGTGCATCTCCACTTGCCATGGGACTTCTTACTGAGCTTGGTCCACCAGAGTGGCATCCAGCATCATCTGAACTCAAGGTGAGACTTTTAGGCATCAGATAAGATAGAGCAGCTGCACTCTGCAGAATGCAAAACTATTTATGCATTCTTGTCCGTCTGATTATCTGGTATCTGAAAATGAAATACCCTTATAATCTGTTGGATCTAATTGATGTGTGAATGGAGGGCTTTAACCTGAAAAAGTTTTTAGGGGGAAAAAGACAAATCATTAGTACCTACTTTAAACCCTTTATAGGATATTTATAGGAGTGACAATTCTTGTTATGAAAATTGATTTCAAATATAATTCAATCAAATAATTGTCAATTCCAACACCTTCCCTGAAGTATCTGCTATTAGTGCAAGAAAGAATTGCCAAGATCCAAGATTATATGCACGTTGATTTTTCCTCACTGACAAGAGCATGGTTTTCTGACCTCTGGTGGTGTTCATGTGAAATAAGTGGATGGAGATTTTGATGCACCATACTGCATATTGAATTGAAAGTTGCAGTACAAATCTTCTGGTAGTTTCAACTTTTACATCAATGTAAAACTTGGAAACATGGTTTGCAGGACTGCATCATAAGATGAGAGATTATATTTGGCTTCATGTTCTCTTTGGCTCTAGCTATGATGTAGTTCGTTAGCACCACAACACATCTAATATTTAATGCTTCAAAAATGTATTCCACCATGAACTCACATTATCTGTTTAATTAGTCATTTCCATAGTTCATGTGCTTGAATATAAGCTTCAGTATATCTTCATAAGTTTGAGCAGTCATTGCTGTGGAATTTGTTTCTTTCTTCAGTCTGCCTGCCAAACTGCTGCTGCCTATTGTAAAGAGAAAGGGAAGAATATTTCAAAGTTAGCTATGCAGTACAGCTTGTCAAATAAGGATATTTCGTCAGTGCTGGTTGGCATGAACTCAGTTAAACAGGTTTTGGTTCATCATTTGACTTAACAGCCTCCTTTTTCTGAAATCTGTTTTATGCCTGCTAATAGTATTTCCGTACTCAATCATTTAGCAAAATAATATGGATAATCCAACTACTTCATACCTGTCAAAACACGGTTATATATATATATATATATATATATAAATTTTGTATTTTCACGAGTTTGCTGCTTGAGCTGTGAGTAACGTACAGTTTTTCAATAATCAGGTTGTAGAGAATGTCGCAGCTGCTACAGAAGTTGCACTTTTTGGGAAAGATCAGGAAACTCTATCCGAGGTCGAAGCAATCTTGAAACCCGTGAAGAATCAGACATGGCCGAGTGGAATTCAACACAGCTGACCAATATCCACCTGTATTTTATTTTCATATGCATATTTCCCCCACATTAATTATTGATTCACAATTTGTGAAACGCGTTGAGGAGTGGGGCAACGATATTATTGCTATGATACTACTATTTAGACGACAAATAATCTCCATGCCTACGGGGATGGATCCATTCCAGGTAATTTCATACTGTCAGTCTCAAGAGTATGATTGAAATAATAATTATCCTAATTTGGACTATTTCCCCCCCTTTCGGCCCGCAATTCTTCAGTTGTTTTGGTCATATATGCAGTTATATTTTATATTTCTCCATATTAGTTTGGTTGATCATAATCTTTGAGCGCATGTGTTGGCAATGACAGTGGGTTAACCCTTCTGTTCCCATGAAACTATTTTTATATGACAAACAGTTGGCGGAGATCTTCCAGAGCCCAAGAAGACATATAGCAATTGATTGGGCAGGGTTTTGTTGTTGGGTTTAGGGCTCTGATTCTGACCATACCAACTTGATCTTTGAAGAAGCCATGTCCGAAAAATCTGAAAGAATTCATTCTAAATTCAAAAATATTATAATTTCGGGAAAAAGGTTATAGGGGCTTAGGGTTTATTAGTAATTACTTCAGCTGGTATTTGCAGAAGCTCTTTGACTATAGTATAATGAAAACTTAAGGACCATGTTTGAGTCTAGTTATCCTATTAACCTTCTTTATCCAACAATTGCCCTTTTTTTTAGACGTGATAATTTTAAATACTAAATAATATAATACAAAAATAGTTTAAAATTTAAATGAAAATGATATATGAATTAAGTAAAAAATAAAAAAAAAATGTATTTGATGTATCAAACCAATTATAACAAAATAAATTGTGTTTTGTACATATATATATATTATAACAATATACGTAAATAAATTTGTCACATAAACGTCTATGTAGATAATTTTTTTAAATGACACAAGATAATTTTTTAAAAAGAATAAGATATTTTATTTAAATTACAAATTAGATAATTGAAAATTATAATTGAAAATTAAATCAATTTAGAGATATATTTTTTAAAATTAAAAATATGGAATATGGATTTTATTTTTTTAATAAATAATTTTAGTTGTTTACTAAATAACCTTATTTAAAATTTTATTTAATTTTCAAAATCTTTCAAACATGTTTAAAATTTATAAAGATTAAGTTTATCCAAATCTTTCAATAATTTTTTTATCTTGATTTAAAAAATTATCTTTTTAAAAAAGTTATGTAAGATATTAAAAATTTAAGCAATTTTATGTAAAATTTTAAAAATTCAAAAAATTTTCATCTTAAATCTTTAAATAATAAGATTATCAAAATGATTATATCCATTTGAACTTTAATTATCAAATTCATATTTCAAATACATGCAAAAAAATTTAATATTATCTTTATGATTTATTATATCCATTTTAAATTTTAAAAAATTAATTTAAAAATTATTTATTTAATCTTAATTGCCATTAAAGAAATTTTTTACAATTTTATGACTACAAATGTAATCTAATATATATATATATAAAAATATATATATATATATATATATTATATAACAACATACGTAAATAGATTTGCTACGTAGGTGCCTATGTAAACAATTTTTTTAAATGACACATAAGATAATTATTTAAAAGAATAAAATATTTTCTTTTAATTACAAACTAGATAATTTTAAATATATTCAAATTATAATTGAAAATCAAATCAATTTAGAGATAAAATTTCTAAAATTAAAAATATGAAATATGAAATATATTTTTTTTAATAAATAATTTAAGTTGTTTATCCAAAAACCTCATTTAAAAAATTATTTAATTATCAAAATCTTTTAAACATGTTTAAATATTATAAAGATTAAGTTTATTCAAATATTTTAATAATCATTTTTATCTGGATTTAAAAAATTATTTAAAAAAAAAATTACATAAGATATTAAAATTTTAAGCAATTATTTTATGTAGAATTTTGAAAATTCAAAAAATTTTCATCCTAAATCTTTAAATAATAAGATTATCAAAATAATTATATTCATTTGAACTATAATTATCAATTTATATTTCAAATAAATGCAAAAAAAAATAATATTATCTATATCACTTATTATATCCATTTTTAATTTTTAATTTTAATTTAAAATTATCTATTTAATCCTAATTACCATTAAAGAAATTTTTTACAAATTTATAACTACAAATGTAATCTAATATATATATATATATATATATATATATATTATAACAACATATATAAATAAATTTGCTATTGGATGCCTATGTGGATAACTTTCTTAAATGACATATAGGATAATTTTTTAAAAGAATAAGATATTTTCTTTTAATTGCAAATTAGATAATTTTAAATTTATTCAAATTATAATTAAAAATCAAATCAATTTAGAGATATATTTTTTAAAATTAAAAATATGAAATATGAATTTTATTTTTAATAAATAACTTTAGTTGTTTATCAAATAACCTAATTTAAAAAATTAATTAATTATCAAAATCTGTCAAACATATTTAAAAATTATAAAGATTAAGTTTATACAAATATTTTAACAGCCATTTTTATCTTGATTTAAAAAATTATCTTTTTAAAAAATTTATTAAGATATTAAAAATTCAAGCAATTTTATGTAAGATTTTAAAAATTTAAAATTTTTTATCTTAAATCTTTAAATAATAAGATTATCAAAATTATTATATCTATTCGAACTCAAATTATTAAATTTATATTTCAAATAAATGTAAAAAAATTTAATACTATCTTTATCACTTATTATATCCATTTTAAAATTTTAAAAATTAATTTAAAAATTATTTATTTAATCCTAATTGCTATTAAAGAATTCTTCTACAAATTTAAGATTACAAATGTAATATGTTATACATAATTTTTTTTTATTTTTTCAATAAATTTTTTAAAGGTATATTCTATTACTATTACAATTTATTTATTTTTTTGTTTATAACTTTTTTTCTTAGATATATTTTATTATTATTAACGTTTCATTCTTATGAAAAAAATATTTTTTTAAAAATATTTTTTTTACATATTTTTTTACATTTTTCATATTTTGTATAATAATTTAGTCAATATTACTAAAGTAAAAGTATGTCAATACTTCTTTTATTATTTAATTTATCATTAAATAATATATATTTTAATTTTTTTAAAAAAGTTATAATTTATTTTTATTTGATATAATCTTACAGGTGTATAAATATTATTATAAACAAAAATATCTAGAAGAAAGATATATTTTTTTCTTATTGTTTTAAAAAAAAATTATTTTTTAATGATAAATCTATATATATATAATTTATATATTTGTGAATTTTAAATTTTGAATATAATTTTTTTAAAACATAATTTATATATATTTATATTAATAAATAAAATTATTTCATACATCCGAGTTATAATCTAATTAGATATAAAATAAATAAACATAAATATTCAATGATAAGAAAAATTCTGATTTTTTATTATAAAAATTGTTTATCCATAAAAAATCAGAAAAGGAAAAGTAATGTACGAGAGCATTGAAAAGGTAAGCCACTCAACGCAAACCACTTTTGCTCAAAAAACTCGAAAACCAACCAAACTCCGTAACACTTCCTTCACTGATTGAGAATCCACCACAAAAAATAAACCAACCATGGCAGCAGCAGCCAAAGTGATGGCCGTCGCCAGTAACTCCACCGCCGCGGCCTCTTCCTGCTTGCTCCTTAAAGCGCCCTTCGCTTTGAAACGCGGCAGCAACGCTCTTACCTTCACCACCGGCAGACGATTGTCGAAGAGGTTATTTTCTTGCAATGCCATTTATAACCCTCAGGTTCAGATCAAACAAGAAGGCCAACCCGAAACCCTTGACTACAGAGTCTTCTTCGAAGATTCGGGCAAAAGGGTATTTTTCATTTTTTTTCCTCAAAAATCCTTGAAATTTAATATATTTTGATGGTAACTGAGATTTGGTGGTGGCTTAGGTTTCTCCTTGGCATGGTATTCCATTGCATTTGGGAGATGGTGTTTTTAACTTCATTGTTGAGATACCCAAAGAATCAAATGCAAAAATGGAGGTTGCTACCGATGAGCTATACACTCCCATTAAGCAGGATACAAAGAAGGGCAAGCTTCGATATTACCCGTAAGGTTTTCTGGTTTTGATAATGTTTAGCTTATTGCTCACTTTAATGCTTGGGTTATTTTCAGCACGAATTTGTGCTAAGATGTTTAAATTTTCTAACAATTGTGCAATTAGATTTTGCATTTCACCATGCTTTTTAATCTACCCATAGAAACTTGTATTGATTTTGAAATGACCCATTTTCTTAGAACATTGAAAATAACTTAGTTGCTTTCAAGTACATATAATAGCCAGAGAATCTTGTGTGCTAGATACCAGAGTGGTTTAGTTGCTTCTAACAAGAGCAAGTGATTTTAGGAGATGTAAGATTAGATTTGTATTAAGGCACATCAAATGGCTTCAGGTGATGAACGATCCGAAGGTCATGTGAGAGAACCAAAAACCCAGCATGGCCTCTACTTAGTAAATATGAAGTTACAGACAGAAAAAAAAAATAGGATCTTTATTTTTGGAATCCATTTTGTTTCGACTTCTTGCTATTGTGAGTTGTTGTAGTCTAGTTTGTGTCAAAGAGGTTTCATTTCTGAATAATTCCATTCATTTTCCCTCAGGTATAATATAAACTGGAATTATGGATTGCTTCCACAAACATGGGAAGACCCATCTTTGGCAAACTCTGAAGTTGAAGGAGCATTTGGTGACAATGACCCTGGTAATTTTAATACTTGTTTTAGTATTTGGTATTTCTTACAAGGCCGTTCTTTTTTGTTGTGAAAAGTAGCTTTTGAAATCTTGATTTTTTGTTTCTTTCAATTCGTAGTTGATCTTGTTGAGATTGGTGAAAGTCGGAGAAAGATTGGTGACATTCTGAAGGTTAAGCCCTTGGCTGCTTTAGCCATGATTGATGAAGGGGAACTTGACTGGAAAATAGTTGCCATCTCATTAGATGATCCAAGAGCTTCTCTTGTGAATGATGTCGATGATGTTGAGAAGCATTTCCCGGTATTTCTCTCTATACTCTGCAGGGTTTTTAAATTTTTAATTCCACCAATTAATTGATCATGTCAACAGCAAGAATAGTTAAGCCAGGAGCTGACTTATACTGCAATTATAAGTTAGATTGTTGAATTGCTAGCTTAATTTACTATGACTACCAGCATTTTAAAACGTCAGTGTTACTTGTTATTTTAACTAGTCTTAAGCATGGTTATCTCACCTACAATTGCAAAACTTTTGAGCATCCATCTGGTGATATTTTCAGGGGACTCTCACTGCAATCAGGGATTGGTTTAGAGACTATAAGATCCCTGATGGAAAACCAGCCAACAAGTTTGGTCTTGGCAACAAGGCGGCTAACAAGGTAGGTATTGGGTTTACCCTTTTCCCTGCTCCCGAAAGCCCTGTCCGCTTCATCCTGCTTCTGGTCTCTTAATTTTTTCTGTATGATAAACAGGACTATGCACTCAAGGTCATTACGGAGACTAACGAGTCTTGGGCTAAACTTGTCAAAAGATCGATTCCCGCTGGAGAGCTTTCACTTGGATAAACGCTACCAGGGGCATTAGAGCGGCAATGCTGTCAATTTCAAATAATCGTCTGAGATTTTTTTTTTTTTTTGCCCTTTTGCAAGCAGGTCTTGGTAATCTCATTTAAGTTGATACCAATGTATTTCTTTCTGCTTATCATTTGAGTAAATTAGAGAACTCTTTTAATTGGGGTAGCATTTCTTATTCATATGGTTGTTCTGATGTGGATAGGAACTGAATTTTGTTGCCAAATATCACTTGTACGGGGAAACGAAGAAAACCCTGTTAATTGCTCGAACTTGATGACATTTCCATTTAAATGACTGGAAAAATCTCGATAACTGGATAGTTGTAACTGTATGATAAAATCTGCAGGTGTAATCCAAACATGTGCAAGGGGCATATGAAATTGATTTCGCAGAAAAAATTTACAAGAAAAATTGACGTTGTCATTTGCAGAATAACGCTTTGTATGATAAATTGATAGTAGTTAGGCCTCTGCCCGACAGCTTTGAACCTAATAAATACTCTACCACCAGCTGAGTTCAAGAGCTTCCAGGAACCTCATTTCCAAGGCAGAATCAGTAGAGAAAGCACGATCAACCTCCATCGTGGGATCTTTGCTCATAGACCTAGATCTTCCTTGCATCAGAAGACTGCCCGGTGCAACCCACTTTAATGCAGAGAGCTTCATCTTCAGAGGCGGTGATGGCGGGGAAGGAAGAGATGGTGAAGTTGTTTTACTGTGATGGCGGAGGATCAACATTGCAGCTGTAGGTGCCATAATCGGAGCTGAACACTAAAGAAATTCGGAATCAAATGGGTATTTTATAAATCATTGTCAGCTGTTGATACCTTATATAAAGGAAGAGCAAAGAGGTTGGTTTAGCGGGGAAGGGAACCCAGGGAAACAATCTGTGGGCCTTCAGTCGGTTTTGTTGGGATTTTAACAGGAATCAAATGGGTTCAAGATTATGGTAACTGTTCCAAAAGTGTAGCTGATTTTGACTATATCCAATTATGACCAATGAACGTAAGCCAAGCGATGAACCAAGTTTAGTAGAGGCACGTTCAATTAATTAAGCCCATCATCCAATGGACGCCGTTGGTTTTTTTATGATACTGTTTCCTGAAAATAGACTTCTTTATCGGCTTATTTTTGCAGCTTGTTTTCTTTGGCCTTTTGCTTGCTTCATTAAACTATTCAGCTACGAAGATTGGGGCAGGGTTGACCAGCATAAGAGTCTTGTAATCTTGGAATATGGATATACAACAATTTGCATTTACAAAAAAGTTGTAACTCTTTTACAAACGTATAAGAAATATCAAAGCAGAAAATAATACAAATGAGAAGTGAGTATCAAGGTTCAAGCAGAAGAGTATCGTGTTTCTGCAACTTCGGGTAGCAAAGGTGTGGTATTTGATCTGTCAACTTCAGTGACTTGTCCTTCACTATCTTCATTGAATCTATCCACACTATGCAGAAATATACCTGCCATTGCAATATATGGTACTTATTCATCCAACTCAAATTTCGTAACCATGAATTAATATTTGAACCAAAACCACAGTCAGAACTTTTCCAAGTGTATAACTTCACACAACATGGGGAACTGGAAAAGAGAAAATACCTATAAACCATATTCCAGCTGCTGGAAACAGAATTGATGTTAGAATAAGGGCAGTTTCTCTCCAATTGTTGACACGGTCCTGCAGAATCTCTCTAAAGTTCAGTCTTCAATATCACAGGCAAAACATGAATGTTAAAAAAAAAAAAAAAAAAAAAGACTTTTTGAGAGCCAAGAACTTTGTACAGGTTACAGAAGGTTGAAAGAAACACCAAATGCTTATCTGCCAATAGTTTGTGGTATAATTTAAATGCATATGTAGAATTTGTTGAAAGACAAACCTGGAGGACCCCCACAAGCGGTGAAGAAGGGACATCGCCAAAGATGTGAATTGAAACAGTAGAGATAGCCATAGATATTGGCCTCAAACTTGGCTTAACACAGTGGAGACATATGTAATTTACAGGAGCCTGAAAAGGAAAACCTTAAGAACTTCATATTATGGAAGTAGTCTTTCGTAGATTAGTTCTGGCTTCTTAAAATGCCATTTTATGGTAATAATGTAAGTGGCAAGCTGTTTAATTTCTAAGCAAACAAGAATTTTCAGTTTCTTTGCAAATGGAATACACCAGATAATTCCATATATCTTTCATAATTAAATAATTTATGCGAGTAAAAACCTTAGTTAACCGGTGTCAAGCACAGCAAAACTAAAATGGATAGAATGAAAAAGAAAAAAAAAAGAAAGCAGAGTACACGGTTAATCTGACCTCCGTCACCCTAGGTTGCTTCTATTAAGAATGCAAACTATAACCTCAGTTAAACAGTTTCTAACTCCCAAATCAAGACCTTGACTTGGTGACAGATATTGAATCTACCGCTAGCAGCAGGTAAACTACAGGTCGGATAACTATCAACTAATGCATTGAATTTCAGTTCATCTAAATAAGAATGCAAGATTGAAATAGCTAATAACTAGTAAGTGAGGGTTCTATTACCTGGGTGGCAAAGACCAGTAATTCACCAACTGAGAAAACAGCTAGGAAAGCATACATGCTCTTGAAACAGAATGCAGTGAAACAAAAGATAGCCCCAACAAATGTTGTTACTGAGAGAAGCTGCAAAAGGAGTCCAGGGAATTTGGTGATGTAGAACAAGATAAAAGTGGCATCAGGGTGAAAGCATAAAATGTAATACTATTTATGCATGAAGCAACTGATATATCAATGTATCAAGAAAATTCATCTTAGAGCATTTCCTTTAAAATGCAAGAGCAACTACCTTGAAAGCATTTGAGATTGTGGAATTCATGAAATCCAGAACGTAGCCTCCTGCTAGTGTGCCCAATATTCCACAGACAATGGTTATTCCTCCAAATATCATGTCTGCATCACTCTGCAAAAATACCCTAACTTGAGATAAAATATCACCAAGTTATTTTATTCATTGATATTTATGCTGCTTCTTCTCATTAGCAATTTCTATCATCTTCTGAAAAGTCATCAATTTTAAACAATAAAGGATATTTTAGACATTGCTTTATGGGATATTTTAGATATTAGAGTCACATTGACACTAAAAGCTTACCATATTGTAAATATTTTTACCAGCCTTGGGCCCCCAATAAGAGTATGCACCTATAACAAAGTTGTATGCACAATAACCTGAAAAATGGATGTTTTTAAGTTAGCCTATAAATGAGATTTGTCAAAACATGAATAGTAAAATTATTATAACACACAATATACATGTCCCAAAATAAAGTTCACCAAGGAGAAAGTAATTCAACTAGTAAGCAACTAATTGAAGTGGAGAAAAACAATGATTACATGCAAAATTAACATAGAAGTTCCGCATGATTTTTTTCAGAGATACAATAGGCATTACCGGAACTGATCTGTATCTGTGAAGCAGGATAAAAGAACATACCTAAAACATTGACAACGTAAACCTTTTCAACCAAGAGTGCTTTCATGTCTTTGAGAAATCTTGAAAACTGATTCAAATTAATGGGTGCACATTTCATCCTGGTCAGATAAAAATATTCAAACAAGATGAGAAAATTATTCAGATACATTTTCAAATAGAAACCTCTGTGATAGATTTCCCATACGAATAGATTTGCTGATAATCATAGTAGTAGTAGGGACAGAACAGAAGAAAAAAATGCTATGCTTGAAAAGATATAATGAAGCATAGATATTAACCCACTGAAGCTCAAGCTATGAATAGTTTGTGCATAGTTCCGTTCTTGCCCTGGGTCCTGAATGTCATACTGAATATGCACTAGGATATAGAGAGTTTGGCACACAGCTTAAAGTTATGTTCAGTTTCTAACGTGTAATAAGAAGTTTCTTCAGTACAACAAGTAGCATAAAGGCCTATAAATAAGCAATTGTATTGAACTTAAATATAATGGTCCTCACTTGGAAAACATGTGGCTGAATTCTTCCTTAATGGATTTTGCACTACCTTTAACATTGAAAGCCTCTGTATATTCATCAAGCATCAAAACTGTTAAGCACAACCAACAAAAAGAGATCCTAAATATAAGAAACTAAGTCAGAGGACAGATCATGAAATGAGGCTTCATGTAATGATTAACTTCTCTTGAAACCCAGAATTTGCACTTAACCAGAAATTTTTGATGAAAATAGAAACAGTGGGTAACTCATTAAACAATGTTGCACCTAAGATAAATTATTTGGGCTATTTAACCTAGAGGCTAATTCCTGTTAGATTGATTATACAACACACACGTTAGGGCTAAGAAAACATCAATGCTACAAACAAATTTATGAACTTCAACAAAAATCCTTTTTTTTTTAACAAAACGGGCAAGGCAAGTAGAAGGGGAACATTACTTCTCAAGCTCATTTTTCACAAAGGCATTAAATTCAAATAAGTGGCTAGTTCATGTTAGAATTTAGTTATTGCAAGACCAGCTAATTAGAATGTAAAATGAAAGTAAAGACATTCTAAATTGATTTACATATGACAAGCCATGATATGTTCTTATCTGGTCAATAAAATAATACAGTTTCAAGAGGGAACTGCAACAGATATGTCAATTATGAAGCACCTTGAACTTCTGGTACAGCTGTCTCTACGTTGATCGGTGATTTTTTAGACTCAGCAGGAGCAAAACCTGTATCAAGGAATCATTAGAAAGTAACCAGAAAAAGTCTAAAGGACCAATGCAAGTCGCTAGGTGTCCAGTGTGCACCTTTCAACTGCAAAGGCTTCATAATAAAACCCAGAATAGCAAATGGAAGCATCACAATGGCTTCCATCCAGAATGCAAAACGCCAATTTAAATGAGTGCCAACCTGTTAGGAAAGGAAGATTGCTGTCAGCTAGTTATCTCAAATTATCTTACGGGCAGAGTATAGAGCATCATAAAATATGGACAAGAGCAAAACTTGGCATTTTTGAAATAAGGATGGTTCCTCTAGTTCTAAAGTAGGAAGGAATTACGCAGATCATTTTAACAAAGAGAAAATAATTTAATACCTATAAAAGAGCTAGAAAAGAAAACTTACTAGTCCACCATAAACATAGCCGACTGCATATCCAGTTGGTATACACATGTAAAATATTGCTAGCCATGCTGTTTTCTAATAGAAAGGCAGGAGAAGAATAAGATTCGAGGAGACAACAGCAACACAAAGTTTCTGATAAAAGTGGAAATATAGACATAAAGGGCATGTTGCATATAAGTCCCATACTTAATAGTCAATAATAGCTCCTTCAAACCGATAAGTCTACCTTAACATACATCAACTTTAGGATTCACTAAATAAAGGAAATTCTGCCATAGATCAGTGATCTACATTGCAAATGCAGTAGCCCAAAATTTAAAGAAACTGGTTCCAAATGGAAATTTTCTAAGAGCTTTAATACATTAATATCAGATGAAATTACTGAGAATTTTGACATTTAGATGAAAATTTAATAGACAAAATGTATGCACACAACACACACACACACATATATATTATATAACTGAAATGGAACACATCTCAAAACCGGTATACATGGCAGGTGTGTCCCCCACTTGCCTCTATATTTCATACCAGAAACCTGATGGCTTTTGTATTAGTACATTAGGCACCAAAGTTCAGACAAACTTAAGATCTCTGCAGTTATCAGAAAGCAAAGAAAAACAACCTGAGTGACAGGGGCATTGTCATCAATGAAAGGAGCTGCAAGACTGATAAATGAAGCTTCACCAACACCAACTAGCCTTGAAAGAATAAGATTAGCACAATTATCTTGTTATTATTATCTTAGAAGTAAAATAATTAAAAATTAAAATGAAAATGAAGGAAGGAAATAAGTAACCCATTTACATGCGGCAGATTGTGATGGACCAGAAATTGAATGAAAAACCACAACCAGTTGTAGCCAAAGTCCATACTGACAATCCAACTCCAATAAGTCTAAAAGGATTAACACTGCAAAAGTTTTATGAATACATAAGGACTCACATACAAAACAAATTTACAACCTGAAACTTTTCTTATTCTAATCTTAAGTAACTTATATGGAAAACTATGATGCCTTGAACACAATATTCATATTGATCACATCAGATGAGGCTACAAGAATATGAGCACAAAACAATTAAACATACCCGGAAGTGACATTTATCTGAGACATGCATGTGCACATGCATGCACAATTATCTTTGTTGATAAATTTGGAAACAAAATGATTGATTCCAGCCTTTAGAAATAGTTAACTAATTCTCATAGGGCACAAGCACCTTATAAATATTGAAAAAACATTACAATAAGAGAATGAGGCTTCTATTCAACATTAAAGCTATAAATGAAAAGTATAGTCAAACCAAATGGTTGAAACTTAAATATATATATATATATGACAATTATCAGAAGATGCTTGGCCTATATTTCTACAATTTACATATATATTTTTTATTTAATAAATTTTCCAGATGATTGAAATTCCTTACCTCTTTGCTAATGATGCAAATATGGGAGAAGCCACAAGAAGTCCAACCATAAATGCAGATGACATAACTCCATCTTCGAAATTATTCAAGTTAAATTCACCCCTATACAGAACAATGAACTCCAAATAAGTCAGAGTTTAGAGGTCCAAGAAAGTAACTGGCAAGTTATTATGTCAAAGGTGTTGCATCATTCAATGGATAATAAGCTATCAAACATATATGAGTTGGTATTGTATGTCTTTTCTATCAATAAATACGTACACTGAACCAACAGAAATACAATCTCAAAGTCTAACATTCAAAAAAAAGAAAAGAAACAAAACCACATACTATAAATTCCTTAATTTTCCTTCATCACAAACTAATCTCAAAAGACTCCCATGTCCAAGAATTTAGAGGGAAGATGAAACAAATTAATGAGATATCAACAGGTATTTACAAATGTTGTCCCATCCACCAATGGAATCTAGTAAGGATCAATATCCACCATCAAATGGCTCGGAAGCAAGAAAAAAAATGAGGGTCTCCGAGTCTTACTGTATTCCACTACCAGAAGTGCATGTACCACTGGATGTGCAAGTTCCAAGACTCCCATTAACACCATTGCTTGCTATTGTTCCACGATCCACATAATTTAACAAGTTGATAACACAAAAGATAACCAACAACCTGCAAAAAAAAGCCATAATGTCCAAAGCACCACAAAAATTTCATTCATCATTTGCAAAATCTGCAAACTCTTTAGTTGTTACTGCCAATCAATCCTAACTTTGAATTAACAAATTTAATCTACAACTCACAACCATAATATATAACTATTGGCTTTAAAAAGAGCTCAATGTCACTCCACCTGTGTGCCCACCGTTACCAACATAGCATATCACAGTTTCTCGGTAGTCCAGTATTCTTGGTCCTTGGAGAAGGAAAAAAGAGCATCCTTTCCTTTCCCAGTCATAAAATAAACTGTATATGTGCATACAGTTATCTCCTAAACAAATGAAAACTTAAACATTTGTCGACAAGTGAAACCTTAACCATTACAAAAAAAAAGAGACATAAATTGCAGAATGTGGTTACTCATAGAGATTTGAGCCAAAATCTTGACCTTCAAACAAATCCCAGAAAGCCGAATTGACAAAAGAAAATGGGAAAAAAAAATAGAAATTTCTGAACTTTCTCCAGGAAAAAAAGAAAAGAAAGCCAGCTAAGCAACAAATTTTACAAGGCAAAACGATTAGGTGAAGCTCTTCCAACAGCTACAATCATCATTTATTTTCTTTCTCATTCATCTTCTCAGCCACCAAATTAATGTTCGACATTCAAACAGCTTAAAAAAAAAAGAAAAAGAAAATACCTTTTGGGTGTGAACCAGGAAGGCTCAGGAACTGATAATGACACTGAATTCCTCGCCATTTCATTATCTATGGAAGCCTTTGGCTCTGCAGAAGGAGCTTGTTGTTGTTTCATCAACTTAAAATCCGCCATTGATATTTATAGAATTTTGTTTTGTTTTAAGTGGATTTCTGACCAGTCCTGACTCGGCTTTGAATGGTAGTTGATAACAACAAACAAATAATCTTGCAGTTTTGGTTACTTCGGTTTGGCGAAAGTCTAGTGGCATGTGAGCTACAACTCAGGAGCCTTCGCAAACTGTTTGGGCTTTTATAGAACAAGAGAAAATGGGCCATTTCAATTTTCTAGCATGCCATTTTGATCAGAGTAGAAGAAACAAAATATCAAAACTGATCCCGTAGCTCAGTCGGTTAGAGCGTTGGTCTTATGAGCCGAAGGTCGCGAGTTCAAGCCTCGCCGGGATCAGTGATTCTGCAGCTCAGCTGTAATTATTTCTTTCTCCAGCAGAGGCAATTGGAATAATTTTTGTCTCCATTTTTTTTCTCCGGGGATTACTCTCCGTTTATTTTTTCTTCCCGAGGATTACCGATTCTGAGGCATGTTGGATATTTTTTGTCTCCATTTGTTTTGTTCTTCCATCCACCAAACGAGGGAAATTGTATCGCTTGCTGTCCACTTTGTTGCCTTTAAAACTGGCTTTCCCTTTATCATGGCCAACGAGAAGGATTGAAAAATAGCTTTCCCTTTTATCACTGCTACACACTATTGCTCTTCATTTTGTCAAAGCAACAAAAACTTCCAACATGAAGATCAGCTTGGAGAATGAAAATGACTAACAAGAATCATTACTCCTTTGCTTTATATTCAATAAACATAAATGGGGGATGCGGTTTTGTAAAACTAAGAATGAAACTCTTAGCAGCCAAAAGAACTAGGATAGTAGCCTCAAATCAAGTTTTGAATACAAAAATGGTTCAGCTAACAGAACTAGCTGGTCGCTTAAACATAATAAATTAAAATCCCAACAAGAATAAAATATTGAGACAAAAATGAAATACTACTAGTACGAACATACATCTGCATCGAACTCGTCATCAATGAAATCAGCAGCCCTTCTTCCAACTTCATTAAGCAGCGGGGTTAATGCCATTGACATTACCACAACAATAAGCAGCACTCCTAGCCCGCTTCAGGATGACAGAAGACTTCATAAAGAGACTAGTTACACCATTGATTTACCGACCTGTTAGCTAGAAAAAAAACTACAAAGGCAAACTCGCCTCCCTGTGATGGAAAAAATCTTACTCATACTTTCTTGCAAAGTGAGTCCAACATGAGGACCTTTGCTTTCCTGGTCAATGGCTTGATAACAGTCAAACCAGCCAAGAGTGCTAGTATCATGAGTCGAAATTTAAGCTCTGATCAGTCTAATTCTAGGACCCACACACCCACACATCCGACGTTTCAAATCAATCTACCTGTTATGATTCATACTTTTATGAGGGATTATTTGCTCTATCCCCCTAACCTCATAGTTTTATCCTACCAAAAATGTCACAAAAAAAAATAATATGAACCTTTTTTATATTTTAGTAATCTTTCTTTTATGTCCGATGTGAGATTCAAGACTCCTTCTTAAGTTAGTGACATTCTCCCCCACCCAATCTCGTGACGCTCTTATTACGAAAGCTAACTATCCTACCTACTTCCCTCAAGGTGCTTGATATGGATCGAACGGTTTAAGACTGACTCTGATACCACTTGTCACGGGTCGAGACTTAAGCTCTAAACTCACACGACTTCGAAACTAAGTCATCCACTCATACGACGTCTCAAATCAATCTAACTGCCACGATACACACCGATATCACTTATCACGGTCGAAACTTAACCTCCGAACCCGCGCGACTCCGAGACTCAACCATCCACTCATCTGACGTCTCAGATCATCTAACACAGTATACACCCTTGTGAGATATTATCCATTCTGACCCTCCTGACCTCACGATTTTTTCCTATAAAAAGTGCCTCATAAAAAAAAAATGATGTAAACCCTTTTATATCCCAGTGACCCTCTTTTTATGTCCGATGTGAAATTCAAGACTTCTCCTTAAGTCCGTGACACTAATACATTTGACCACCCTCGGTAAAGAAGCTACAAAAGAAACAAATATAACTTGCATTAAATCAAAAGCTGGGAAGCATTATTGCTGGATGCATTACTTATGATGATGGCTACATTTTACACATTCAGGAGTAAAGCCAACAAAACTTCATGTCTTCAAGCCTTGCTAGAGAACATAGCTGCTTAAAGTCACCACAGCACGAAAATTAAGATAACTGGCGTGGTATCCTTAATTCCTTTGACAGCAAATTCAGGACAGAAAATTCTATAGTGCTTATTACCAAAAAAAAAAAGAAAGAACCATAGGATGAAGGATAAAAAAACAGAAATATCACACAATTGACACAATTTTCAGTTCTTTTAAGCAACAGCTATTCAATTGCTAACATTCAAATGCACAAAAAAAAAAAAAAGCATATAAGAAAACAGATGCAACTTTAAAATAATTACTATACCTGCATGTCAATTGAAGTTACAGTACTCACAAAAAATTGCCTGTGAAGTGCGCCTCTAAATGGTCGTATATCAGCTTCAATCTGTGTCCGGAAATTTGATTCTGCCAATAATGCTCCAGCCAGAAATGGTCCAAGCTGGAAAATGAAATTAAACTTGGTTATTAAATGCTTCAAATGCAACAATCTTAAACATTATCTGCAATTGATATTACACATCAAACCGTATCAGTGAAGCCCAACTGTTTGAGTAAATGAAGAGCATTGGAGTCCTTTTTTTCCTTTATTTTTTCTCTCATTAATTAATAAACTCAACACACCTCAAAAACTCGCCTAAGAATGTATTTTCCTCCAAGAGAAAGCAGACCAAGCCCTCCTCACACCTTTAAACTCTCTTGAGATAGCATTGGCAAAATACTTTCTGCTATGGGACTCCACATAGTTGAAAAAGAGATTAAAATTGGTCAAGGAATGACAATGCATCCTCTAAACATCTCATAATCACAGAGAATATATCAATTTCTCCTATTGAAACATTATTCTAAAAATGAGATGGCTGGACTCTTTTCTCAGATAAGAATGTCATAATACTTGTATATGAGGTGTTCACAATATCAATTTCTCGAGTATGCAACAGGAAACAAGAAATAGGATCTCAAGTTATAAAAGCTTGTAAACTTGCCAATTCAGATAAATGAAAAACAGAAGTTGGCAACATGTGAAAGTATCAATTACAAAAAACAAGAAAAAAGATGAGCACAGCAACTGAACATTATTCTTAAAACATACAACTTCAGACAGGGTAAAAAAAAAAAAAAAGATTAACACACAAATTAAGAAAAAAAGAAAAAAAGGGATGCAGACTGTAATCTGTCTCGGCTGTTTGGAAAAGGGAAGGATACAACACATATAATAGATTGGTCTCCATTCAGAAAGACAAATGAAGAGGTCACACCACACTAACTAAAGATGAAAAGAAAAAGAGAAAAGGAAGAAAAAAGGATTTCTTGTATTTAAAATGCATATTCTAAAGCTAATCCACAGAGCAGGGACAGGAGAGAAAGTCCTCCATACCTGGCTCTCAAGCACTGGAAGTATGACTAAGAGAGGGACAACAGCTATGTCCTGCAAATATCAAGCTGTAGGGCGCAAAAAGATAATTGACATCATATTTTTGATGTTTACTTCGTAATGAACCTAGAAAAATCCACAAATGGATGTCATAACAAATATAGTAACTCCTTTGGTATGTCAAATTAACTAGAATAAATAAGCCAAGCATCTTAAGTACAAATAAGAACCTGTAAAAGAAGTATCCCCGAGAGGTGCTGAACCAAATCTTGTTGGCAACTCACCCTTCTCTGCAAGAAGCTATATCTTACAATGGTAAGCCAGGCAGTTAGATCTCCTACCTAATGAACAGGAAACACGTTGCATATAAATGCACCATAAAGCAAAGAACTTTTTTTTTTCTTTTGGTCAATATGTATTAGTTTGTTGTGCTGGAATCTTGTTATAAAGGAGTAAGTAGGACATCCAAAGATAACGAAAGGAAGAAAAAGAATATAAATGAAAAAGTCCACTTTCTGAAAACAAGTATTCACTTAAAAAGCCAGAATCTCAAAACTAGCAAATATAGAAGCAAATGAGCACATCGTGATTTTAGTCTGACTTCCAGGATTTATACGTACCTACCCAAAGCAACAATGGCAGCAATATGAAACAAGCATTCTTAGATATCTAACATTAGAATTCCCGCACAACAAAAGCTGAAAAAGATAAAGATAGAGCAGCACCAATCACTGCTGCTTCATCAACACTACTGATATTAACCTACAATTGTACCAAAAAGAAGAACTATGTTAAAGAGGTTTACACCAAAATTAGCAGAAAATGAGTCAGACGGCTTTCATTGGGTAAACTGCTGCTAGAAAAATTCAAATTATAGACAATTACTAATTCTGATTTAGTTAATGAAATCAAGCTATCAATTTCTCAACCAATAATAAAAGAAAGAAAGAAAGAGCTATCAAACTTCAAAATCTAAGAGATATTTGAGGTCTTGAGCCCTTGCAAGGATTGGGAGCTTCTCAGTAGCATGTTTTAGGAGAAGATTAGCAGTCCAAGAGGGAAAAAAGTTTATTCCATTTTTGAAACAAGAAAAAAAAAAGGGGAGAAGAAGAAGAAGAAAGACTACTAGAAATTAATAGCAATCTAATCATCGTACCAGAGCTACAAATTTCAGAGGTGCACATGAAATAAAGCGTGAAGGGATCGATGAGTTCAAATACACAGTTAGTATAGAAAAATGAATTTAGATAAAGAAAACCAAATTTTTACAAATTTGTGAAAATTTTTGGATTTTTATGCTCTCGCTGTCAGTTTATCATCAATACTTGATTGTCTCCTTTTTACAAATCCATCCCAGGACTAGAGAGAGAGACAGAAAGGGACAGGCATTACTGCAGGTAGGCAAGAGGAAGCCTTTGAACGACTTCAATTGTCCTTTTTTTCCTCTGTACATAATCATGACAGCTTTTGGAGATGAGATAGAAGCAGAATGCAGAACAGCTGGACTTGACCCATCCCCATAGAGAATTTGGAAAACAAGTTTTCTTGATGCCTGCAAATCCAGTAACAAATGTTTTAAACACCACCAGCTGTACTGATATAGTACTTTTTCTTTTTAGGTTAAAAGAAACTCTGAAAAAAGTAGCTAAAATAGTTGTCTTCAATTTACATCATTTTCTAGAGATATTACAGCTTAGTTATTAAATGGCTTGAAATGCAACAATGTTAAACATTATCTGCTATTGAGAATAAATACCAGACCGTATCACTGAAGCCCAACTGTTGAGTGACAAGGGAAGTCCCAGCAACCATTAGCAACCAGAGAGCAACAAAGGCCTCTGATCCCCTTGTTTTCAGCAACAGCCTGAAAATTTAAGAAACCTAATTTAGTGATGCAGTAAATGAAATGCGTTGGAGTCCTTATTTTTCCTTTTTTTTTTCCTCTGTCCTTAATAATAAACTCAACACACCTCAAAAACTTGCCTAAGAATGTTCTATACCCCGAGAGAAAGCAGATGAAGCCCTCCAGGCTCTCTTGAGCTGGCATTGGCCAAATGCTTTCCTCTATTTGACCTTCATAGTTGAAAAAGAGCTTATAGATGGTCAAAGAATGACGCTGCATCCCATATATAGTTCATAAGCACAGAGAATATATAATAATTCATATGAGACAACGTTCAGAGTGACAAATGAAGAGGTCACACCACATTAACTAAAGATGAAAAGTAAAAAGAGAAAAAGAAAAAAAAATGATTTCTAGTTTTTAAAATCCATATTCTAAAACTAATCCACAGAGCAGGGACAGAAGAGAAAGAGTCCTCTATACCTGGCTCTTGAGCACTGGAAGTATGACTAAGAGAGGACAACAGCTATGTCCCACAAATATCAAGCTGTAGGCCCCAAAAAGATAATTGACATCATATTTTTAACGTCTACTTCATAATGAGTCTAGAAAAATCCACAAATGGAAGTCAAAGCAAATATAGTAACTTCTTTGTTATGTCAAATTAACTAGAATAAATAAGCCGAGCATGTTCAGTAAAAATAAGGACATGTAAAAGAAGTATCTCCACAGTTGCTGAACCAAATCATATTGGCAGCTCACCCTTTTCTGCAAGAAGCTATATCTTATAATGGTAAGCTTCATAATGCTATGTCAGGCAGTTAGATCTCATATCTAATGAACGGGTAACACATTGCACATAAAAGCACCATAAAGCAAAGAACTTTACATTTTTTTTTAAATGTATTAATTTTTATGCTGGAATCTTGTTCTAATAGAGCAAGTAGCACATCCAGATTTCCACATAGAGATGAGAAAAGGAAGAAAAAGAATATAAATGAGACAGTCCTCAAATTACATGGTGATGCAGTTAGAGAAAGCGTGCCACCAAATGTGTGCTTTAAAACAGAAGTGCAATTATTCATTCTGACTTTTACTGATAGTGGTCGAGAATAGAAGAGCATGTTATTGACATATGGCATATTAGAAGAATGCACAGGAAAGCATGATATAGCTTGAGAGTATGCACCGCCCAGGGTCTTTCCTTCAACAAAGTCATAACCCTGCAACATAACAAACAAATGAACTAGATTGCAATTAAACCATTCAAGAACATAAACCTCAGATCAATCTAAGTGCTGATCATAAACGTTTTAGGAATTTTTAACCATGACATAACACCCACATATTAGAAGCCATAAATTATCTTGAACCAGAGTTTCTCTAGATTCAAGTTCTAAAAAATTTGGCAAGCCGAAAGTGATTTCCAGACAACAACTTTGGAAAACAATTTTATAAATACACAAATTTTATGTGTCGTGGAAAAACCAATAGAATATAAGGAAGCCAAATAAAATAAAAAGAGTTTCAATCATCATAAGTTGCATAATGTCCAGAACTTCAAGTACTTAAAATTATGAAGTTTACCTTTTCCATTATTCAGCCTCTCAAATTTAACAAAGTCAGTAAAACTTGCAATGTCTAGTCTTGGAAGATTCACAAAAAGTTCAAAAGTGGGTGCACAACATACACGTCAAATATAGACAGGTCAAATTCTTTTTCAAAGAAACTCAAGAATGTAAAATTTTGAAAAGAAAGAACAATCACGCTTTGCACTTTGTAGTTCAAGAAGACATAATGAAAATGTCAAGATTAAGAGATTGCATATCTTGGCAACAAGATATTGACTCCAACATGGTGTTAAACTGTTAAGACTCAAAAATCAACAACCAAATGAAACAGGCATAAACCCAAAAGATTCAAGTTAAGAATTCATGAATCTTGAAAAAGAAAGAAAAGGAGATATAAACCTTCTTGTGGGTATTTGAATGGAAGGGGGAGCGACCACAACACGTCAAACAGATCAATCTTGTTGGGAGATACTGCCAAAGGAAAGGAAAAGGTTGCTGATCAGGAATAATAAATAAAATTGAAACAACATAAAATCCTATATCGAAACAACTTCTGGCATCACCGAAAGGATCGAAACCACATTCGTAGGCCGTCAATTTTTCTGGAAAGGTCGAAGTATTTGAAGTAGATGGAAAAGGAAGACCACTTGGTTCTGACATCACCACAGCCCACTTGGTTCTCTCGCTCCTTGCTCGCGGAGCGGCATACCGGAAAAAAAATGAGAAAGGGTGCCGTAGCAGCTACTGAGGCTCGCCGATTACTAACTGACCGATAATAGGGTTAACACTGTATGAAAGCAAGAACTGGACACGTCAGAAAGATTAACATCAAGAAGAATTGCAATGCCTGGCAAGAAGCGGTTTTCTTAGGACTGAGGTCGGTTTAAGAAAAAAAAAATGAAGTGGTTGATTTTAAAACCAGTAAAACTCGTAACCGACATAGTCCAACAGGAAAACTTAAGTACACGTGGCAGTTTCTGCTAGTATGGTAATGTAACGCATGCGTCAACCCAACGCAAGATATGGATTAAATTTTGTGAAGAAACTAAAAAGTTACGGTTAGATTTTTTTTGACTAACAGATATGATTTTATTTTATTGTTTTAAAAATAAAAATTTATCAACATATTATACTCCTCTGGTTAAATGTAAACCAAAGCCATCTTCAGTTCATCTTTTGCCAGGGAAATTACCATCGTGGTAACCATATGCAACTCAACAAAGAAACTCACAATTACTTGAAATATATTGCAAGAAAGCATGAAGTTCAAATACAATGGAACCATAGGTAGAATTACATCACTTCTTATTATGGTCTACGCAATAAGGCCATATTTTATACAGAATGAATAGTACTAAGATAACTACTATAATAGGATTTACTCCTAAGAATTTGCAGGAACAAACTTGAGTGATATGCTATTGACACAATGACGTTCATTCGTGGGTGTTGGAAACCCTTCACCTTTAAATACATGGCCTAAATGGCCACCACAAGCTGCACAAGTAATTTCAGTCCTCATCCCATCTGGGTCCGGCTGGTTAAACATGTCACTCTCATTAGTAATATTTACTTGAACCATAGATCAATTTAAGATGATACAGAACACTGGAATAGAAGGTTCAAACAGGTAGAGCAAAAGAGGAAGGAAGCTCACATTGCGATTAATGGCACCAGGGAGACCCTCATAGAAAGCTGGCCAACCACAACCAGAATTAAATTTTGTAGTAGACCTGTAAAGAGGAGTCCCACATCCTGCACAGTTATACACACCCTCACCGAAGAACTTGTCATATTCTCCGGAGCCTGGATACCTATACAGAATCAAAACGAATGTTAGGTATTATCAATGGATAGTGTTACATAGAATAATTCAGAGAAAATTATAGTGAGCAATTAAGAGGTGAAACCCATTTGTCAGAAGTATCTAATATCACTCTGAGTAGAGTGACATTATTACAATAAAAACAGCAACCACAATTTGAATAAACTGCCCAGAAGGTGTTCCATGAACATAACAACCAAAAAAAAAAGCATCTTTACATATTGATCTATCAAACTCTGACAAAAAACAATAAACACCTAAATCCAAAATTGTCAGACACAAATGAAATTCTCCAAAAATGCCAATTCTCCATGAGTTACCTTCTTTTCCAATTTCATACAGTTTATCACATTACAAACTTTATTTCGTCCAAAAGCAATAAAAGCTCAAATTTTAAATAATTTGAGAGAAATATAAGGTCCTAATCAACACTACCACCAGCTTAGCAAACTTACTCGGTGCCCTTTTGTCTCAAAATTCGAAATTGCTCAGGGGAGAGAATAGCACGCCACTCTTCCTCGGATTTCTGGACCGACCCAGAAGCAGCCATGGCCACGAAAACACTCCTACGAAACCTACGCTTGCTCTGGTAAAGGAACCTACCAGACCCAGATGAAGAAAGGGAGAAAGTAATGGCCCTTGACAAAGAAAAAGGAAATCTCAAGCGGGTATTGTAACGAAGAAAAGAATTAGAAACAGTTTTCGAATAAGAACTGAGACAACTAGAGAAAGTTGCTGGTTTTGCAGTGGTGGTGGTGGTGGTGGTGAGGAGCAGTGCTTTGGAGGTCGAACAAGAAAAAGGTGTCGCCTTGAGGATGTGAAGGCCCATTTGAGAGAGAAAAATCGATTTTTCCCCCTTTTCCAAAAAACGGGCAGATGGATAACGAGCAGAGAAACCCAAAGCATCGAAACGATACGTTGTACAAGAAAGGATAGAATTATTGAATAAGGGTATTTGAGGAAATTAAAAAATTTCACACGAGTGTTTGTTTGATACCCGAATTTGTCGCACGTGTGCGTTGTTCGAGACTCCCTTCTCTCACTTAACTTCCCTTCTCAGGTATCAAAGCCAACCAGAGACTCTCGCGCTCTCTCTTCGCTCTGCGATTGCCTGTCTTCAATTTCGATCTCAAATCAGGTATCTTTCCACAAATCTTTGTTTGAAAATCTTTTACTGTGGTTTTTATTTTCATGATTTTCCCCCCGTTTGTTTCACGAGAAAACCCTGGAAAAAGTATGTCAAAAAGAAATTTTAGTTTTGTATGTTATTATTTATCATCTTTATTCTTAACCATTTTAAATTTTGGTATCCGAACTGAATGAAATTATAAAGAAAAATTTTATTTTATTGTTTCCTTTGTTTTCGGATCGTTTCTTTGCAACAAACATCATCTTTGATGCTGAAAATTAAACCTTTGTGAATTCTGTTATTGGAAAAGGTTTAAACTTTGAATTTTTTTTTTGTATATATTATCAATCAAATAACGCCTCTTTTTTTTTTTTTTTTAATTTCGCATTTTGTAGTGTCTGACTGGTGGCATTTCTTTTTCTAATGCAGAAAAAGACTAGCCGAAACTTCCAAGCTAAGGTAATTTTTTTTTTTTCAATTTTCATGATGTTTTTACAGATGGTTTGATTCTCTAATTGTTTGTTCATATCAATTTTAGATAGCATTTAGTAACCTTTACAATTTTGGCTTGGTTTGCACAGGGTTGGATTGAAAATATAATCTGTTACTTTCTATTCTTTTCAATTGCTGAGGAACATTAAACTTTGATCTTGTGGTTGAAGTTAGAAATTTTCTTTTCTTTTTGTTGGGTTTACTATATTGCAGAACATCAGATCTAGCATGGACTATGCTGATGATTTTATTTCGTGCGTTGGACTGGTATACCAGGCAGCTTTAGGTTTTGCTAGTTTTAAACTTCACCTTATTCTAAGACAAGGAGGAAATCTTTCAAACCTGTTCAAAATCATCTTTTGATACTAGTGACTATTTGGTTTGTGATGTTGGCTACAACTTGTGTGTCTGAAGGCTATTGAAGTAGTGTTGTTATTTCCAAAGATAACCTTCTAGTTGATTTCATTGTTCACGTTTAATAAAAAGAAAATCAGACAACTGTTGTAGTAAAGCCTCGTTTTTAATCTATCTGTTCAGTTTGCTGGCTTTTCAAATTGATTGCAGTTGGTATTGGTGAAATTTGTGGTTCTGGATTTTCGTAGATGAGTTGACCTGATATGAAGTTTTTACTTTTGCCTTGTATTTTTAATAGCAGTAGAGTGTGATAAAGGAAATTATATTTGATATGATGTTAGCAATTTGCTTACAGACCATCTTAATTTACCTTTCGGAGAACAAGTTTCCGTTTAGAATGTCAACCTATAGAAAATGGTGCATAAGGATCATATTCAAATTTAATCAAGCACATGTGTAAACCATCCAATTTCCTTTGATGGACTGGGAACATAATATAACATAAGAAAATGTCACATTTTTCTGTGTTGTTTTTGCATGATTAAATGTGTGATTGCTACATTTTGTTGTTCTGCTCTGTGCCAGGTTTAAAGCTTTGATGTGGAATTTTCAGTCTAATCTTATCACTGCAATGACTAATATCATATCAATATTTTTCCATGTTACTGCAAAAAGTCTCTTCCTATATCACAATATCCTACCTGCAGCATAGTAATACGTCACTCTTTCTGCTGGTACAAAGAGGGCCAAGGCCTAAGGGAAATTAGGGAAGGGAAATTTGCAATTGTTGAGAATCAGACCTCAACCTTGCAGGAATCTACCTCCTAAGAGAGGTGGGTGAACCATCTAGGCTAAGCCCCAGATTCACTTTCTTCGCTCTTTTTGCCATATCTGAAAACAAGCAAATAAGAGTTGTGATACCTGTGGTGTGGTTTTTCAGGTTGAATAGACTGGTAGAGCTGAAAGCGTATGTCTAGCATCATCTAGTAAAGCACCATAGCCAGCTGCTTAGGGAGCATTCTCCTTTCTTGAACAATTTACCCCCTTTAATGACCATAAATGTTTTCTGTTTTCTTGAGTTGTTAGATGTTCTATGTTCATAGAGTCTAAATTCCATCTTTCTGAGGTATATTCGCACTTAAAAATTGTTGATCTCCATGCCTTGCTAAAACTACTACTTTTGTCTATTCTCTGCAGGAACTTGTTATCAAGTTAAGATTAAGAAATGGAAATAAGCACTGTAAAAGATGCATTTGACCATGTTGCTAAGAGGCAAAAATTGTCTTCCTCTAAATCCCAAGAAGTAGTTGATCAAGTTGGCTATGAAATTGAGCAGGCATTGACAAAAATCAAGGCCATTAATGATCCCGTGTCCCCTATTGATCTGAAATCCATTCTTGCTGAGCTAGAACTCAAGCTCAATGCTATCGGTCCACTCCACCGGTTAGAAGGACTGCAGAAGGAACGAAACATAAACCTCAGCAAGTACGCTAAACTTCTTGAAAAGTCATTCAATCCTGACATATCCAAGGCATATAGAAATGTTGACTTTGACTTCCACATAGTGAATCAGATAGTTGCAAGTCACTTCTACCAGCAAGGCTTGTTTGACCTAGGAGATTGCCTGATAAATGAAGCTGGAGAACCAGAAGCGATTGCTATTAGATCTCATTTCTTAGAAATGTATCAAATACTTGAAGCTTTGAAGGTTAAGAACCTTGAGCCTGCTTTGAACTGGATCATTGCCAACCGTGAGAAGCTCAACCAAAATGGTTCAACTCTTGAGCTAAAACTTCACAGGCTTCAATTTGTGGAGATTATCCAGAAAGGAACTAAAGCTGATGCACTCAGTTATGCCAGAACTCACCTTGCCCCTTTTGCTTCTCTGCACACGAATGAGTTTCAGAAGCTTGTGGTTTGCATCATATGGGTCGGAAAGCTTGACAGATGCCCGCATGCCGAGTTAATGTCTCCAACTCATTGGGAGGAATTTACTGAGGAGATCACCCAACAGTTTTGCAGTCTTGTGGGACTGTCCTATCAGAGCCCATTGAGCGTGGCCATAGCAGCTGGTGTTGAAGGGTTGCCTACACTGCTGAAGCTGGCTAACGTAATGGCTGCAAAGAGGCAGGAGTGGCAAGCAATGAAACAGTTACCAGTGCCAGTGGAGTTAGGTAAGGAATTTCAGTTTCACTCGGTGTTTGTGTGTCCTGTAAGTAGAGATCAAGGCAGTGAAGAGAATCCACCAATGCTGATGCCTTGTCTGCATGTCCTCTGCAAGCAATCGATCATGAAGTTGTCAAAAAGCAGCTCTCGGACATTTAAATGTCCTTACTGCCCAACAGAGGCGTCAGCTGCACAATGCAGACAACTTTATTTCTGATGTCTAATAAGATTCTAGAGCAAGTGTTAGCTGCTTCTTATGTGGTCGTGGTCATTAACTTTGTGCTTTTTTAAGCATTTTTTAAAGAAGATTGTATATACATAGAAAGAAATTCTTTGTACATTCATGGTCTATTTGGTTAAGGTTTAATCATTTGCATAAAACCAAAGTCATGGAAGGCCACTTTGCCAGACAAGTTAGAGAAAAACCGCCGGTTGAAGTGTGAAGCCATGGAGAGAAAGCCTTTTTAATCATAATTGACAAAGTTTAGACTGATTATGTGCAACGTTTTTAATCATTAAAGCCAAATGATAAGAATATGATTTGTCAGGTTTTTAAGTCTGAAGATTAATTTAAAAAAGAACAGGAAACAATGCACAACAGTGAGTCTCAAATAAATGGATAAACTGTGAATGTAAACATTTCACCAGCCATGATTTTGATCTGTTAGTGAACGGTAACTAAAACAGAAAAGAAAATTTCAATTAAACTAGTAGTTTATTACAAGTTCTCAATGAAATTTAGGTATCTTCGGAAAGCCCCAACATTCTCTTGAAACCAGGAAACATAACTGAAGAAGATTTGTCATCCTGTAAATATTCATCCACCATTTCCTTGACTGACCTTACCGACAGTGGATGAAAATTAACACCCCATTCATTAACAAACTCCTTAACTAAAACCCATTTCTCCTCTTCTTTCATCTTCCTCCATTTCATATTCACTTCCTCTTCTTTCAATGACAAATACTGGCACAGCTCTGAAAACAGCAACTCCATACTTTTCTTCATGGCTTTCTCTTTTTGCTCCAAATGGGTATTAATCTTTTCCACAGATATTGCCAAATCTAATGCAAGGGCTGTATCACCGAGGTTCTTTTTGGTGCATGAGATGTTGTGGATCTTGTTTGGTCTGCTGGTGAAAGGATGGTTCGGCAACTTCCGAGGTCGTGGGAGGTTATTCGAGGAAAACTGAAACAAAGGGATCCTCATGGCCATTTGCAAAGGTTGTCGGAGGGACAGGAGATTTTGTCGTTTTTTGAATCGTGCAGATTAAAAACGGAAATATTGAAAGAGAAGAACAGGCTCTTAAGATAGAGGGAGTTAGGCCCTAACGCTTGGTTAATATGCCCTTTACCGGCTTTACTCATTATCCACGGCCCACCAAAAGTAAATACTTAATATCATGTTTTTTTTTTTTTTTTTTTGTGATTTATAATATTGTCGTAACTTTTTTTGTTTTCTTAATTTTTGTTTAGTTTTAAGAAGATCTCTGTTGACAACAAGATTTATTACTATTTTGAAGATAAACTGCTTTTTTCAATTCTTATCAAACTAAATATGAAAGGAAAAATCTTATTCCTTCCTAGTTGATTAAATGGGCAATAATATCAAATATATCATGGCTTGCCATAACAATCCTTATGCAGAGTGGATAGAAATTGCTCTGTGAGAGGATTATTCTTATGCCTTTGAAGATTGGCAATCTTTGATTCACAGCTGTAAAGAAATTTCACGTTTTGAAGTCTTGAATTTGATAAGCCCTGTTTCCAGCCACGGTTTGGACTCCTCACTCTTAATTCTCAGAGGACTTTGATCCTCTTATCTGTCCAAAGGCTGAAGTATCCATCCAGGACTTTACATGCTGAAGATTCTCCAAGAAAAAAAATAAAAATAAGGATGGAAGAGAGTAAAGTGGGAGCAAGTATCTTGTCAATGAAACATGTTTGCTTAAAAAGGATCTGCATTTCAACTCAAGTGAATGGCGTATCGATAACCAAGTCTGCTGAGAACAAGAGCTAAAAAATAAGCTGCAGTGACATTTAATTTCATAGTTCAGAAAGGTTAAGGCATAAAAAGAATTAACTGAATAAGTACAAAAGCAAAAAGGGTATTCTTTCTACACATTTGAATGTTAAACCTATGGAATGTAGATGAATTTCTCAGCTCATTTTTCAATCCTCTTCTTTGACTCCGCCTGCACTCTCAAACTTGATTGACATCTAATATGTGATTGATCCACTGTTATAATTGGCAAATATCTGGTATTATGACCACTCCGCACCACCCAAAAACGAAAAAAGGAAAAGCTGAAAGCATCCATAAAAAGAGATCTCAGAGGGCAGCAGCAATCAATTTTCAAACACCCAACAGTCTTTCATCTCCAAACAGACCAGTCTACTGCCATTCACCTGTATCCTCTATTCACCTACTCAGTGCATGCAAAGGGTGCTGCTTGGCTTTATCCGAAGTGAATGTTGAAACAATTTGATCAGATTCTGTTCACATTTCATTACTCTGTCCCCAAGTTATTATGGATTAGTTGAACCAGTATATCAACCCATGTGTCAGGGACACCAGGTAGGCACCAGTGCAGGCAGTCCTGGCCCCAAGTCGACACCGCATCCTTCTTTCCTAACCAAATTGCTGGATGGGCATCTGCTCTAAACTCACTCAAATAAGTCAGATCAAGCAAATGAATATTTGTGCCTTCCAGTGCCTCTTTAATTCGATGGTTAAGCGCCCTTGCTTCTTTATTCACTCCATTGTTGCTGGGATCAAACCACAAGTCAAGCTGTCCAGGCATTAGCATCAAATCCTCTGTAAATATAACAGTGCATATTCCAAATATAATTTAAAATTCTAAAAGATGTTTCTTTAAACCAATAGGAAATTCATCTTCAAACCAAACTAGATTTGCATTTGAATTGCTCTAAAGGCTTGTCAATGAAATTCAAAAAAACAAGTTGGCAATATTACGAGACTAAATTGAATGGAGTATTAAAAAAGACCAAACTTGGCATTGCAATTGAAGAGCGGATAAAAATTATCAACTGATACCTGGCCTTCTTCAAGGGGTCTGTCAAACAAGCAACTGCCATTTTGATTCCACTCACCACCATAAAAATGTCTTGGTGATTGAAGCCGCCAGAACTTGAGAGTGTTCTTAGGAACTTCCTTTTGAATGTAGTGAACCATATTTTCAAAAACAACTTGAAGGCCATCCAATAGTCCCAAGGGGGGACTTATTGGTCGCTCATGTCGATAAAAAACAAGAGGTGTCTCTTTCGGGAATTTATCATAGCCCCACCTAATTAAGACCAAATCATGCATTACTCCAAGATGTTCTCAGTGAGGAATGGCCCAAGATGATTGCTTTGCATGTGCATATGCATTAATGAAAGTTGTGTGTGTGTGTGTGTGTGTGTGTGTGTGTGTGTGTGTGTGTTATACATGTATTAAGACACTCTACATGTCATAAATGAAACATCAGAAAAATTATACAAACCACATATGATGCCGGAAAATAATAACAAAATAGATTTGTTTATTGATCAGCATCTTCTATAAATTAGCAAAAAGAAAAGAAGATTACCAATGGCCAGTGTTGAAAACAAGAACATCATAGAAGTCGGTAACGCTGATCCATTCGTCTGCAGGAGTATCAACATCAACTTGGTATATTCCTTTTAGTCCATCTTGATCAGAAACCTTTGATTGTTTTGGCTTCCACCTTTATTTTAATAGTCAATTACAAGCACAAGAAACATAAAAGTAAATACAGGCATCAAGACTTCTAGAATTTCCATAGAAGATAAATGAAACAACACAGAGCAGCAGAATATGTATTACTTAAAATGACTTGTGCCAAAAACAAGAAAACAGTTATAAGTCATTGCATTGAAAAAAAAAATGAGAAACATGCAAGTCAATAAGCTAGTTTGCTGATCAAAATACCCCCTCAAAGGATGGGAACTGCATTATCAACTCTGACACATCATTTCATTTCAGATCTCTTGAGTTCCATTATCAAGCTATATCTTTTGGTCTTAAAACTTATAAGATAACAAGGAAAATTAAATACCAGAAGGAAATTTGATAAGCTGCATATACTAAAAATAGAGCTATCCCAATGAAAACCCATATTCTAAAAAAGTTCCAGAGAATTCAAAAATGCAATCCATGGTCTAGAATAGTATAACATCATTAGGATGGGAAAAACGTAATTCCAAGAAACCACTAGATAAAAAAAATTAAGAATATTTATCATGAAAAGCACGTCTAGCTTATGTTGTCAACAAGAGAAAGTTAAAACCAAACAACATAAACAATTGGTAAAATTTTCATGATGCCTGCAATTCTACCAGTTTCCTCTAGTAGATTGATCCAAATATGGCCGTCTCATTGCTCAACAGTCAACACAGTTTCAGCAACTTTCATTTTCCTCATCTAATTTTTTCAAGCATCACAAGATAAAGCATACAATTACATCAATGGCATTTTCAATCAATCACAAAATCAAAAACTATCAATGAAACCAAAAAAAAAAAAAAAAAACTTACTTGTATTTGGCAAGCAAAACAGCCCGATGATAGGCAACTGTAACATTATACTTGGGAAAGTAAGCCCCTCTCCAAGCACCCTTTTTCTTCCACTTTTTAGCACCTAAATCAGCCACTCTAAGAATGCATAAAAAAGAAACCAAAAAATTTTCACTCAAAGAATCCCCAACAAAGCCAATATTCCTATTCCTCATCAAACCCAAGAACTTCCAGGGATCAATTCTCTCCAGCCTGCAATCTTTGGGCACCCATTTCCAGGAATTGATGATTCCCATGTTGTCCCTCTTGTTCTTAAGACAATTCCAGGCGTTTCTATGAAACGGGCAGGCTTCATCGTAGAAAGGCTTGGGTTTGGTGGAGTTTAAGACCCAATGACCATTGAAAAGGTTGCAAGAAGAAGAGAACGAACGAAGGAACATTTTAATGGGCGGTGAAGAGGAGTGGTTGTTGGTATAAAGAGGGAGTAAAGTGGAGTAAAGGAAGAGGAAAACTAAGGAAAGAAAGACGACAGATGGGAAGATCGAAGAATAGAGCTTAGTAGGCATTTGAGAAGGCCAACATGCAGCAAAGACATGTTCTTTGTTCTGTTCATCCATTCTGCTGCTTAAGGTTGTCTTGTAGTAATGGGCCTTCACGAACAAAAAAGAACCTTAAATGGATCAACTAATTTCATTTATGGGCTTCTTCACTAAGCTCGATTCCCATTTGTTCTTATTCAATAACAGCATTTGGGATCAGACCTGCGGGGGCTCAAATATTGGACTGATCTTTATATGTAAAAGAAAAAAAATGTGACCCATGCTAATTGTGTACTTCTGCTAACAAAGTTGTGGCAACAATTTTTATTTTGAGACAGACAAGATGTGATATGTACTTGTATAGATTGAACAAGCTCACAATCATTTAGTTGAAATTTTGACATGTATTTATCTTTTTAGCATTTCTTTATCATTCCATGTGCATAATTACATAAAGATAACTTTTCATCTCTTAAAACATATTGTAGCAGTAACTTTGTTTACTAGTATTATATTTTTTTTAATAATACTCAAATAAACCTTCAAAACTTTATTCAAAATGAGAATGATTAAATATTCAAGCCTTTTACTGTATAAATCTAAGATTATGAACTTATATTTTATTATAATTTAAACTTTGATAGTATAAAATATTAATTTTTTTGTTAAAATTTTGAAGATGCTTGATTAAATTTATTTGGATGAGTTGGATAATAAATTTTGAAGAAAATTTTATTGTAAAAATTATGACAATTGGACTTCTATTCATCAATTTTCAAGATTTAATAGTTATAATTAAAATTAAATTAAATTTTATAACATAAATTTTAAGTAATAAAAGATCAAGGGTTAATTTGTTTCAAATTTTTAATAAAAGTTCAAGAATTTTTTTGGGTGTTATTTTTTTTTACCGTATGCTGTAAAAGAGGGGGAAAAGGCAAAAATGATTAATCGGCCTTGCATGAAATCAACAAATATTCCAACATAAAGTGCCATGCATGTTTCATTTATACAATACAATAGTTGGCATAGTAGCAAGCCCCTTAAAATCTGATATCCTTCAATTCCTTGTACATCAGGATTCAGGGATGTATCATCAGATTTTATTACATCATATTTATATCTACAAACACCAAACTAAAGTCGTACTTTAAGTAGAGACGCTTCGGGACCGTTATAGGCTTGTAATATCAGACAATCTGCATGCATGACAAGACAGAGAAGCAGCAAATTATAAGCAAGCCAGTAATTAGGCGATAATTGGCAGGTCATCATCAATCACTGAACCCAAATCAGATCCCCAGCAGAGAAGAAATGGCACATAGGAGATTTGCCGTGCTTGTCTGTGAGGTTAAGAAGGGCGGCACTAGTGGAGTCCATGTGGCAAACAGCGGCAGCATCTACTTTGTCTTTAGTGTTCTCACCAACCATTGAGACCTTGAAAACTCTGGTCTCACTTGAATCCTCATCATAGTGGCAGAAAAATACTGCGTAAGGGTAAGGCATGGGGTGGCAAGCTACTTTCCTGAAAGATTTAATCTCTTTAGGAGCTTCCAAAACCCTGTAGTTTTGTAATGAAGCAGTTGACATGGTGGGGTGAGTGGTAGTAATGAATCTGGTATCTTGAGGCCCCACTTTAAAGGCACCGCTAACAAAATCAACCATGGATTCCAAGGAGGTGGCACAAGTCTTGGTCTCTCCTTTACCAGGTGCATATTCACATTTTTTAATTGTATCTTCCATGGATTTGGCCACGGAAGAACCTGGAGGAATGGAAAAGAGTTGGAGGATTTCAGCAAGTTTTGATGATGAGAAAGGGATGGAATCAGCTACTTTCTTGGGCAAGAAAGGAGATGTAGCAGGGTCTTTGTTGGGAAAGAAGATGTTGGGATTTGCCTTGAATCTCAGAATCCCACATCGAAAGTTAAGTAAGTTTGAATTTGTCTTGTATCCCACATCGGGAGTTTAGTAAAGGTATAAAGGGTTTCACCCTTATAAATAAGATGTTTTGATTTTAGTTTAGTAACCCCAGAGAGTTAGACACCAAGAGAATAGCTAAGTGAGTAGGCTATTAAAGGGTGTAATTGGGTTTTGGGTTAAGTTTTGAGTAAGGAGTTTTAGGAGACTTTTCTCATTCTAAAAGTCTCACAATTGTAAAGATTTATTTGATAGTGGATTAGATTTGGAGTAGGCCATTTTGAGTTGGGCTGAACCAAATATATTTGTGTTTTCTTATTATTGATTTGAGCTTGTTATTTTGTGTGTGATTGCTGCGCGTGGGTATTGTTGTTTTTCCCAACAAGTGGTATCAGAGCGAGGTTCCAGTTTGAAGATGTCTGAAGAAGGTATGTCTGGTATGTCTATGCCTAAGTTTGAGATTCCGTTATTTGATGGAAAGAGTAATTTTATGTTATGGCAAAGTACGATTCAAGATCTGTTAGTACAACAAGGATTGGATCAGGCATTGGAGAGTAGTAAGCCTGAAGGAATGTCTGATGCTAATTGGAATAGGATTCAGAAGAAGGCTGTTAGTACTATTAGATTGGCGTTAGCTTCAGAAGTAAAGTACAGTGTGTTGACTGAGAGTACTCCGAAGAGTTTGTGGGATAAGCTTGAAGGTATTTATGCTTCGAAGTCGTTGACTAATAGATTATGTTTGAAGATGGATCTGTATTCTCTGAAGATGGAAGAAGGTATGAGTCTTCATAATCACCTGAATGAATTTAATAAATTGGTTTCTCAATTGTTAGCGATTTCTATTGATGAGTTAAAAGATGAAGAGAAGGCTTTAATTTTGCTGTCATCTTTGCCCAAGTCTTATAGGCCTTTAGTTCAGACTGTGTTGGTAGGCAGGTCTACTTTGAAGTTGGATGATGTGACTGCCCTGTTGCGTGAGAATGAAAGGTTTATGGGAGCTCAGAACTCATCACCTGAGGGGAGTACACTAGCTGTAGAGGGTTTTGATCGAGGGAGGACTCAAAAGAGGATTGATGGATCAAGATGGAGATCCAAGTCAAGAGACAGAGATTACAGTGATGTAGAATGTTATTATTGTGGTGAGAAGGGACATATCCAAGTGCGCTGCAGGAAGCTGAGAAGGGATATGGCTGCTTTCAAAAGGGCGAATGATGAGAAGAAATCAGATGAAGAAAAGAGTGATACTGCTGCTATTTTGTCTGATGATGATGATGTTGTTTTGACAACTTGTGTGGATGAGACCCAGACTTTGAAAAGTGACAAAGGTTGGGTTTTAGATTCAGCTGCTACAGTTCATGTTTGCAATGATAGGAGCTGCTTTGTGGAGTTGAATGAGAATGAAAAGTATGGGGATATTGTGATTGCTAACAAAGAAAAGGTGCAGATTCAAGGCATTGGGAGTGTTCGCCTTAGATCTCACAATGGTGTTATTAGGACACTTCGTCATGTAAGGTATGTACCAAATTGTCACTACAATTTGATTGCTTTAGGTGAGTTATCTTCTCGGGGATACACATTTTATGGTAGTAATGATTGGTTGAAAGTGTATAAGAATGATAGTGTGATTTTACAAGGGAATATGGTCAATCACTTGTACATGTTTGATGGAGGCTCAGTTGCTGGAATGCCTGTGATGAAAGAAAAGAAGAAAGGTAAGCATGTTAGCTTTGCAGATACTGTTGAAGTGTTGGTAGCATTTTCCCTGCATGGAAATTGTTATGTAGCTCATCCACAGTGAACAAGCCTCCCTTAGCGTTCTCCATGTTATCATGGGAATGATCCCTAAGGGAGTATTTCTCTACAAGAGCTTGAAGAGAAGTCCTTTCAAGTGACCCAATATTCACTGTTTTGTGGAAGTCGGAAATTGAAAATTTCCCGTCAAGGTCTTTTGGGTTAGCCACTGCAGCAGGCTTCACGTCCCTGACTCCATCGATGCCATTGCCGCACTGCACGTAAAAATTAATGTTTTACAGCATGTCAGTTTCATTAGTACTAATGCAACTCAGATCCAACTCAGTCTTACGTATGTGTCTGTTACAAGTACGTTACAAATACGTTCTTAAATGTATGTGTCCGATAAAAGTAAATTCATAATTGTCAAATAATTTCATATATTTGAAGTATCAAATCTTCGTATTCGTGCTCGATTTCGAACGCAAACATTTCAAAATAAATACCAATTAGTAATATACCAATATTTAAATGAATCAGCTACAAAGTGGTGTGAGAAAAGGAGAAAGTTAATTTGGTAGCTTACCACTAAAAGCAAAAGAGAGAAGAAAAGAAGCCACTGAGTGAATCGTGCCATTTTCTTGCTAAGTTGGTTACTCTTGCTTTGAACTGATAGTACTGGCTCTTGCTGGCTACCGGTACCAGATCACGTATATAAAAAGAGGAAAGGAGAAAGAGGTCTACAGAATTACAATAATGCCCACTGCATGGCCCATGCAGCAGATCAAAAACACTACTCCAAAATTATTTCTTTCTTTTTTTTTTTTTTTAAATTATCAAAATAACATTTGTTGCGGATTATTACTACTGTTTTACAAATGGAACTCAAACTCGAAAATCACACAATAATTGCAATGGTTGTTATCTTCTAGAGGTGGAAAGTTCCAACACCTGCTCTATATACCCTTATAGCTTTTATTAAAATTTTCAGCAAGTGGATTATTATTAATTAGTGATTTTATAATTTAATAAAATAAATTGATAAATTTAATCTTAATATAAGATAAGTATAAGATCTCAAATAATTTAATATAATTTCTAAGTATGATTTTTGCATATATTATTGAATCAGCGTAGTTTAGCGATTATGTATATTTTTAGTTCAATAAACCTTTGATAAGAAAGTTTTTAGGGTTTTAATAATATTTGACTAAAATCTCCTCTTTACTTATAATTAACTATATTTACCTATTAAAAATTAGTAGTAAAAGAAAAGCGAAAAGAAAGATTTAATCTCTTCATAAATTAAAATTAGTTCCATTTATTATCTGACTATTTAAATAAATATGCAATATAATTAAATTTGATAATCTAATATTTACATATAATTTTAGGGATTTAAGATTATACTTACAGCTTTCGTTGAGATTTTACTTTCTTATTTGGCTTTTTTACTCAATTATTAACTACTTTATATGTATTAAAAATTATGAGCATGATTATACTCTTTCCGCCCCTTTTTTTTTGTTATCTTTTTGGAATGTTTCCAAGTGAAATCATTTTTTCTATTTGTGAATACTTTATCTGTTGGCAAAAAAAAAAAATTAACACTCTAAATTTTTATATTTCAAATTAATTATTTATTTTCTTACAATAAAATGTATGGTAAATTAATATTATAAAAAATTTAAATTAAAAATATTAAATACACAAAAATCAATGTTTTATCTTAATATGCGTGAACGTTAAAAAAAAAAAAAAGACAAAAGTTTTGAACCGGAGAAAGTAAATTTTTTACTATTAATATATAATCTTATTAAAAAAAATTAAATATCTTACAATTACTTATCAATATGTGAACCAAGGGGAAAAATTTACCGTAATCCGGTCCATAAATTAGAAAAAAAAAAAAACAAATACAACCGACAAATAAATTAGTCAAGTTCTATATCCTAAAAATTTCCTACAAAAGGAAAGTTGAAATCAAACTCTTTAATCTTTTATCAATAGTTATATAATTTATTAATAAAATATTAAATTCTTAATTTTTAATAAAAAAATCACATCATTTAGTTACAAATAATTGAAAATTACGTGGCAAGTGAATAGCGTTAGAGCAAATTCACACCGTAAACTGAATTGTCACATGCGCCTTATCTTTATGGATGGACCAACACAAATTATTGCAAGGTTGGTCTGCCCCATTAGTCATGTCTGTTTTCCAAATTTTGAACCCGTCCTTGAGCTTTATTACACAGGTAACCTGTATGGTCCGAGATGTTGTAAATTTCCCAAATTTAGCTGGGGCTCGAACATTTAGCTTGATTTTTGAGCTCCAATCCAAATCAAGCTGCAAATGCGTCTGATTTTCTGTGGCTCCTCCGAATATCTATGGCCCCCTGATATATTCTGATTTAACTTTGTATTTTAGGCCATTTGTTTAGGCTTTTTCGGTAGCATCGGCTCTAGACCGACATACCCATATGTGGTGACTAGTTTACCCCACTCCTTTTTTTTTTTTCAATATTTAATTTACTTCTAAACCTTTTTATCTTTTACACTTTTTAAGCTTTTAACTTTTATCAAATCCCTAACTTTTAAATATCATTTGATCTAAACGATAACCGACAGTTTACCCCACTGATCTTATTCATTGTTTTGTTTGACTTATCTGTATGCAAGCTCGGGCCCTTGAAAATTATGAAGATTAAAGCAGCCATTCCATTTGTAGCAGGTATTCATTCCTTCACTGCTTCAGCAATGGCTTCAATAATTCGAATGAGTGAAAAGACACTATTTAAATAATTTTTTTTTAAGTTATTGATTGGGAAAAGAACGTGAAGCGAAGGAAATTGACATTACTTTTATTGTGGGGTGTCAATGTTGCCAATAATTAATCACAAGTTCAATATATATGAAGATATTTTTGAGTTCTTAGTCCTTTCTAGTTTTGTCGACTGATCCACTTTAACTGATTCAAAAGGGCAAAAAAGGTTAATTTTCCAAGGGCTAGGGTGACTTCCCATTGAGCCCAGTTATAGTTATTTCGATTTGTAAGAGTTCACCTTAAGAGTCCATACTTGATACCCATCATGATCAGACTGGGCTTGATTATGCAGGCCTAGGTTTGGTCTCACCTTGAATCATCATCACCTAGCTGAGGCTGTTACACTGTCTCTCGAGCCTTTTCTTTTTCTTTTTTGGATGTAAACAAATTAATAAGGTTACATCATTACATGTCGTCACCATGGGATGAGATATTTCTTTGCCAATCAAGGTTGTATCTTCTTGGAAAATGGAAATAATTTAAATGAAGCGTTCTAATACGAGAGAAGAAATGCACTCTTAAAATCGCACGAAAGGATCATCCATGTCTTTGATATGTCGGAATTTGTAATAACTTTATACTACATAGAATCTTTGATTTATGTTCTAAAACAATTTAATGTATGTTAGTGTGACAATGAACGTAAAATCTTCTGCCTTCCAGAGAGGGATCAAATAAAAAGAAAGGAACACAGCAGCACACTAAACATCAAACCAAGTTATTGCATGGTGTTAGACAACATTCACATCAGACATTAACATTACTCCACATGATTTTCAAATGGATGTTGCTGCATACGTTCAGGCAATGTTATAACCGGACAAGTACATTCAAGCAGGCAAAGGCACCCACACTAGATTATCTGGAGGGAAGAAATGACACACTGGTGACGATCTAGGGTTGATTTTGAGCAAACGAAAAGATACATGATCACGGTCCCATTGAGAGGTATCCATGTGACAAGCAGCTGAAGCTTGCACTCTGTCTCCATTCTCAGCACCTAATAAAACCTGAAATAACCTGGTTTCACTCTTTTGGCTGTGGCAGTAGAATACTGCATAAGGATATGGCAAAGTATGACATGCAACAATTCTGGAAGTAGGGACTTGTTTAGGAACCCTCAAAATGGTATAGTTTTGTAGAGAGACAGTTGGCTTTTTGAGAAAGGTAGTGGTTAAAACTTGAAGCTGTGCATCGGAGCCAAAGACAGAACGGGCAAAGTCAAGCATTGATTCCAGGGAAGTGGCACAAAACCTTATCTCACCTTTGGGGGGTTCGAGTTCACATTGTTTTAGTGTATATTCCATCGCTTTAGCTTGGCGAGAGTCTCTAAAGAATGAGAAGAAATCAAGAAGCTTTGGGAGTTGTGTCGATGAGAAAGGAATAGATTTGGCTTCCTCACTGGATAGTAGATGAGGAGAGACAGAAAGGTCTTTAGTGGGGAGGTAGATGGCCATTGTTTTGCCAAACTTAAGGTCATCTATCTTGAAGAAAATATTTACTAAAGGGTCCATATGGTCCATGTGGGCTAATTCATGAGTACTGCCATCCATGGTACTGGAAGGTTGCTGCTGATAATTTGTGCTCGGACCTTCTTCGATATGTTGCATGCGAGCATAACTGACTTGTGCGCACTGTAATTAAAATTGATCCCAAAAAGTTTCAAAGCAAAGTTTAATGCTGAAACTAAAACAGAAGTGGGAATTTACAGTATAAATCAAACAAGCTTATGTTGATTCTTACCATCAAAGCAAGAAGAACTGAAGAGGAAATGCACCAAGAAGCAAAATCAGAAACCATGTCTTTGCTTTGGAACTCTACTTTCTTTTTCTTCTACTTCTGAAATAAAGAAACAGTAGTCAACTAAATCAATTGGAGACTTTGGCTGAGCAAATACAGTATTTTAATGCAATGAATTATATATTGTGTAATAATGTACTTGTAACCAATATAATACGTCCCCCAGATAGCATCAATATATCAAGTTTGAGAAATTAATATACTGTATGGCAACCGCTTTTGCTGATAGACTAGAACAAGTTTCATCATTATTGTCAGGTTTTGGTCAAATTGTGATGTCATTAGGCTTTGTTTGGCTTAGTCTTAGTGGATCTATGTCTACACCAAATAAACTGTGCCTTCGAAAATCACTTCCGTTTCACCAAGTAAAAAAGTGCGTGTAGCTTATCATAAAAGTAGGGGCTGTATGCTTATTAAATTACAATAAATTCAATCATGTTCCTAGGTTCATTTCATCTTGGCAAGAATCACATGTAATAGTAAATGAACAAGTGCAAAGAATATAAACATTTTCCTGTAGGGGTGGACTGTGAACTGACCCACAAAACAGAAAAGATGAGGTATGTGGTGGTAGTGGGTTGGAAATTCTGCAGAAGAGTTGACTATGACCCTGGTGTCCTAGTGCTGAACGTACCCTTTCAGGTACTCAATGAACCTATGCATGTTTCAACGAAATTGCAGCAATGTCATATAGCACTGAGATCTTCTTGATTTCTTCATTTAAATGATTAAGGTAACATCAAAAGCTGGCAACATGCGGTTGTTTTACAAAGGTGGCATATGTCAACTATCATCAAAGATCCAACTAACAGGCCAGAAGGGCAGGCTACAATCTTTCTTAAACAATCTTGTAGACTATTGCTTTTGATAGAGAATGCTAACTGGTCCATTGAAATTCTTAAGGAGGAGCTAAACTTTTCTTTGATCTTTGACAATACAATAATCCTTCATGAACATATCAGCTCATGTCTAAGCCTAACTAATTTTTGCAATATCATAAGTTTCTACTCTCTTAGCATTTGGTCCTACTCCTTTGCACATGGGAAAATTGTTGCCTTTTTTTATAGAGCAATTGTTTATGATAAACAAATTACTTACTCTTTCTTCTTTGTTTTGTTTTTATTGGTGCTTTCTGTCTGATAACTATATAGAAGAATATCAACTTCCAGAAATCTTTTTCACTAATTGTCAACAAAGATTAAACATATCTATTCAGAAGAGATTACATCACAAAATGTTTCCTACTCCACCAGGCACTTAAACGGCTAAACCTTGCAACCATTCATTGAATCTACTACACAGATATGCACATTACACAATATCATCATCAACATACATAAAGTGGAGAGCAGACCTTTTTTTTTTCTTTGCCTAGAGTTGACAATATGTGCATGATTAACCTTTCTATAGGACTAACGAAAGTGATCTTACACCACCAACAAGGCCATCGACATGCTTTCAAGGAACAAAATCAATTGCTTGATAGATAAAGCAAACAATTGATCTCTGACTTACGGAATTAAGGAAATTTATGAAAACAGGAGGGCTTATGAACTCTTCTTCATTAAGGTCATAACCTTATGCTTTAGTTAATTCTTTCCTTGATGGTGAATCAATTGAAAGAAGAAATTTTTGCTTAACCGTTAGGATTAAGATTTAATGATTCTATAGTGTTTTCATTAAGAGAAAGTTAATTATAACTGCCAAGAACTTCATGCCAGTAGTTCTATAACTTGCTGTATCTCCTGCCATGAAGATGATCAAGGTATCAGGTTCAAAGTTTAGGCATCAAATTAATTAAAATGGGTTTTTTTTCCCATCAATTAAGCAAAATAGAAAGAAAGAAAAGATGAAATTCAAAGGCTACAACTAGGCTTACATGTGTTTGATACGCAAATGAAGTTGACTTTGGCACATCAGGTCAAGGCAGTAATCATGTGCCCAGCAAATCACAGCAGAAGAACCATATTAAAAATGTAAAGATTATACCAAAACCATATGAGAAAAAGAACGATGCAGGGCACGAACCAAACAGAAACAAGAAAAGTATAACCAGACAATTTCTCTTTGATAAGTACAAAATGGACAATTGTGTGTCAAGTTGACTTCAGGCCTGGAAAGAGCCAACGTATAGTTGTTGTAGCCTTATGGGAATCTCAGAGTCTATCTAACCTCTTTCAAAATTTTTCTATTTTCAGTCTTTTACCCGTAGTCTCAGCCACTTCCCACTGCACTTAACTTCATTGTTTAGTCTTTGTTGTTGGTCAGCTGATAATCAACAATAGGATCATGCAAAAGCATATAGACCCATCTTCAAGATTAAAATAACAGCACAAATCACTAATAAAGATACAGATCTTTGAATTTCAACACTTTTATATTATATCTTACCAAACTAAATGAATATATTAGGATAATACTGTTAAAATGTACTGGTGGGCTAAGTTTGACATTTTGATTGGTATTAATGGATAAAGGTAGTGTTAGTCAATTTTATGATTGGGTTGTAATCCAACATTTCTTTTATAATGAGAGGTCAACTTTCAACAGAAAATTTTTTAGTTTAGACCTTTTTCATGGTAGTTAAGCATGACTATGCATTCCATCAAGCCAACATGATTTTCTTCTCCCTCTCTAGTTTTCTATAGATTACTGATCAATATATGATGTTCTGTTCTCTTGCATTTCTCACATCAAACAACTGATAATGATGAAAACGACTTAAGTTGTTGCTAGATAGTGTGTGTTTGACAAGAACCTTACATCAAACGTTCATCAGAAACCGAACTTTAGCGCCAAGCATTAGCCATAAAATGTTGAAGAAATGATTAATTTAGTTGAGCCAAGGCCATTAATTAAGTCAACGAAACACTAAAAGATTTCTGCTCCTTGATAACTTCCCTAAATTAGTGTTTGGTACATCATCACCCTCTAAATGTGGCACCAGAAAAAGTGATTGAAGCATGATAGCTTAATGTTCCACCAAAAAACCATTTCTAAATTCTATCTAATGCCATAAAGTGAGCAAGCTTGTTTGTTGTTAAAGCATATATTCAGTACTTTGTAAGTAGTACAGACTACAGATTACTTAATTTAATCAACAGGCTTGAAAATATAAGTACAAATGGTGATAAATGAGAATCCAATTCTAGTATTGGTTTTTTTCTTCCTTCTGCTAATGATGAGGAGATTTACTACAAATCTTATAGGATTGGAGAAATCTCATCAGCTTGTCTGTGTTTCACACACCTCCAAGAGGTTATATTACATAATAAAAGATGTCAAAAAGTCTGTTTTTTCTATAGTTTTATCAGTTCTCCCACCATATAAACAATGATACATTGTTTAAAAATGTTCAACTATGGTGCCATTAAAAAGTGTGGCAATTGTCTACCACCAAAAGTGACAGAAATTGGAAAACCATTTAATTATCTCAATATCATGAAGTCAAAGCTGATTCAATCTCATGGTTTTTTAATGTCAAGGAGTGGAGAACTCATGAAAAAGTTGCCATTGGACTCTGAAACTTGTGGCTCCTTAGCATCTAGATGACCCTTGTCAAGGAAGATTGACCAACGACCATAGCAAATTTTAATAATATTATATTATGCGGAGGTTAATTTAAGTTAAGCATACTATTTGTTTAATTGTTTCTTCAGTAAAACAATAAAATAAAATAATCACTTTCTTGTCCTTTGCAAGTGGCCTATAAATGGTTAGTCAGTCTTGAGTAGCTTACCAATACTCAGTCTTGAGTAGCTTACTAATACAGAATAGCAAAATCTAAACTTGTTTCAACAGGCTGCCTAAGACATGAAGACTTACTTTGCTTTTTTCATTTTCTGTTTTCTTCTCCTGGTAAGCATTATTTCACATGTAATCTTAGTGCAGTCAATCAAAAGTTTAAAGAAAAACGAATAATTCATATCCTTAATCTCAGTTTTCATTCAGTTATGTTTATTTTTCATCAGTACATATACATTTGCTCATACGCTTTGATCTTTTCTTGTACAGTTTGCAAACCTCAACCATGCAACAAACGAATGGAAAAGTGTAATGAAGGATCAACCTATGCCAGAAGCAATCAAAGCCCTTTTACATCAAGATCCAGCTTCAGGTTTGGATTCTGAGAAAATGAAGCACTTCGTCAAGGATTTCGATAGCAAACATAGCTTTATAATATACCACAGCAATCCTGAGTACAAAGAAGAAGATAAGACACATGTCAAGGACTTGAAGAATCAGAAACAACGTAAATCTGATAAAAAGAACTAGACAGAAAGCCTGAGTTAATGGAGACTTTTCAGATAATTTGTATGATGCATGTAGCTAGTATTGTCCTTGCTTGTGATAGTACTTAGAAAAATGTGATTTTAAAATAATGTAATTTTAGCTTAAAAGGAACATTAGAATGGTTGAAAATAATGTAATAAATTTTCATTTTTATCTTATTTTTTAAAATAGAGAAATTAAAGGTTTGCTAACTTTTTCTTTCTTATAACACAAATAATAGTAATTAATCTCTATATTTATAATATATAAAATATTGATGTGGCAAATTTTTTGAACTGAAAAAAACAAATATAATATTCATTATATTTCTAAATTGTTATTGTAAATATTTTATTATTAATAAAATTTATCTAATTTATCGTAAGAAGTTTAGTTTCATTGAAAGACTTTCATTAAATGCATTTATTAATAAAATTCATCCTTTTTCTAAAACTGTTGTAGAGGTCTTTTTGTAATCTTGATACTCTTCCATTGATATAATTAGTAATGAAGCTTTGGACTATTTTCAAAAAAAAAAAAAAATCCAATTTATAAGAAAAGGTTTTATTTTTTAAATAAGTTAGGAAGTTTAATTTAATTAAAAAATTTATTTGATAATAAAGATTTATTCAATGTTTAAATCGTATTAGCACAAAACTTTCTTTATTCTACCATGCAAAAGGAGAAGATTCCTTTTGAGTCTTTAACTTGCTAAGTACACATTTTAATTTGAGAATTTATTAATTAAGCCTTTCTTTTTAGAATATTTAATGTCTTTTTACAGTCATTCATTCTAATCACCATCTGCACCTCATCCCTCATGTGTACTGGTTGGATAGTGATGTTGAGCATATCTAATTGGTGAAATAAAGTTTTTTTTTTTTTCTGATATTTCTATGGTTAATGTTTATTAAAATGCATGTACAAAAATTATGAAAATTTTATTTTAATTATTATCTCTGATGCTTTGGTAGCTTTCCATAACTGTGACAGTCGTACTAAGCTTTTATTTTGTTGCATTTACGTACGACCTACCTTGGTTGCATTCCCGAGTGCATGCAATTTGCTTGATAATGCAGCCCTTAGAGAATTCTTTTTTTTTTTTTTTTTTTTTTAACAAAAGGTCGTAAATGAAATTAAAAATTGCAAAAATTGAGAAAATTTTTACCAAGAGATTATAAATAAGATAAAAGATTATATATGCTAAAATTTAAATATAATAAATATTATTTTTTCAAAGTGATTTTATAATCGAATCTAAAAAAATTAAATTATAAAAATGCAAGAATCTAGAATGAGCAAGGGACAATCTCCTTTAAGTACTATAGTAGCTCATCATGTAAAATCTTCAGAATTTCTCATCATCTTAAATACATATGTTGCCTCTAATTCTAAACATTAAGGTGAAATTTTATTCCCAAATTGTAGATTAATGCAATGCACACTCAATGTAACTTTTGTGTCGGATTTTATTTCAAAATGCAAAATAAATTGACATGATTCTAACTATTATTCAAATTATTTAAGAAAATAAATAATGTTGATTGAACTGACTCACAGTTGAATATTCAATGTAAATTTTATGTCAAATTTCTCTCTTCAGTTGTAGAACCTGCCATGCTATAATAATTCTAGTTATTCATAAATAGTTTTATTTGGACCGACAAACATGCCCATACTACATGTTCGATATTTCTCTTTAGATTTCCAACAAAGAAAAATAGGTACTCAATTTATTAAGGGGTAAAATATACTATAAATTACTTATCTATGATCATATTTTAAAATGAATAACTAATTATTAAAATTTTCATTCCAATCACTAAAATTTAAATAAGTGTGTTTTTATTTCATTTAGTCAATAGTTTTTAACAACGTGTTAATATGATAATATCATGTCAATTGTTAGGTGTTGTGTAATATTGTCATGTCATGTAATATAGCTTGTGGTATTATAAATTTTGAAAAAAAAAAAATTTTATTGACGTGACAATGATATGTGACACTTGATAGTTGACATGACATTGTTACTTTAATGTATCGTCAGAGATTAATCGTTAAGTGATAAAAAAAATTTACTTAAATTTAAGTTATTAAATTAAAATTTTCAATAGTTTAGTGATCATTTTAAAACATAAACAATTTTGATTAAACTGGTCTATAATCTTGGACAATAAATTCTTAACACATCAATGCTTAAATTATTGAAAGGTAGTTTAGATTGAACCGACAAACATGTGTGATCAATACAATAGATTTGTTAGTTGTGTGTAGATTCTCGATAAATTGAAAAAAAATGTGTATCATTGCGTACTCGCAAGGACGACAAGGATCGATGTTGTAAGGAAAGGATCATTTAACTTCATAAAAGAAGGTTTGGCTATTACAATTATACATGGAAAGTATCATGTAATCCTTTGGCAACTCTTGCTTCTCAAAAGTTAAATCTAAATAGCCTTAGATAAATGGTTGAAGGTCAAATCTTTTTTATAGATAGTATTGAAAAGTTTAGATGAGGGAATGTTATTTCATTGTAGGGTCAAGTCATATGACAAATTTTAATGAAGATTTATATTAGATTTATACATCATTAAAAAATGATCTATAGGAAAAATCAAACTTAAATTTTACAAGCGAATTATTCACTTCTTACCAATTCAATCAATTCCATTAACATATTTTCTTTGATATTGAGAGCAATCCAAATTCATAAAAAGTAATAGTTTCTATTTTCACATGCATCCTACCACTTTATAAGAGAAGTAATTGTTACTACTTAAATATCAAAGAGTTTGTTTCATTGATACTTTTACTAGCTATAAGCTTTTTTGCTTAATTTTTCATAAAAAAATGAATAGAAATCAAAAGGCAAAAAACAAAAAAAATTAAAAACATTAATTAAATAAAGCTTTAGACTATATTCCTCTTTAATTAATGAAGGTACAAATCAACCACTGACCCAATGCTTGATAGAAAAATGGGGCATGCTAATCTATTGACTCAAACTTTTGGAAATTGGCATTTATATACTTAATTAGCAACATATTAAATATATATGTTGTCTAGTCTCCTCTCTTCTTCTCATACATGAATGCCAGGAGGATAATGCTGAATTAATCTTCCATCTTAACTATTCAAGCCTCAGCTCTCAAGCCCTAAAATATATATAGGAATAGGAAGAAGGGAAACGAAAAGTGGAGAAAAGAAGAAACATATGCTATTGTTGACTTGCAAATTCTACATGCCAAAATATACATGATTCAGTTCTCCACCATCTTTGTTTTTACACCAGCTTTCAGTATCTTGGCTTCAGTATGCATTCCTACCCAACGAATTTATAAATGCATCAGTTACATTTTCGTGCTCAGTTCACCATCAGTATACCGGCAGTTGCACTGTATAGTGGAGAAAGGGGGCCAAAAAAGAGATTGAAGGGTTATTAATTAGAATATCAGATAAAGAAAAAGAAAATGTACTACCTCATTAACATTGTTTTATCATCTTATATGTATATATAGAACCCAGACCCAACATCAAGTATTCAATGAAATTTCACTAGATTTCAGCCTTGATTATATATATAATTAAAGTGACACACATGTTACATGGATATAACATGTAAATATATGTATATAACAAAAATAGCATACATACATAAACATGCATGGGTACATATATACATATATGAGGGTGAAGTTTTGGACAGATGTGCTATAGGCCATAGGGTGGATGGATGGATGATGTTCAACATTTGTAGATGCCTTAAAACCATAGACTGATGTGTTGACAGTACCCCTTTTAGCTTGTCTCTTGCTACAAAACCATTTGATATCCATTCAAAAAGAAAAAACTAGTCCAATTGGGAAAGAGAAATTATTATTGATTAAGGGCTATAAAGACCATGGATTTGTGTGCGTTTTGTGTGGAACTGGGACTGGGAGAGAGAATATATCACAAAAAATGGAAACCAGACATATGGTCAACACAAAAAAAGGGGAGCAAATTAAAATAATTAAGTCAATGGCATCATCTTATCTTTGTTTGTTAGCTTTTTTGACAAGTGGGTCAAAAGGATTCCATGCAAAGCTCAAAGCTCAGAGAAGAAGAGAAACTCGAGGCGCAACAGAGAGAAATTAATTCTTACTACCAATTTTGCCAAAAACATTGCCTGAAGCCCTGAACTGAACAACAATCGCTCATAACTGGGGCAGAAACAGATCAGAATCAGAGGAAGTGTTTGGTTGACGGGAATGAAGCCTGGTCCGAGATCATACAAGGCTATATACGTAGCCAGAAACCTTCCCGGAAAGAGTAAATTCAAGAAATTTTCAGGGAAATATAAAGATCAACCTATACGACCTCGAGCCAAACAACATTCCCATCAACCGTTTCTTCTTATCACTTTCTCAAAAGCCTAATAATTATCCTTAGAACCGTAAAATGAAATTGTTTGAGGGGAATGAAGCCTGGTCCGACACCATCACTTTGATGACTTCAAAGTTCAAAGCCCCCGCATCGAGCCAGCCAACATTCCTCTCAAAGACAACCCATTTCCATCAACTTTCTTTGCTTCAAAAACACAAACCCTAAAACACTTCTTCAACAAACAAGATCCCCCATATCAAAGAAAGTGAGAAGAAAAAAGAAAAAAACCCAAAGCCCATTTTTTGTTTTCACCTTGAAAAAACCCTAACCTACTTGGATTTATAAAGAGAAAGGCTTATCATCTCCTTTGATGAGATCTATCATTCAAACACTTGAAAATAAGCTCACACTTATCCTATAGCGCGTATCTCCACGCTCTCATGGAGACCAGGGTAAAAAAGACAAAATGATTTTTTCATTAATTATTTGAATAATAAATTTCTCTTTGGAATTTGAGAGGATGGGTGTGGTCAAATACTTGATCAGGCCTGTGACTATATAAGTATATATATATATATATATATATATAATATACGATTTCATAAGAGTTTGTTGGGGTTAGGTCAGTGACAAGATCGAGCAGTAAAAAACCTAAACATTTGATTTAGGATCTTTTAATTCTTGATGTTACGAAAAGAAACAAACAAAAACAATCAATAATTTAATGTTATGTTGTCTGTCACAGGCTGTTTGGAGCATTGAGATTCTTAAAACATATAGCACTGCTCTTTCCAATGTAACACCATCACATGATTAGTTGCCACTTATAAATCAATCCTTTCTTTACATAATAAAAATGTTCAAATTTGTAACCATATCCAGCCCCATTTTTCATAATTTTATATTACTATTATTTTCTTTTAACTTAAACCGTAAGCATCATCGTACAAGGCATAGAAGTTAAAAAGAAACAAGTTTTTTTTTTTTTTTTTTGCTGTTTTACTACCTCACCCTCTACTTTTTACCTACCCCGTAATTGTTCCACCTATCAATTTGCGTGCTGCCTATATATTCCATTCCAAAATTACTTTTATAAACAGCTTTTTTTGTACTAATCGACTAATAATGAATCTTAGCCTGATAAGTACATGTTTGTGCTTAAATGGTCACTAAACATATTCTGTTATTACTCACAAATGCATTTGTATGGATCTTGGCATCACTTTAAGCGTCGTAAATAATGATGGCAGCAACATTCCCCTTTCAAGGCCGGCAATGGAATGGTAGGTGACTTTTTAAAATATTATTTAAAATTTAAATTTCATTACCGATATCTTTTTTTTAATTTTAAAGTTACAGTCTTTTTTTTAAATTAAAAAGTAAATAAATAAAAATATTATCGTTGTTAGCTCTTTGTCTTGTAGCATATGGTATGAAAGTAATAGATGAGTAGTCAGGCAGCGGAATATGTTTATATTATTCTTGTCACTAAAAATTTAAATTTCTAAGAATAATCTATTTTAATGTCCGACGGATCAATGTAGAAAGCATAGCTAGCAGCTAGGGTTTCACTTGAAGTTGTAAGTACAAATGCTTAAAAGAACTGTGACTTTCTTTTCTTCTTTCTTAATTTGTGTAGGAATTAAAACCCATCGGAGTTTGGATTCTTTATTGAACAAGTAGTTAAAATATTTTTGGTTCTAATTAAACAAAAGTTGGTTAAGATTAAATATTAACATGTGGATGATCACTAGGTGGGGGGACAACATTTGTGTGGAATGGCATGACATGTTTTTGCAACCAAAACATTTGACTGAAATCTTGTGGGAATGCATTTGTCCATTATGTTTGCCGTTTATTATTGCATGTTATGATGTTTATTTAAAAAGAAATATCTAGAATTAATATTTAAATTTGATGAAAATATTGCATTAAATTAAAAAATTTTATATTCGTACATTGATTTATTAATTAGTTCATAATTCTTTATGTTCAACTCTCTCTTTTACAATTAAAAAAATCTAAAAATATGAGTTAAAATTTGAAGTTTGAAAATAGAACTCAAAACCCTAATGCTATTGTGGCAGAGTCATGCATAGAGGATAGCTGATAGGGTCTTGAAAGTGAAGTCCAATCCAATGCAATTTATTTCCATTGCTTCATCATTACCTTATTATTGGACTTTCAAAAGAGAAACAATCAAAAACCTACTTTTTATTACTCCCATGAGTTACTGATTTTTCTATCTATCTCCACATTCATTTCTCCCGTCAACGGTTAGCTCCTCAAAATTGTCAAGGAGATTAAACAATATAATCCTTCCAATTTTTTTTTCTTTTTCACAAAAATTGATATGAATTTTTCAATGAAAACCCTTGTTTGTAGTAATTTCTTTCTTTTTTTAAAGTAGAAGTCTGGAATTTTTTTACTATGGCCAGGACCATTAGCATGAAATTGAAGGAAAAAAAAATGACAAAACAAATTTTGAGAGAAAATTAAATAAAAAAAAGACAGAAAAGGAAGATTTGACCGTTTACGAGTAATGGGCGTAGGTGTCAGCGTGAGCAATGGGAAAGAAATAGCCCGAGAAACGAGGAACAGAATTTAATCGCCGACGTCGACGCTTCAAGCCATTTCTATTCTCTCCCACATTACTTTCTCTCATTGGCGCGTGATGCAGCAGTATTTATTTTCTTTTTTCTTTTTGGGAGATAAAAATATTATGATTATATATTAAAATAATTTTAAAGCTTAAATATGTTGATTAATGCAATTATTTTTTAAAATAAATATTATAATATCTGAAATCTAAATTACATTATCTATAACTTTTATTATTCACAAACTAATTTTTTGTATAAAAAATTATATACTTCAATTTCACTTTAATTTGTTCTTTACCTGTTCAACTAATAGATAAGTGTTAAATAAAATATTTCAAAAAATATTAGACCAATATATTATTATTAATTTTAATAATTAAAATCTTTCAATAATTTATGAAACAAAATTTATACAATAAATTAAAACAAAATCATAAATATGAAAATATAAATGGGAAGGGCGCGTGAGATGGTGGGAAGAAATTAATAAGATGAAAGGCCCAACTCGAAGAAAACACGAGGGAAAAAAAAAGCTGTCTTTTGTGTGGGAAAGCGGGAAGAGATGGACGGCTGAGATGCGCCCACATCGTACGCTGAGGGCAATCTAACTCCTTCCACGTGCCTGTATTAAATGCACCCCACGTACAGTCACCGTTATTTTAATTTATTTTAAAATGTTATTAATTAATATTTCGTTTTAGTTTTTTCTGGTGTGGGCCACCACCAAGGAGAAGACAAGACCACGTTGGTGTCCGGAGAAGCTGACACAATGACACGTGGAGTCCCAACATTCGCTGACTCTTGTCGTAGAGGACCCCACACCCTCCTCCACCTCTTGGCTGGGGCAATTATGCGTTAATGATATAGACGTGTCAGTCAGATTAGACAGTGTCACCAGCTACATTTATGTCTTTGAATCGTTGAGTTGACTCAAAGAGTTGTATTTTTCTTCAAAAAAAATTTCTCATGGAATGTTCGATGAATCACCCACCCTACTTGTTGTTTGGTGGTTTGCAAATTTCCCGCCAAATTCTGTTTGGTAATTTCAAGTCATTCTATCTGTCAGTGTCTATTTACATTTGGGGTCCCACTCCATTTAATGAATCTTTCTCTTTTTTTTTATTTATTTATTATTTTCCGATCTATTTCTACCTTCTTTATGAAATGAAATTTGAATCTTTCTCTCTTCACAGCTACTTACATATTTTAATTATAAAACTGAAATTTTGGCACGTTAATGTGCTAGTCGGCTACGGGAGCCCAGTTTAGATGGGCTTGGGCTTGGACCTTTTATGTTAACTAGTTCATAGCTTAACTCTAGTTGAGCTGTGTCGCGTTTACAGCCTTCCAGTTCGGAAGCAAGCGAAAAGGTTTCAACTTCAAAACTGCAATGACAATATAGTACGAATATCCTCAAATTACAAATGTTCAGCACAAATATTATAACTTAGACTAACTTTTCCAATCAATCATTTTGAGCCAAGCCCAAAGGATAGCTTTGGTCGCAATTTGTTCTTTCCCAATAATTTCATCTGATTTAAACGCTCTTCCTCCTCCTGTTGCTTCTTCCTTTTCATGGCCTCTTCCTTTTGTCTTTGAAGCTCCTCTAATTCCCGATAACGTTCCTCCTCTCTCCGTTGCTGTTCCAGTGCTTCCCTTCTCTGAGCTTCTTCCACCCTCTTCCGGTTCTCTTCAAGCATCATTTCCAGCTCTTCTTTCTCTTTTCGTGCTTTCTCCTGTATATAATAAAACCAGTCAAGGTTGATTATAAAATGGCAGGAAACACACACAATGCTGGCTACATCATCAAGTCACAACCACAAGCTAGAGAGTGAGAGAGAGGACCAACAGACACATCATCATTTATTGAAAAATGATGCAAGGAAAATCAAAAGTGTATTGTGTTTTCTCTCTCTCTCTCATGTATGACCCATAGTTTCTGCTACAACCAGAATTCTATGGGAGAACTAAGGGTTTATTGATCAGACAACTTCAGTAAAACGTGAAAATTGCAATAGGTATGAAATGACGAGTTGAAGATCAGGTTGTTCTTTAGACTAGAGCTTCATCCCATCTGGCACAATTTTTGCTTTGTGATGTATCAAATATTCAATATCTATGTGCATTCCCCACAGCATAAGAAGGAATAATTGAAACAAACACCAACAGACAAGCATTCACAGGACTTTTCTCTTAGATATTTACCTCTTTTTGCCTAGCCTCAAGAAGAGCAGCTTCCTTTTCTTTTTCAAGTTGAGCTGCAACTTCATCATTAAGTCTTCTCCGTCCCTCCTCTAATCGCTTCAGAATTTCCTGCTTGATTACCTCAGAGTTCAAGATCTCTTCAACTCTTTTCTGTATTGCTTCTTCCACTCTCTTAGCAGTCTCTTCTTCTATCAGTTTCAATTCTGCTTCTTGTTGACGCCTGGAATAGAAGAAAATTGTCAAGCAGAAAAATGACACAGATCCATTTAGCAAAATATGCTGCAACCTTCCATTACCCAAACCAGACAACAGTACATAAAAAAGCAACTGACAAGTCTTCTTTTTTTTCTGTCACCATCTTTCTCCATTCTCTATGTAACTATAATAAATGGGCAAAACTAACCTTCATGATGACAAAGGCACTAATATATTCTAAGCTTTTAAGGCATACCTCTAATCAAACCTGATCCAAACAAAAGAGTTTCAAAACTGGAGAACAGTAGATAAACGTGCATCCAATCAGATCATCAAATATAACAAGTTGAATTATAGCAGTATCATCCTTCAGAAAATCCTGTGGAGAAGAATGTCAAGTAACTTGCCACAATTTTATAACTAATCACCATAATACTTCAACCCTTGCATCACAATACATTTTTCACAAGAAGAGTTTGTCTTTTTATAGACATCACCATATTTTTATGGATGGTGAATAATAATGGTTCAATTCAAACAATTTAGTCAAAATGGCCATCACCATAAAAAACAAACCAACAAAGTTAAGAAGCTTGGACAGTGCAGACATTTCTCCTTTTGTGTTCTACAATGGTAAGCACATAAATAACCTCTCTAGTCCTTTTATTTGTATATTTCTGTGGATGCAAGATTGCATGAGCTGTAAAAAATAGGACATCAACTCAGATAGGTAAAATGCAAAACAACTAAGGAGGGAGGTAAGGAAAAGGACTTTGTGTACATGCAACTGAATACTCTTTGACCATCAAGACAAATTAAAGCCAAAAAATGAGTTTTGATTTTTACAAGACCTTACAACCCACATGGGATCCTGGCCTTCATGTCTTATCATATGAGTTGTGGCTATATCTTCCCGGTAAACCAAATATCATATCGTTATGACAAAAACTATCCAATGAACTTTCAGCTTCCACTAAAGCAAAAGCGTCATAACTACCCAAATATCATCAATAAAATCAATAAACTTGGAAATGTAGAAAAAATTAAGTAGACTGGATACAATTCAAGAAGATTTAAAAGAACAGTGAAAAGAAAATTAATATAGTCCACATAGAGATGAGAATATTTTATATACCTTTTCCTCTCTTCCTCTTCTTTTTTCAATTTCTCACTAGCATTTTTGCGCTCTATTGACCCAAGACTTGAGCTAGATGATTTATGAGTAGGAGACAATGAAGAACTCCTACTTCTTTGCCTCTTATAACGCTTTAGAGTCGGAGAACGACTTTTATGACGTCTTGTAGTTGGAGAACGACTTTTGCGGCGTAGTGGACTAATAGAACAACTCTTTCTTCTGTATAGCAACACAAATTATTGAGCAACAGCTATAGAATTTGAGCATCAGTAGCTACACAAACTAAGAATGATGACAGCTCACCATCTAGTGAAATAAATATAAAAGCATATACAGTTACCTCATACATTGTTAAGATAAGCATTGAGCTCCATCTTTTATGACATGAAGAAGATAATGCACAATCGAGCAACAAAAGGAACCCATTGGCACTCATCACCTGCTCACTACCCATCTCAGGCGATGGGAAGAAACCATATTTAATGTTCTAAGAAAGAGCATGCTTCCTATCAGTCTCATAGAACTCTCTATATTTTGCTCCAAATGTATTTGTATTTAGCATATTTCCAAGCAAAGGAAAGTTCCTCATATGTCAGTTGCCTACTGAATAGTTGATAATTTCACAGAAGATGACAGAGTAAAGCACCACAAAACTTTATTGGAATATTCGACAACACTTCATAGCCAGAACGGTGGTCAATAAACATAAATCTATAATCCTGAAGGTGCTCAAGGAAGTCAGGCAGTGATGCCATCTGAATGGAAAAGTATCACACGCACCAAAATGCAGACAACCAAAAGATTCAACTGCAATGTAAAAGTGAAACTGAAAGAACCGGTTTACAAAATGCCACCACCACATCTTCAACTGCAGCAGCACCTCCAATTTGGCACAATCGACTAATCTAATTGCCACTCCTCACCAGATTCTTGGCTAGGATCCGATTCTAAAACAGGAATCATAATTGTAAACAGCAAGAAAACTACGTAGTCTTTCCAATAAAGTCGATGGAGCACCAAACGATTTACAAATAACTATAAACTGCGTACAATTAAACTTCAAGAATTTGTATTTCCAATCCACAAGACAAATTCCAGAGTTCCCAATCTTTCTTACAATATTCCTTACAGTTTCTTGTATGTTAACAATATTAACATGAATAGCATGAATATAAACGGGATCACCTGCTATAAGAATAAGATGAATATGGCGACCGGCTTCTGTCCCTTCGGCTCCTCCTTCCATACCTATGCCCTACAGCAGACGGCGAATGTCTACGCCGATAGGAGGGCGAACGAGATCGGGATCTTGACAAGTCTCGAGGCATTTGCTATTAGTTAATCACCTCAACGTTATGATAAATCCGTCTGTGCAAATCACAGTAAATATATCAAGCTTTTCTGCTGCAAAATAAAAATATTTATTTGCTATGTCAACACAGTAAACTATTCGAAGGAAGTAAAAAAAACAAAAAGCAAAACTGGATTAATCCATAATCAAATTGAGCTGAAAATTCAATACTGCTTAACTGAAATAGATAAGATTTCGTTTTTCAAGATTCCTTTCGTGTTCTATAAAAATTTCTCAGATTTTCTAGTAAAACAAACAAAAGGAAGCGAAAGCAGCTAAATTTAATCAAATCGAAGAAACCCTAGAGCAAAAGCACCTGCGGACGAATATCAAAGATCTGACAAAGTCGAGCTTCGCATGAAATTGAAACTCAATACAGAAAACCCTAAAACATAGACCAAATCAGAGGCGAACCCTAAATTGGAGAAATTAGACAAATTAAAGAAATTAATATAATTTTCTTTTTCATTTTATTTATTTATTTATCGGAAACGCGAAATATTATCAGGGCACGTCGCATGTTGACGTGGAAAGATCTTAGTGGAGGAATGCAACCGTGGCAATGGACATTGAAAAATATTGTGAATGAAATTATTTTTATTTTTTGAATTAATACAGAAAAAAAATGTTTACAATTAGAATTTACTATAATTTTTATTTAAAAAATAGTCTTATGTTTTAAATTATGAGTTAATCAAAATTTAAAATTAATAAAAACAAACAAATACTGCTATAATGTATGCATATCATAAAATTTCCTTTTCGGCTAATCATCTTAAAAAAGGGAAATTCTTAATTTTGGGAGTGTGGATTAAAGTGAAATTATCAAATATTGGTGGAAATTTTACATATAAAATTATGAATAAATAACATCTAAATAACTTAAAATTTATTTGATCTCTTTAAATTTTTTTTCAATGGATACGAATATCAAACAATTGTATTTAATTTTTTTAATATAAATGATATCGTATTTTGAAATAACAAAAAAAGTTATAAATGTTAAAATTTAAATTTTAAACGTATAATGATATCATTTTTATAATTAATTGTATAAATAAGTTAAAATAAATTTTCAATTCATGATGTTGATGATGCATATTACAATCACGTCGTATAACTTTCAATGTATATCAGATAATATACTGATGGTGGGAACTTTAAATCAATAAACAAACCAATATAAAATTAGATTAAATCCACGTATGATGGGAACTTTAACCTGGAACCAAGGCCTCCTGATCATCAATGGGACAATGACTCGTTGACACAATGGAATTGGACTAATCAGAATTTGCTGCGTTAGTATTAAGTTATCAAAGAGATGTAGGATTACAGTTTCTGCTTTTCTGGGAAAGCCATTGTTTAATTCATCAATCAGATACTATATTTGGACTTCATGGTGAGAGTCGGATAATTCTGATTTCTGGCGTTTGCTTGTTAAATGCAACTGAAGATGTGATTTATCTGCAACATGCTCTATTACTAGGATAAAATCTCAGCTCGTTTTCAACTCTTGGCATCTCAGTTCTCAGTTTTGTGAAAAGAAAATAAACCAAGAACAGATCCATGAATTCCTGAATAGGTATTTGTTTGTTGCTAGCTAGAAAACTACTGCAAATAAGCATCCATAACCACAGAAATTAACTGATACTGCTGCTTTGACAGGATCATTCCCTAAAAACATCCATTGGGAATATTATCAATTCAACACATCTAATCTGACTATTGAAGAAACAGAAGATAGTAATGGAGAAATCAGGGAATGGAGAAATTAGATTGCATGCCATAGAAACTGAAGAATTTGTGTAGGAATCAGGCCTAACAAAAAATTTATATAGGAACATTTTACTATAGCCAACCCTATTGAATTGGGGGCGGAGGGAAGAATCTTTGATATTAGGCTAGTTCATGATGACATTCAAGACAAAAACACAAAAAAAATTATATATGAAGGAAAATTGTCTGCTTGATCTAACCAATTTTCTTACTCCTGGAACATTGTTTACCAAGTTTTTGAAACCCAGTTCATGGATTTCAATTACTTTTACCTAATTTTCTACTTTAAAAGAAATATGCAAAGTAACAAACAGTCACAGGAAAGAAACCCCATATATAGGCTCTTTCAATTATATATGTAAATAACAAAAGAAATTTTGCTTTCATGAAGGATGAACCTTGTTAGAGGAAAGTCCTTTCCAAGCAGATTTCATGGAAGCAGTAGCAGAATTCACTGCAGCCTCAACATACTTTTTTGAGGCAATAGTTGCAGCTTTTTCCATTAAGTTACCCATTTTTCTAGCCTTCTCAGCCGTCTCTTCCAGACCATTCAGTTCAGCCTTTGACATGCGTTCCATATCCTCCTCAAACCACCTAAACTCATCCATTGCATTTTCCATGACAGAATCAAGATAATCCTCAGCTTGCTGCATAGTTATTTCAGCTTCTTTCACTTCTTTTTCCTGCTCAAGTTCCATAGCTGCCCATGCCTTGTAAGATTCAATCTCAAAAAGCTTCATTAGGTCTTCGATTGTCGATGGATCGAAGTTCTTGTCTTGTAAAGCTTGATCCGAGAGGAAAGTGAACTGGGAGAGAAGGGCTTCCATGTTTAGATGTTGGTGTGAATTCAAGCTCAGATCTATCTAGCTAGTGAATAATGCTGCAATGCAACGAGAAAAAGTTTAGTGGGTGGAGAATAATATAAAGGATGGCTACTTTGGTCCCATTTGTCAACTAAAATACTAGTGATAACAGGATTAAATGTTGGTCCTAATATAATAAAAATTACAGTGACCGTTTACGAAGACATTAGGAATATGATTTCATTTCATGAATCAATGAATGAAATTTAAAACTTTTTTTTGTTCTTAAAAGAAAATTAATCATGAACAAAACAATATTATTCTTTTTTTATAATACAATCATCAGGGTAATTTTAATGATGCATTTGCTTACTTTAATCTAATACATTCAAAATTTTATTTTTGAAATATTTCTCATGAATTATAATTAATAAAAAAATTTCTCTATTTACCAATTAAATTAACAGTATTCCCTAGTCATCCCATTCTTTTAGTGGTTAGATGCATATTACCTAAAATTTTTTAGCTTTGAAGGGCTAAAGAGTGAGTCATTGGACCGTTGGAATACCCTTTTCATTAAATTAATTTTTTGGGATAAATTCTTTAGATTTTTTTAATTGTTATAATCATAATAAAATATTTCATTAAATTAATTTTTTGGGAGATGTGGATGGCTTTCCTTATCTCAATCAAGGATGGGAATCATAAACACAGTGAAAGGTAGGGCCATGCCCACTTGACATTGGAAATATGTTGTCTTTTTTTTTTTTTTTAATTCTAAGGGGAAACAAAGGTAAAGTTTTTCAATGCTACCAGACCAATAATGTAAATTTAAGGTCATGAATTTGGAAAACCTCTGACAGCTCACAGAATGCTGATGGGGACTATGGATGACCGTTGAGAGTAAATCCATTGGCCTTTAGCAAGTACACAATGTCCTTACCAAGTTCAAAAATCAAAACTTTAGCTTTCTTAATCCTATTAAAAAAGAATACTAAGATTACCCATCATTTTTTACACTACTTTTATTTAATTCCTTGTTTTATGTTTCACTCCGATATTCTAACACCAAAATGAAACTGGGCCTGTCATTGGCCCCAAACTGATGCTGTCTGGTTCTCGACAAAACCCACCCAAATGAAGCCTGCGTCTGAGCTTCTGGGTTGGGCTTGGGCAGGTGATCTGGTCCGCAATCTCATTCCAAAGTTTCCTGCAAACGGGGTTTGTTTTTTTTAAATACTAAAAAAATAAGATTTTGATTTAATAATTTTAAAAATCAACGTGAAAACAATAAAGAAAGAAAGGAAACCGAAGCGGAGGTGGCCGTTGCCTTGTTGGTACTCCAAAAGCAGATCCAAAGTAATTGTCGTCAGAGAGGGTGCCTTCTTAAAAAATTTTCCGATCTCACCCCTCAGAACCTTAAACTTTTAGAAACTGAAAAGAAATTCGTTCAGAGATAGAGAGATGACGTGGAATGCTGACGTTCGCAGCTCGGTGATGTTCCCATCCTTGTTCCTGATATTACTGTGGGCTTTGAGTAATGCTACGGTGGGTGACGCCGTATGGTTGAACCTTCCTTCCACCGGCACCAAGTGCGTCTCCGAGGAAATCCAGAACAACGTCGTCGTTTTGGCTGACTATGTCGTCGTTGCCGATGATCACGGTCACCACCCTACCATTTCCGTCAAGGTTGAATTCGTCTTTTGCCCCACTTTTTCCCCCTCTCGATCTGTTAGGACAGATTAATAGGATTTGGACACGCTTTATTCATTTATATTTTATTTTTGATGATTAAACAATTAAATACGGATAAAACTAAATTTAGTGAGAAAAAAATCAATCAAGTTTTAAACTTTGCTGCTTGATTTGTAAATTTAAATGAAATAAGGATTCAAAGTTTGACTTATATGTTCATATCAACAAATCAGATAGATTTGTTATATTGTTAATCGTTTCAATATATTTTCAATCTGCGGAAAGGGAACTGTAAAGCCCAATGATGATACATCCTGAAGCATAATTGACTTGCTGCAGATTTCTAACTCACAGCTTGTACTGTATAGGTGACATCTCCATATGGGAACAATCTTCATCACAGGGAGAATGTGACGCATGGTCAATTTGCATTCACAACACAGGAGGCTGGTAATTACCTAGCATGTTTCTGGTCAGAAAGCCATGCTCATGGAGGTGGAGAAGTTAGTGTCAACATTGACTGGAAAACTGGGATTGCAGCTAAAGACTGGGAGTCAGTTGCCAGAAAGGAGAAAATTGAGGTGAGCCTTTTTTTTAATTTCCTTGTTTCGCCTTTAATCATGTCCGGATTTAGGAAGGAAACCTCGGGAGGTCCTGCTCCTAGTGTAGACTAAATGTAGGTTCTCGATGGTTTTTTAGATGATCATACTTACAGACTTATGGATTTTTATTTGTGCTAGTATCAAGTTCATAATAAAACTATTTTATTGCTAAGCTTCCGTTTCTCCAAGGCCACAAAATTTACCAACCAACTTTTGCTCAAAAAGAGCTACTAATATAGTAATTGTCGATTTCATCTGTTTACTTTGTGGAATTTGGGAGGTGATACTGAGAAAATGATTTTATGCACATCCAAAGCTTGGATTATATTGTTGAGTCGAGCATTTTGAATGACCTTGGGATTCTTTTGAGAAGTTTTGTTGGTTTGAGAAAGAAATGAATTGGACTTCCTGATTAGTATAGTATATTTACATTGCAATCATACTTTCTCTCATATACCTGTTTCTGTGTGCTTCTTTTTTGTATGTATTTGTGTGTTTCATCATGCTTATTTACATATAGGGTGTTGAGCTCGAGCTGAGGAAACTCGAAGGTGCAGTTGAGGCCATTCATGAGAATTTACTTTATCTGAAAAGCAGGTAACTGTTAACGTTTCTTCTGGTTCAAAGTTTGAGCTTTTCTTTGAAGTAAGCTTACATCATCTGTTCATCTCATCCTTATTGGATAACAGAGAAGCAGAAATGAGGACTGTGAGTGAGACCACAAACGGTAGAGTTGCATGGTTTAGTATCATGTCTTTGGGTATCTGCATCACTGTTTCAGGCCTGCAAGTGTGGTACTTGAAGCGATTCTTCCTGAAGAAGAAGCTTATCTGAACGTTGATTGGTAGCTGGGGAAATTCAAAAATTCAGTTTTCTTTTCTCGTTACTTTTCTTCTCAATGTTGCACAAGGGAAATTTTGATACCATTAAAAGAGTATTATTAACATTTAGTTATCATAAAGAGAAATGATTTAGTTTTCATCCTTAACAGACAGGACTAATGCATACACTACATTTTACACCCAACCTTATTTTTCTAGAATCGGTTTCTTCTGATATTCATACCAATGGAACGCAGCTCATAGTTTGATTTGATGGTGGGTGTGTGCATCAAGTCATATAATCGGCATGTTCTTTGATGGAAAGTGGAACTGTGGAAGTGCAAAATACACTGATTTTTTTTATTGGCATAGTCTGCTTTACGGCACAGTCACTGTAATTTGTTTTAACCAGATTTATATTAATAAAGAAACTGTTTTGCACTTCCGATTCAACCGTCAGCTGTTTTGCCTTGCTTTTGCTTTTGCCTTTGGGCGTGCAGTACTACGGGCCAAACATGTATCACAGCCGTTTGTTCAGTCGATTGGTAAAGTACCCACTGAATATCAAATGCAAAAACTTCAAATGCCAAAGTTAACATAGAATTGGTAGATCAAAATACACAACCACATTAGAGATGAAACTAAAAACTTGAAAGTTTCTCCATGAGAACCATCATGAAGCAATCATCTATATGAACTATTCTTGATTAGTAGGCAAAACTGTTCACTTCAAAGCTGAAAAAAAAAAAAAAGATTAAAGAGAAGAAGGTGCCCCTTGTCAGCTTTATTCTATTTGAACTATTTTGCGGTTCATAAACCTAAGCCTGCAAATCTCATCAAAGAAATCATCTGTGCTGCTATGGCTGCTCTTCATTTGAAGAATCCTTATTACCATTGTCTTCAAGTTTTTCCCATACTTCAAAATGGACTCCAGTGTGCTCATTTTCTGTTCAGCGTTTAATGGTGATCTCACTTGGACAACAACTTCCTCTAGGCATGGAATCATGAAGCCTGGTTCCACCTGCAAACACAGATATTCTTTTGTGAGTAAACACATGCAAGCTTGAAGGTCAAATTAGGCCAAAGAATCAACTATAATACTGCTGTGTTATCAACTTACATTTTTCAGGCTGTTTCTCTGGCAAAGAGCAGCGAACATGGCACCATGTATATCAAACTTTTGCAGCTTGGGATGGCTATTAAAAATTCAACAAAGTCAACTTCGGGAAAGGGTAAGAGTGATTCCAAATCTCCCGTGAATTCAACCTTCATGTAGAGATGCTTCACCTCACGACACCATTCTAGCATTTTTCTAATTGCATCCCAACACCATTGAACCCCCCTTATGGACAAGAATTCAAGGGCTGAAAGCTTCCCAAAGTCTACCACGTATACTCTACCTAAAAGGAGCAGAAGGCATATGAAAATTAAAATTCCAGTTCAAATTGTTGTCCTCTTTCTTTATCTGCTAAAAGATATCCAACACAAAAACAGGACAGCAATAATACAATTATAGGCAGAATAATACCAGCATTGTTGGCAATCGAAAGGTTCCTCAAGCATGTAGCCTCACGAACTCTAATCCAACTACAACCATGCACCTCAAGGAGTTCAATTTTCGGACAAGTGAGAGAAAGGGAACAATTCCCCAAGCCATAAAAGTCCAGCTTACACTGCTCTAAGTACGGCAAGTCAATTGAAACTGACCTAACCCCTTCACAACCAAGCAATACCAAGTTAGTCAAATTAGGGCATGCCCTAAGTGCAGCAGACAATGCAGTATCCCCCAATCTTGCTCCAACGATTTCAAGGCTTTGAAGGTTTTTAAAAACATCCCACTTGGGTGGATTAGCCATTAGTACACCCCAGAGCTTCAAAGACTCCAAATTCGTAGCTGCACCAATGCAATCCAATTTGGAAGGGCTATCAACACATGCCTGATAATCAGTAATATTATCCATTCGGAGCTCAAGATTCTTGAGTGATGAATGCACCAGTAATAGCCACGAAGCAAGGCCTGCACTGGTGAATGGACTGTAAACTACAAGCTCCTCTAAACATGCAGTTGTCCAAAGCATTTTAAAGACAATAGTGTCCGGGCTATCACTGCCAGAGTGGCTATCGAAGGAGTTGCGAGGAAAGTAGAGACTTCGAAGGTAAAGCAATGACTCGTTCCATCTCTTGGATACACAACTACAAACTGCAACATCCCGAGCATTGATCAAGTGTGACAAAATGTACTGAACAATGGCATCGGGAATAGAATCCATTCCCTGAGAATAGTGATCAAACAGGTAACCGTCAACAACTATTGCAGAAGCTAATACGATAAACATATAACCAGTCAAAGCATAATCCATGAACTAAGTACTAAATGGGCAACAAGATTTTGATTTATCCTTCGTTTTCTCGATATTTTTTTAATTTTGAAATGAAACTCAAAGTCACAATGCAGATCAATGAAACTTTTCTTGAGAGTTGAACGAGAAACCAAAAAAAAAAAAAAAGATTAGCATTGCATACAACTCAACTCAAAAGCATGAAATGCGAAGAACCCAGATAAGATATGAACATTTCAAGATAAAACCATATGACATTCACGAATTAGGACCAAAGAAGATTCACATTTACAATCAAATTTGAACATTTCAGACATGGGTATCAATGAAATGAAAAAATAAATTAAATGAGAAGAAAGAATGGAGCCTTACAGATCTAAGCTTTTGCGTTTATGTGAAAAAATATCTACGCTGAAACACAGAGAAGATAAAATGAGAAAGATAAATAAAAGAAAAGGAAATTGGAAACGAAAGTATAGAGAGAGGGAGAGAGTGGCGCGCGTGGGTAAAGGGTTTTTTTTTAATTTAAAAAAAATTACAGAGGGATTTTCTTTTTTCGTTTTTTATTAAAAACGGAATTGGCTAAAAAGCTCGGAAACTTCCGTAGCCAGCATCCTGCCTCTTGGTTTTAAATTTTTCGAATTTTTTGGACCGTTCAACAGCATTCCCAAGAGCCCAATTCAAGCCCAAAAAACTAATAATAATAAAACTAAAAAACTTTGATTTAATTTTTGTTATAATTATTTTGACAATTCTTAAAACCACAAATTTATTTGGAAACCGTCTTCGTTTGATTGGAGCCTTAGGAATCAATTCAGAATTCAGAAACAGCTTCGCAGCCTTATGGCTTTCACGGCTAAATCAGTCTGGCCCTTTTTATAATTTTCAATAAAAAATATTTATTATCATATTATAAAAAAAGTACTGGTTTTTTTTTTATTTTAAAAATAAAAATACGGATCAGGACAAAATTTATTGCTTAATTTCCTAAAATTAATAGCGTATGCGTCAAGAAACAATAGATATAGGAAAATTTTCCCGCATTTGACAGCCTGTCAACCTACGTCTTGTGAAATGACCCATCACTGTTGAAACACAAACTGTTCCACTATATTTTACCCATAACACATGAATAGATCATCACCGCTTATTTGTAATCAACCGAGTATGATGCAAAATATCAACGGTGATGATACGAAATAAGATCATCCCCTTGGTGTATCATTGGTCGAGAATAACCGCCTTTAAACGGTTCCGAGGCTTTACCTCTATAATTTCTTATGAATGAAAAATGAAACTCACTCCATTTGTCCAGGTAATCTATTTCTCTCTTTACTTCGTTTCTTTTTTGTTTGTTTCTGGGTAAATTCCTCTGTGGTTGTTTATTCAAGTTCAAGGTTTGCCGCAGGACTGACTGTATGCTACCATTTAAGCTTTCTTTATACCTTCAATTTTACTTGTTTCTCTTCATATTGTGTAGGATCTTGTTTCTTGCCTTATTATTTTCCTGTCTTGCAATCTTCATTTTCATCTCTTACTTGTGTCTCAACTCTTCACTTTGTTTTCAGATTTCTTGCTTTCTTTCTAAATAATCACTTGCTTTCCATGTTCTATTTACTAAGTACTTCTTTTTTCTTGGTATTGCCATGGAATTCTTGCTCTTTTTCGGTGTAAGTTCTCTCAAATTTCTAAACTTTTTTTAGGGTTATGAAACCAGGATTAATTATGGTAGCAGTGCGTCCAGAACCAGGAAATGTGGGGTCTTCATCGAAGTTTAAGCAAGCAAAAGAAGTTGGCAAAAGAGTGCTGTCTGATAAGGGTAATTCCCGAACAACTTCTCCTGCTGACAAAGAGAGGCCTTTTACTGCAGAATGGTATGCCAGCAGCCGAAGAATCAAGGAAGCTCTAAGCTTTTACAGAAAGTTACTCGGCAACAGAAAGTTATTAGACGAGCTCTCACAAGAATGTGGAAAGAACCCAGAAAGGTGGCAAAATTCGGGCCTAAGAGTTCATATGAGAGTAGCCAGTGTTCTTGAGAGTTTAGGTAAATGGGTTAACACCAGCAAGCAAATAGGACATGTTTCGGGAATTAAAGTTGGTGATTATTTCCTTTGGAGAGGTGAGTTGGTTATCGTGGGGCTTCACTATGAGTTTCAGAAAGGGATAGATTGTATGAAATTGATTAATGGTAAAACCGTGGCTACAAGCATTGTTGATTCTGGTCGATATGAGAATGCTGTGGGGATTACTTGTGACAAGTTGATTTACTGTGGGGAAGGTGAAAATCCTGACATTGGTGGACGTAAGAAGCCAAAAGATCAAAAGCTTGTAGGTGGAAACCTTGCATTGAAGAACAGTATGGATGATAAAATGCCTGTCAGGGTGATCCGTAGGTTTAACAACAATGATCGTGGCTACAAGTTTGTTTATGACGGATTGTACCGTGTGACTGAATTTTGGAAAGAAAGAGGGAAATTTGGTAAATACGTTTACAAGTTCTCACTTAGAAAAATTGAGGGGCAGCCTGAACTTGACTTGGGGAAACGGAACAAAGTGGTGAATGGTTCTGTTGGCGGCGTATATCAGTGGAAGGAGAGAGACATTATTACTGCAGGTAGTCGTTTTGGTGAAGCTCGCAATGGACAAATTGGCATCGGATCATCAAATTGAGAGGAGAAACAAGCTCAAATGCTCATACTGGAGAATTTTGTTCATGTAAGAAGGTAGGCGCCATCTTCTTTTGCCCTGTTGTTAGTGCTTTGTTCTGTAAAAAATTTTACCAAGAAACTAGAAAGTAATTGCAGCACAGCGTTGAGAATGCTTACTGAAATGGTCATAGAGGGGAATTTTGTATTTGTAAGATGCTAGTTGCCTTCTTTTTTTGACTGTTTTGGTCTGTAAGTAACACTAGAAAGTAATGCTGTATAGAGTTGAAAATGCTTTCACTCAAATGCTCATGGAGGAGAAATTTGTTTTAGAATTTCTAAAGATGGCAGTTGCTGCTTCCTTTACCCCAACTCTGTTTCTGGGTAATGAAGACAAATAGGATGGTGCTTTATGCCCTTTTGACAGTGAAGACATTAATGTAATCTCACCAACACCTCTGACCACACAAATTGGGAGGCATGGCACGGTTGGGACCTCTCGTTTGATGAGTGTGATATACCAGCCCAAAATATCAGCTCACAAAATATGGGTTTGATGAGTAATGATATAACAACCCAATCCGTGGCCTCTAAACTCTCCAACCAAATTTAAATCAATCTATTAGGCTCATCCCTTTCCTGAAGACTAGTGTCTTCGGGGCCAATGAGGTAGTCCTAGGCCACTGGAAAATAAAGTCTAGTGTCTTCGGCCCCAAGATATCAGCCCTAATAAATGCTATTGTAACTTTGATTTAATTTTTATTATTATTTTGACAAATCTCCGAACCACGAATTTATTATAGTACTTAATCTAATCATTATATCCAATGGAATTAATTTTGCCAAAAACAAAAAAAACTTAGTATAATCACCAGTTAATATTGCAATAAATTTATAAAAAATTGAGTTGATTAAATAAATTAAAGGCTCATTTGACAATCAAAGAGTCAGCTTTATAATCCAAATGAAATCACATGATTTTCTATACCGCAGCCATGCTTTCCAACATTACCCATGTTCTTTTTCTTTTTTGTACTTTTCTACCCTTAAGGATACAGGGACAAAAATGTCCCTACGACTTGATCTTTTTTTATTTTTTTATTTTTCATTTGTATTCAAATTTTTTAAATAATTTATTAATTCAATGTAATAAATAAACAAATATTTTAACAATTGAGTAATTAATTAAAATAAATAATTATATCAATAATATAGTAAATAAATATTATTAATTTTTAATTTAATGAGTAAAAATTATTTTAATCTAGTGGTCATTAAGCACATTAATTATAGAAATTATTATATTCAAATTTTTAAAAATTTTATTATATCCAATTTTTAATGATAATTTTGTTATCATTATAACTTATTATATCTTTATGTTATTTTTACATCTAAATATATATATTTCATCATTAATTTTAATTTTATCATAATAATAATTAATTTTATTATTAAAATAATTATTTTATTTTATTTTTATCTAAATTAATTTTACTATTCGTTCATATGTATTCTAAAATCAAATTGAGATAAACAAACATAACGAATTTAAAAAGTGGCCACGATTTTGATTGATGGATGCTTTACAGAATCACAACCAAAGAATTAAAAAACGGCTATAGCCTTATAGTAGCTTTAGCTTCAAATTCGTGAAAAATCTTGGCCCAGAAATATAGCTTTCATGGTTAAATCAGTCTGCTCCTTTTTCATCCACACTTTGGGCGCTTTCACAATTCACGATTCTTCTTAATATTACTAACGACAACATTTATTGTTTACTATATAATTTTTCGAGCAGACATTAAATAAAAATTAAATAAAAATTTATTTATGATCATATATTACAAAAAAAAAGGGTACATTTTATTTCTATATATATATATATATTATAGTCGAAGCAAGAGAAACACTCTAAATCAATCTTTAACTTTTTAATTTCAAATATATTTAATAATTTAATAATTTATATCATATTTATTTCATATCAAATAAATATAAAAATATTTTGATAATAAAATTATAATAAGATAAGATTAAATAATATCATTTTATTATATATTTAATATGTGTAAAGATCAAAAGAGAATAATTTTTTTATTGGTTAAAATTATTCTTTCTCAAATTTTATACAATTTAAATTATTTATATAATTTTTAAAGGTATAATAAAATATGAAAGTTCAATCTCATAAATTAAAAAAAATTCTCTCTACTTTAAAAAGATGAAATCATCTTATAACAAGAGAATAATTAATCATATTTATAATTATATTATTTTCTTTAGATACAAACCAAATTTAATATATGATGCTTATTATCCTATCTTATTCATTATTCTGTACATGAAATATTTTCATAAAATATAAAAATTATTATATCATAATTTGTATTAGTATATCCAATGTAAAATATATTTTTTATTTTTGTTAAACTTATAAATTATCTTTTCTAAAATTTTAAATTATATTATTTTTTATATCTCATCATTATATTATTTATAAAATTATCAAATGTAATCTTAAATTTAATTTTGATTGAATTTGTCAAAATTTTAGTGTGTAGGATTTAGGTTCGGCCAATGATAAAAATCTTCTGCTTGCACGCAATGAACCAATTAGTCCTTTGAGTTGAAAACTATATTTATATTATATTTTATATAAAAATTATGTATTATAGTTTATGTTTATATAAAAAATATATATAAACTATATTTTATTTTTATTAAAATTTTAATTTATATTATTTTTATATAATATTATTGCATCGGTTTTAAATCGTTAAATCTATTGCAAATGGTCAACTCACTACTGTTTCTAACAGTCAAATCATTAGTGACTGGCATATAAAACTCAACCTTATTTTTCTATGAATCGGACTCTGCAATTTGATTGAAGAAACCGTACTTCTATTTGTTAAAAAAAAAAAAAAAAATCACCGACGGAGTTGTTGAGGTGGATGATACAATTTTTTCTTAGGGATGAAAGTTGTGTTGATGTTGAGATATGAGTGTGAATAGAAGCTATCATTTTTTTTTTAGGGATGATAATAAATAGTAAATAAATGGATGTCGATTACTATCCAATTCATTTATGTCAAATATGAATAGTTATAAAAGAATAATTAATGAATTTAAAAAGTAAATTTGTTATTTATAATGAATTTGAATAAATATGATTAATATTTTTTAGGTATTTAATATACGAATCTATTTAAGTTTTAAATATATAAAATATATAAAATTTTAGATTTATAAAAAAGTTTGAAACCTTAGCATGCTACAATACATAACACTTATAAGGGCATATATATATTAGTCTCAAAATGTCAATTATCTGCTTTAGAGACAAAACAAAATTCTATCCTCAATATGCATACAGCAACCTATTAGAGGCAAATAAATAAATGCATAGACCAACTCGAATACAACATCGGGTGAATTGGTTCTTGGCAACGTGGTAAGCGGATAGCTGGAAAAAGAAAATGACAGCAATATGATTTGGTGAAGGTAGCAGCCGGACCAAAGGTAAATTAAGGTGGGTTGGTTTTCTTGCTTAAAGAGAAAGCAAAAGGTACGAATAAGTCAATTTTTTTTTTTTTTGGATAGATTAATTGTCGAATTCAAAGAGATAAACTTCATAGTCTTATTCTAATTGTTGTCAACTTTAAAACTTATTGCTTATTGCTTGTGGTATTATATTTTGTAATTACTTATTGCTTATAAAAAATTTTATCCTTGTTCATCTCGTGTTTTTTTTTTTAAATATATTTTAATGTCGCTTTATTTTATTTTTTTTGCTAGACATATATTTTGCTCAACGAATCTAAACATTTTTCGTAACGAAAAATAAAACATCTTTCATAACTTTTTAAATTCATGGTCTCACAAGACCCACACTACCTCACGCAACATGCAAATTACATTTGATTTTTTTTAGTTATTTACATAAATTATGTATTTTGCATAATCAGGATTTTCTATCTTTCTTTACATTTATACATTGTGTTTGTGTAAGTTGCAAAGTTAAAAAAAAAAAAAATGATAAAAAACGATTATTTTGCTTAATTCAAAACTAATAGAAAAAATAATGACAACTTTTTTATGATTTGAAACCTCTAATATAATAGAGTGAAGGGCGTTTTAGTTTATATGAAATTTTTTAGACGGGACTTGGCTTGGGAATCGACAATAGACTAGGCTCGCAGAATAAAAATAATAATAATAATTTATCTGACTATTCGATTTTAAGTTTTACGTTATAAAAAAATAAAGACTGAAAAGTCAATTGTTGAAGGGCAATGAAAAGTGCTGCTGTTGTTAGTCTTTTGATTGTCTGTCTTGTCGCATGTCGTTGCCGTGTCCAGTACATGAATTCATGTAACGTACCAACAATCTTAGTCGTTGGATTAAGAAAAATGTTTCGAAGACTTCGTCAACATAGGTAATTTATTATGTGACAAAGATTTGGGTTGTTAACTATCATATCTGAGATATTAATTACTGTGGCATAGAAAATAAGAAATAAAATATACTCTATATACATTTAACTTTCTATAACATATATGCATTCAATGACGTTTGCTTATATTTAACTAGATGTTGCTTGTTTATCAAATATGTGGGTCAAATTATCTTGCGTGATCTCTTAACTATTCAAAATAATTAATGGATTATTGTTATAATTCTTAACTATAAAAACGTGCATAAAATTACTCTTTAAATAAGAGTATTCATAATTTAGTTTTAATCGAATTAATCAATTAAATTGATTTATTTTAATTAATCAATTGACAATCGAATTAATTTCAATCGATTAACGAAAATAATTTAAAAAAAATTTAATTTTTGATTAATTCAATTCAAAAATTAAATTAACCAAAATTTTAAACAAAAATTAATATAATCTAAATATAAAATAAAAAATATATGAAATGGATAATTTTATATCATAAGTTACAAAAATTTTTAATATAATATTTTGAAATTTAAATAGTTTTTTGAATAGTTTTATTTAATTTATTTAAAATATGAGAAATTAAGAGTTTCAAATATAATTTAACTTAAATATATTTATTATTTAATTAATAAAAAAATTAATCAAACCAACTAAATCTCATTTGATCGATTAATTTTTAAAATTAATAAATTTGATTAACAAAAATAAAATAATTAATTTAATTTAATTTAATTTTAAATAATTTAATTCAAAATAAATTAAATTAACCGAATTAACATTTTATCTATTCACAACGCAAGAAGCTTACATTCTTACCTTTTGACAATGCAAGAAGCTTAAGTCTTGGATGCTAGTGAAAGATTTCAAAAGGATATAAGTACTAATAAGGACAACGAATTTGATGACGTCGCTGCCGCTTGACGTCCTAGTTTGGCATGCACACCATAGGGCATTGCACCAGATACGCATGAAAGTTTATGGTTGTTGCTTCGAGTTTTCTTGCAAAAATCACAAATAACCAAAAAAAAAAAAAGGGGAAATCTCTTTCTCCCGGAAATATCATTTAAAATTTTTTTTTATTTGTATGCTGGACAGCTCAAGTAAAAGCTGATAGCGTCTATATAAACCATCACCACACAGAGAGCTTGATAATTAAGTGCAATAGACTACAATCTTCTAAGGGCTAAAAGTTTGTGAAGCGTTCTATTTGCGAGCTGCACAAATGGCGACCATCCTGGAAGTGACTCTTCAAAACCACCATGCAGTAAGTTTGTGGTCTTCTTATGGTGGCAATACACTCCCAGATGGTGATAATATTTTGCCGTTTACGGACGGATCTGACTCGTGGAACTTTGAGTGCTGGAGTCAAGGAGATTCTTTCAGCTTCAAAGGTTCAGAGTGGAAACGTTTTGCTGTACCCAATATTAGGGCTACAGTCACTTTTTCCAAACAAAACGGCGAATATCTAATTACAGTGAGAGGGCAGCAAGCTTGATAAAACGTCTAGATATTAAGGACTTCTGTAAGGGTGTGCTATATATACGAATTATCTCTTCGCTTTGTCTTTTTTTTTTTTTTCTGTATTTAAGTTTTGGGAAAATGCTTTTTGCATTTTTTCAATAATAGTACTGTTTAATTACTAGTTTTTGATAAAGTACGTTTGATTTTGTCATGAAATTTGTACTTGTGAAAATTATGGAATAATTATAAATAAAGACAGGTCCTATATTTTATAAACAAATCGAAATTGAATTTATTGATTCTTAAATATAAAGATACGGAATAAGATACATAAAATTAATATGTTCAATGACTTATATATGAGATTTGAAACATCATCTTAATTATATCGTTAATCTTTTAGATAAATTTTTTAAAAAATTAGAGGATCTAATATATTATGATGTGTAATTTAATTGAAATTATGATATTACAAACTAAGAATGAAAAACACTCTAGAAATTAAGAAAGCCTTCGTAAAGGTGTGCTATATATATGAATTATCTCTCTGCTTTGCTTTTTTCTTTTTTAAGTATTGGAAAATTCTTTTTGCATTTTTCCAATAATAGTACTGTTTAACTACTAGTTTTTGATAATGTGCATTTGCTTCTGTCAATAAAAGATTTAGCAATGTTCTCTTTCATTCTCTTAAAACCCTAGGGATCCCTAGGGCTCCTTTTTTTTTTTTTTTTTGCGGTGCATTCTATTGCCTCTGTTGATCCATGTTTCATTCTGTCGTTCCAACATCCAAGGTTAGGCATTTCAAATGGGAAGTGGACATGTTCTGATCCCTGGAACACGTTGCGATGCATATCAGTGGCCAATTTCCACTGCAGACCATCCAAAAACAAATTGAGAGAAAAGAAAGCAGGCAGAGTACTCATAGTTTCCGATTTTGAACGTACCAACTCCAAATCGATCAAAGCAGATTCTCTATAAACAAAAGAACTGCAAAAAGATGCCTTTTAATCTCAATCCTACCAGCCAAAATTGCGATCAGATTCACCTCAAGCTTAAATATAATAAAAGAGAGAAAAATCAAACTGATAATAGCTACTATATATTTGACCCATGAACCAAAAAATGGTAAAGTTTCAGCCTTTTTAAGATGTACAATCCAAGTGCTTAACGAAACAACCAAAAGATATAAAATGTTCAAAGAAAGCAAGAAACTTAATTATTTTTCGTTTTAAAAATAAAAATAAAAAATACTCGTTATTTCCAAAATTAATAGCGTATGCGACCAAGAAACAATAGAAATAAAGAAATTTTATGCATTGGACAACCTGTCAACCCACGTCTTTTAAAATGATCATCAATGTTAATGTTCTACTATATGTTACCTAAATCACATGAATAGATCATCACCGTTTATTTCAATTATATAATTAATGCACTCTGATCACAAAACATCAACGGTGATGATACGAAATAAGATAATCTCCATGGTGTATGGTTGGTCAAGTATAATTGACTTTAAACTGTTTAGCGGCGTCGCTTCCATAATTTCTTATGATTGAAATATATATAAAACTCATTGCATTTGTCCAGGTAATCTATTTCTCATGTTTCCATTTTCCTCTCTTTATTTTTATTCTCTTTTGTTTGTTTTTTAGTATTCTATTAAAAATAAATAAAATAATAGAAATACTAAAAAAAGAATTTGATTTTGAGGCGTGCAATATACCTTTTTAAAAGTAATTATATTTTTAGAATATAATAAAATTTTAAAATTTTTTAATTAAAAATAATAAAAATAGTTATACTAAAAGATGTATTTATAATAAATAAACAAATTTAAATTTTTATTCAAATGGTGACCATTTGTACAATTATGACTTATATGAATAATTAATTATTAATATTCAAATAGTTATGATCATTTTTCATACATTAATTATTTTTATTTAAAAATAGTTATTCATAATATAAATAAAATTAATATAAAAATTAAATTTATTCATCAATAATTAAGTTTTTTATCCAATATGGGATGTAAAATATTTTAAACTAACAACATTTTCAACTTCAAAATCTTCTACAGTACTCTATGGTTCCATTTAAACTTTCTTTATACCTTCATTTTTACTTGTTTCTTTTCATATTGTGTAGGATTTTGTTTCTTGTCAAATTCATATTTGATTTTTATTAAAATTTTAAATTGAATCACTTTTATATATTATTTCATATTTCATGTTATTGTATTTAAATTGGTTAAATCCAAAAAAATCATGAATAACATTACGAATTATTATATATGTAATTAAAAAATTAATTATATAGTTAATATAAAACTATTACTATAAATAATAAATTTAGTAACCTTAAGTAATATTTAAGATAGTGGTTAACAAAACCCTATAAAATTTTTATCTTTTGTTTGATTATGTGTAAACTCTTGTCCTTTAATTTATATTCTTTTTAGGTATTTGTTAGGAAATGACGTCCAGCCTCATGTAATTAGTTTTGGACCAAGCAAAGGTTATAGGCCTTAGTTTTTTTTTTCTACTCAAAGGAGGTAGGTCTGTTTTAAGATGGTGTCAAAAACCAAGAAGAGAAAGAAGAAAAGCCAGAAAGATAGAGAAAAAAGGAAGAAGGGAGAGTTAGTTGAAAGGAAGTTGATCCGTAGTCTGATTGAGCTGAAATTTTGTCAGTAAATTTATGATTCAGAGTTTTACATTCTGAACTATAAAGATCAGGTTTGAAGCTCTCTAGGAAAAAATCCATTGTGTATTTGTTGAGTCACCTATTTGGTAAAATTTTTTCAATTGTCTCTCTAGTTATTGATTAGCTCTAGCTAAAGTTGTTGATTAGCTCTAGTTTTAACTAAAGAAGAACTTTTTATATCCATTATTTGATAGTGAAGATTTTTTTAGTGATCTGTGATTTTTTTCTCTACACTGAAGGGGTTTTTCACATAAATCTTGGTGTGCTTTATTTTTTCTGTGTTGTTGATTATTGATTGTTGTCTATTGTTGTGGGTTTATTGTGATATATTATTTTTGCATTATTGTGTTTATTACTTCAGGCCTAACAAGTGGTATCAGAGTGAGGATAATTTTGAGACATCAATACAAAAGTAGCCCAAGACAGAAGTAAATTCTGTTTAAGATCATGAAAGGTAATACAGGTTCCATGATAAAATTAATAATATTAAATTATTCAATTTAGAAGCCCATAATGGAAGATTATCTATACTACAAAGATTTGTATGAGCCAATATTAAGTGATTCGACTAAACCAACATATATAAAAGATGAAAGCTGAAAGAAATTAGATAAAAATATGCTAATTACAATAAAAAAATGGATTGATATCAGTGTGTTTCATCATTTAAAGCAAGAGACAAATGCTCACATTATTTGAAAAAAATTGACAGCATTGTATGAGAGAAAAACATGTATGAATAAAATTATGTTTGTTAAAAAGTTAACAACTTTACAGTACAGGGATAAACAATTGATTACAAAACACTTGAATGATTTTCAAAATATATTTAATCGGATGACTACTATGAAGTTTAAGATTGATGATGAAATAAAAAGCATTGTTTCTTTTTGGTTCATTGCCAAACAGCTAAAATACTCTAGTTATGACTGTTCTTAATTCAACTCATGATTATAAAGTGACATTGGAGATGGTAAATAACAGTATACTTAATGAAAAAGCACGCTGAAAAGATATAAATCTTGAGAATTAAACTTTGGTCACAAAGAACATGGGTAAAAACATCGACAGAGATCAAAACTCAAAAGGTCGTAGTAAGTCTAAACGCAAATCCAAGTTCAAAAATAAAGTGAAGTATTTTCATTATTGTAAAACAGGTCATATAAAACGACATTGTAAAATCTTGAAGCAAGAGCAAAAAAATGAGAAAGGCAAGAGTTCAGATAATGACAATGTTGCAGCAGTGAATTCAAATAGTTATTCAATTACTTTGATTTGTATACATAGTGATTGTAATCATGTTGTGATCCCGACATTTAGTTGATAATTGACACAGGAGCGACATATCATTGTGTTTCTAAGAGAGATTGTTTACAACTTATAAAGTAAGAGACTTTAGTTGCACCAATATGAGAAATAAGAGTGTATCATAAATTTTTAAGATTTATGGTATTGTTGTACAAACTAGTACAGCTGTATGTTGACTTTGAATGATGTTAGATACATTTTGAATATGAGAATAAACTTGCTTGCTATTAATGTCCTTGATAAGGAGGGATATGAAAATCGATAAAAGAATGGGTAATGAAAGCTTCTCAAAAGATCTATAGTAGTTGCAAGGAGAAAATTATGCTGCATAATGTATAAAACATGGATGCAATTAAATGGTAATCAGATAAATGCCATTGAGGATGATGTTTCAATCAACTTATGGCATAAAAAGTTGGCACACATGAGTGAGAAAGAGTTACAGGTTTTAGCAAAGTAGTTTCTTATTCCCTTGACTAAATGTGTGTTTCTCGATTCATGTGATCATTATTTATTTGGTAAGCATAGTAAAGTTTTTTTTCATAAGAGTTCTCAAAGAAAAAAATAGATAATTGATTTATTCTGATGTATGTGATCCATTAAGGTTGTGTCATTAGGTGGTAGTAGGTATTTTATTACTTTTATTAATGATGCTTCACGTAAGACTTGAGTGTATATGTTGAAATACAAAAGTCAGGTACTGTAATATTTTTAAAAATTTCATGCCATAGTAGAAAGGATGACAGGGTTGCCCTTGAAGTGTATTCAAACTAATAATGGTAAGGAATACATATCCAATGACTTTAAATAGTATTGTTCTAAGCATGGAATCATGCATGAGATAACAAAACCTGAAACACCGTAGTATAATGGTGTAACTGAAAAGATGAATCGTATCATTGTAGAAAAAAATCAAATGTATGTTGAGGATGATAAAATTATCAAAGCCATTCTGAGGTGAAGCAATCAACGTAGCTTGTTATTTACTTAACAGATCACTATCAATTTTTTTGGGCTTTGACATTTCAGAAAGAGTGTAGACAAAAAAAGATACTTTATACTCTCATTTCAAAGTTTTCAAGTGTAAAACATTCATGCATGTGCCAAAAAAGTAGAGATCAAAGCTTGATAGTAAAGCTACATAGTGTGTATTTGTATGATGATAAGGAATTTAGCTACAGGGTATGAGATCCAATGAAAAGAAAAGACAGTTAGAAGTAAAGATGTAGTATTTCATGAAAAAAAATCATAGCAGACCTGAAAAAAATGAGAAGACTACATAGGTTACTGTTGAGTGTGATGTTTCAATACCGATAAGGGTTTCACAAGAAAGAGCCATCAATGGTGAAAATGAGCAAAAAACAAAACTTAGAGATATGAATGAGCCAACCACAGTTAATGATGAGCCAGATGCAATTAGTTTTGAGTAGAGAGAGCAATACTCTCTACCTGAAAGTGTTAAGCAAGAAGAGCTACCTTCGACATTAGGTGATATAGAGTTTTAGCCTAAGAGATCTACTAGAAAGTACAAGTCATCTATCAGGTATCCAAGTTCAAATTTTATTTTAGTTACTAGTAAAGAAAAGCCAGAAAGCTTCCAAGATGTGCAGACTACTCTAAATAAAAAATACTTGTTAAAAACAATAAAAGAAAAGATAAAGTCATTGTAAAATAATAGTAATTATGATCTTGTTAAACTTTCAAAAGGAAAGAGGTTGTTAAAAAATAAATGGGTGTTTAAGTTGAAAAAATATGGTAACAAGTTAGTGAGGTACAAAGCTCGATTGGTGGTGAAAGATTTTTCTCAAAAATCAGGTATCAATTTTAATGAGATCTTTGCTTCAGTTGTGAAGAAGAGTTCCATTCGAGTGATATTAGGATTAGTAGCTAGTTTGAATCTTGAGCTTGAGTAATTTGATGTTAAAATTGCATTCTTGCATGGTGACTTGCAGAAGGACATTTATATGAATCAATATGAGGGTTTTGAAGTGAAAGAAAAAAAAGCACTTAGTTTGCAAATTGAAAAAAAGTTTGTATAGCTTAAAATAAGCTCTGCGATAGTAGTACAAGAAGTTTGATCTTTTATGATGAGTCACAACTATAAAAGAATGGCAGCAGATCCTTATGTGTATGTCAAAAAATTTTAATAGTAACTTCATTATTCTCTTATTATATATTGATGATATATTGATTGTAGGATAAAATGCTGGTATGATTTGTAAGTTAAAAGAACAATTGTCTAAGTCTTTTGACATGAAGAATTTAGGTCCAGCTAAACAAATTCTCGGTATAAACATTATCCAGGATAAGAAAGCTAGAAAGTTGTGGTTGTCATAGGAAAAGTATGTTGAACGGGTACTTAGTAGATTCAATATACAACATACTAAATCAGTTAGTAGTCTACTTGCCAACCATTTTTATTTGAGTAAAAAATCTTGTCCGATGTTTAAAAAAGAGCAACTACCTATGTCTAGTCTTCCTTATTCTTCTACAGTCAGTTCTTTAATATA